TATTATTAATATTATTTTATATTTATAAAGGTAAATATTAAAAGTAAATATTATTAAGGCTGGCTATTTAAGGTAGTGGTTAAAAAGGTTTAATATTTATTATTATATAACTTTAAGGTAATATTTATTAGTAACATTACTAAGTTACTAAAAATATTTAAACACTTTTATAATATAAAGCCTGATAAAATACGCGGTTATAATTTTAATTTAGAATTATATAATATTAATATATAAAACACTTTTAAAATCTTTGTGAATTAGCTAGGCTATATAAAAAAAAGAATAGTTTAATATTTAATAATATGTTTTAATTAGCTTTATTATTTTTTACTTTTTTATTATACTATACACCATATAGCTATATTACACTTTATTTTTTTTTATTTTTTATGCTTTTTTACTTTATTTTTTTTTATAATTTATTAAGCTCCGCTTTAATATATAACTATATTATAATATTTTTCTTATTATATACTAATCTTTAGTTTAATTATTTTACTTATTAAGCTTAGCTTTATTACTAATTATATTTAAGCTTTTTTAAAGGGGGGATATATAGCAATGTTTAGGCTATATCCCGGCATATAGGGTGTTTTACTATATATTACTATTTTTATAGCTACTTCACCCGCTCTGCGGGACTTAGTAAAATCCAAGACTTTTTAAATACGCATAGCGCTCATATCAGCTGCCATAATAACCTATTACCTATTTTTATTAACTTAAAATTAATTTTTGTAAGACCAACAAGTCTTAAAGATCTTTACTAATAATAAAGATATTAACAAAGGAATTAAAACTAATAAAAATAAAGTATTTTAAATCCTATTAAATATTACTAAAAAAGTTACTTAAAAATTTAGGAAAAAGGCTGGCCTTAAAACTATTTTTATAAACCTTTAAGCTATACTTAAGCTATTTTTAATTAAAAAGTAAATATAGGTTTAAATACTTTATATATAGGTTTTTACTTTAGCTTATACTTAAGGCCTACCCTAGCCTTGCCTAATTAATAACTAAAACCTTAATTAATAATAACCTAGTTAAGTTATATAGCCTAATATAATAATAAAATATATTAAACCTTAGTGGCCTAAGGCCAAAGCTTAAGTTACTTAAAATATTAATTTTAAATTAATAGTAAATTAGCTTTAGTAATATTAAATAAAAAATATTAACCTTAATAATTTTTTTTTTAAATTAAAGGGTTGTCCGCGACCCGCTACTAAATTAAAAAAAATAATAATAAAATACTATTATTAGTATTAATATTAATACTAAACATAGCTTTATTATTACTATTTTTAACTTTATTAAAGTATTATTTAATATATTAAATTTAGTATTTTATTCTTATTATTTATAGCGCTTTAAATAAAATATAATATTTATTTATAACTAAAAGAAAAAAAGTAGTGCTTTAATAATACCTAGTATAAAAGTATAAATTATAATATAGTTTATAGTTTTATAAACTTTTAAACTTATTAAATTTTTTACTAAATAAAAAATTACCTTTTTTTATTATAATTAAAAAATAGTTTTCTCGGGTGCTACCCTAGCTTTAAAAAAAAGTAAAAAAAATACCTAGCTATAACTATAGTAATTTAAGAGATGTTTGTTTTGGAGAGCTGCAAGGCAAAAGTGCCCTAACCATAAAAGGCTAGACGTTATACTGACTGCTAATACTCCCGAAACTCCGCAAGAATACTCGTAAACCTATGGCCAAAACGAATGGTAGGAACTGTTCGATAAAGAGATGGATATATTAAGAACTAGAAACGAGGAAACAACTAACTACCGATCGGTGGCGGTAAGCCACGTGATGTCGATATGACATCGATCCTTCCTTCAACGTTTCTTTCACCCTGGGCAGCGCCTGGAGCGTCGCCGTGTTTCTGCCACGAATCACTTTGTTGCAAATCAGGCAGGTACTTTTGACCAACACCGCCAAGCGACTTTTCCCTAATGCATTATTAGCTTTGTGAAACCTCACTAGCCAATTCAGGCGAAAACAACAACCAAGTTGAGCTCTGGCTGAGTAAATCAAGTTAAAACCAACACTGGACCTCTCACAGGCTCGATGGTATATACACCGCCCTAGTTCCAAGCTTTGTCCTGTCCACCACAATATTCTCTCAAGCACTTCGACTACACTCCTCTGATTGATTATTTTATAACCCTTATCCACCTAGAATATCATGTCTAAGATGCCATATATGTCAGCGATTCTTTGTTTCAAGATGGTCCCGGAAGACGCGCTAACACAATAATATAGCAAGCCCTCCCCTCCGATTGAACTATCGGTCTCAACGCTAGGCTCGGACGCATATTGGATGGGCTCGAAAATGCAATGCAGGAAAACCATGAGTGGACGAATACCAGATACAGCAGTCGCCTCCTGGGAAGAGAGTGATGGGCATTACTATCTCCTCGAGGCAATTAACATGAACTCATCGTCCTTTCAACAAGCAGCCAGCAGTCTCATCTATCAGGCTGGCATGTCATCTGCTGTCTGGGGGATTGGTACCAAGGCAATTTGCAAAGTTAAAACTTGGACTGAGGGAATGGAAAACGAAAGCAGCACCCTTGATTTCGTGGCCTCTCGATTTCCGCACATACCGGTTCCTAAGGTTCTCTATTCATGGGTCGATGAGCAACTAGGGCGGACTTTTCTAATTTTAAGGCGTGCCAAAGGGCAAACGCTTGCAAGGGCATGGCAGTCTCTTACTTTAAAGCAAAGATCCCATATCGCCGCCACTGTTGCGCAGTATTGCTGCGACCTTGCTAAAGTAACCTTAGAGAACTTGCAGTCCGCGACAGGTTGTGGAGTCCTTGAACCTTTTCTCACGGTGAACGCTGAGAAATCGCACCCATCGTGGAAACCTCGCCCGTTAGGGCCGCTGTCTTGCTCTGCGACTAAGAGATATTTTCAGAAACTGTCAACACAACCTCTACCCACTATTGGGGATAAGTTTTACTTTTATCATGCCGACCTCGGTCCAACAAATATTCTCATATCAGATGATGGCACTATCACGGCAATCTTGGATTGGGAATCAGCTGGGTTTTACCCAAAATTCTGGATTCCTCTCAAACCGTACCGAAGCGGGGGTTTCAATCTTGATGTCCCAGATGATTCTCGCTACGAATGGACGGACATCTTTGAATCAAATCTCGCTAATGTGGGGTTCACTCTTGATCACGACCATGTAGGATGGCACAAGACCCTGGATTTTACTTTCTTCAAGCTCAGCAAGCTTTATGAAGATACGTTAGGCACTCCGTAAAGCAATCTTAATATGAGAATTTTGTAGGTAGCTTTATTTCCATTATCTGGCTTCACAAGTATCCAAAACACAGTAGTCACTTTAGAACCAGCAACCATTTTAACAACTTGATCATGGTGAGGATGTTGAGCCTGGTTCATGTTAGTTCGAGCCGGGAAAAGCGGGTTAAGAGATCCCACCAGTCGCGGAAAGTTTATCTTCCTCCGGTCAGCGGTTTATGACAGAATTCGCACGTCTTCGCGCCGGTGGGATTATTCTGGTTGCAGTTGTAGCATTTCTCGGAATCGACGGGCGCGGAAGGGATAGATGGAGCCATCATGGACGGAGGAGAGGTTTCGATGACCTGGTCGATAATAACTGATGAATGATTCTAAGGAAAAAGTTAACTATTTTCACGGCGGTGGTGGAGGTTAGAATAAGGCTCCTATTTATGCTTCACAATACACTCCAACAACCAAATTCGTTACGGATGGACGTCAAAGCCAAAGTGATGACTATCATCAGTTTCCCCTCCGGTAGGGATGAGGCTTGGAGCACAGATCATCTTTCGTGTTGTCCTGCGGTTTCGCCGCAGCGCAGCGGCGGAAATGCACTCTGGCTTCGGAATACGGACCACATCCCACATCAGCTTTGTCGCGAGGTACCGGTATATGTGGGACATCCCTGCTTGAACGTGCGAGGGGGAGATCCGTCGGATCTTGACGATCTGGGATGATGGCAGACGGGTTCGGGAGCACCTGGGGCTGGGCGCGGAAGGGGAGGGAGATGAGGGGTTTTTATTGGGCGCTTTAGCTTTAGTATTGCCGATGTGTGGTTTGGATTGTGGTTTTGGTGTGTATTTTCCTCTTTCAAAGGGTCTTTACGGGATGCGATTGGTGATGATGCTGACGCAGCGCTTCCGCACATACAACCTTCCCCTTGACGATGCAAAGTCCAAGCCCTAAAGTCGATGAGAAGATGTGGAGTGACCCGCGGCTTAAGAAGCTAGTGCATGGGTATTACCGCGAGCCTGAGGGTCCGGCGACGCGGATCGAGAAGTACGATGGTCTGTTTGTGGACGGGGTGCGGTATGGGACTTTTTTTCGAGGATTGGGTGTTTACTCCTAAAGCTGGGAGTGAGGCTCAAAGAGATTAGCAGATGTCATTGCTAATACGTACTCAGAATGGGATTGTTGGGCTTGCTTGTCCGTGGTCAGGCCACTCGGCGCTACAGTTTTACCCTTGGGAGGACAAGAACAGCACAAAGATCAGCAGGGGCCGTTCGGCTCCCTGAGATAATTGTGACTTTCAGACTTCCAAGTCGCAAATGACGTCTGCAGATCCGATCAGTGGCTATAAACAGCACAGCGAGGGGATGCTTCGATGCATCGCACAATTTCTGCAGGATGACCGGGTGGCTGAGGCTAGACAGCGTGCTATGGAGAAGCTCCTGCACCACAGCCCCATCCTGCAATATGCCGATCGCGCCAACGGGCCTGTCATGGCGCGAGCAGCCCTGCTTAGCTCGCGCTGCCAAGCTTGGGGGCCGGACCCGTTCCTGGGGCTGAGACGGCTGAAGAAGGGACGGAAACAAGGCTGGCGTCGTTGGGCATTCTAGGCTTGGTTTCCGGGTTATAAGTAGGTGAGGGCCTCTGGAGCTGACATTTCCAGTCGCTCATCTCAACCATCATTCCTCACCACAAACCCTAACCCTAACTTCTGTCCAACATGAAGGGCATGAAAGGCCTCTTCGCTGCCGCCGCGGCCTCGGCGCTCTTCCTGACCTTTGCGCGTGCTCAGCTCGACAAGCCTGCCCTCACCTCCAACCTGGACTACCTCCTAGAAGGCAACGCCAACAACCTGCCCACCGTGAACCGCCAAATCGCCATCTGGGCAAGCGGGTACATCCCCAAGGACTGCCAGGACCTCGGTGCAGGTGAGGGATACGATGCGAGCGAGTTCGAGGTGTATGAGGTTACATATGACGACGTAGGTTTACCAGAAGCATGGAGAAGATCGGACTGACATGATGTACATGCAGTGCGCCGACCCCTGGCTCTTCTGCCGCCACAAGGACGTCGAAACCACCATCGAAACGGCCGCTGAGACATTCTCCAAGTTGCCCGTGAAGGTCCGGGACTGGGTATGTCCCTCCCCCTTCAACCCAATTGACAAGGCAAGCACAAGCTAACTCGCCTCCAGGTCCGCCAGATCCTCCTCCTCCCCGGCGCGGACTCGGCCTTCGCCATCAACGGCAACGTCGCCTTCTTCGGTTCGACAGGCGGGAACGTCGACGTGATGATCCACGAGTCCGCGCACGGCCTCGACGGCTTCGCTGCGTTCGGCGAGAACCTGAGCAGTACGTCCGCGTCCACGTCCACCTTATCAAAAGCTCCGCTAACATGTTGAACAGCAAGCGAAGGCTTCCTCGCCGCCTACGACGCCGACACCCACGTCCCCGACGACTACGCGCGCAGCAGCCAAGCCGAAAACGTCGCGCAGAACACGGTCGTCGCGGTGTACGACAAGAATGTCCCTGGTGGATTCCCGGGTGTGCAGGAGCAGTACACTGCGATTCTGAACCAGTATAGCTATATCGAGGACAAGGCGGGCGATGCGCTGTTGCCCGGGGGAACGTGTGATCGGCATCTCGAGAACTCGGAGACGGTGGTTTTGGGGTCTGCGGCTAATGCGACGGTGTCGAGGGTGCGCAGGGCTGCTGGCGCTTGGAAGGTGCCCCAGTCGGGGCTCAAGGGGGAGTATAGCAAGATTGTCAAGGAGTTTCAGCCGTTTCAGTTTAGGGAGGGGTTTTGAGTGATGGCGTTGTATAGCGGAGGGGTCAGGGAGTTGGCGTGATGATTTATGGATGCGTTATAAATGAGGATTAGATTCTTGAAATTGAGCTGTTGAATGACTGGGAATTGCAGAGAGATAGAATAAGGGAGCGCAAAAATGTGTAGAATGGATGGAGTCAGAGAGAGAGTTTGTTGATAAAGATGTGTTCCTGCTGATGGGAAAGTGAATGCAAGACTGAATGTGACAGCCACCAAGCCTTTGCACAGCAGCACAGAAACTGGCCGAATTCTCTTTCACTTGCAGTTTGTCTTTTCACCATTTGGCATGATTCCCAGCAGCGGCACCAACTGCAAGGAAAACGTCCCCCGATTCCTCTCCCTGATCCCGTCAGACAAACCAACTCCTCCACCACGCCCACCCCGCCGCAACTGCGAAAAACGTCCAGTGCCCCCAAGCCTTCCCATCCCCCTCAACGTCCCACCATGCGCTCTCACCAAGAATCCATCTGCGAGAGCCGCCAGCGAGACAACCGCTGCAACAGTGGTCAGCGCGTCCTCGTGCCCCTGGTACTGCAACGCGATGAGAGCGACCCCGTACGTCGATTCCCGGATCGCCTTGATGTACATCAACGGCGACGCAGGGGAGTCACGCGGGAGACCGAACCGCTCGTATTCTTCCGACGGACGCAGGAAACTGTTTGCTCCAAGGCCGATGGAAAGAACGCCGAGGGTGTACGCGGGGATTGGGCTGAAGGCAGACATCTTGCTTTCAGTTAGCGGCGTCTCAGGCTGAGTTGGAGTGGTACGAACCTTTTAGGCGGGCCAGCGTCTGTTATGAAGAGCCCTGGCGTCACGGGGGACATTCGCTCTGTTTTTGCCTGGCCGGAGCGGAAATCCCTCGCTAATATACTGGACTGTTGCGCTAAGATCTTAGGTGAGCACTCCAACGAGGCGGACTACGGAGTAGTCCGCACGGCTCTAGGCGAACAGCTATACAGTATACACGCTGACACCAATAATGAGCTGGACTAGCTCCACCGGTCGGAATTAGTTCGAGGATGCCTCCTGCGGATTGGGTATCACCACGGGGGCAACATATCCGGTTCCTTCTTCGGCGAAAGGCGAGCGGCACAACCCACTACTCCGTATGTACGTGCTCGCGCAAGTGCGGAATCTGACGATACGCGAGAAGCAATAGAGTGGCTTGATCTCTATATGAAACCAAAAAGCTTACACCACCACCATACAGAAAAAGAGTCCAGCTCTTCCATCCTCCCAACCCTATGTCATACTATATCAAACAGCCCCCGCAGAATACATCGTCTCCGCGCGCACAAACCCTCTCCTGCTCCACTTGGGATGATAGATGACACCCTGGATATTCTTGTTCCTGTCGGTGATAGTCCGGGTAAAGCCAACCTCCACTTCGTCTCGCACACCATTGACCATGCGATATCCTTGGCCCTTTGCATTCTGGCTATTGTAAGGCCACGACATCGTCGGATACTCATAGTAGCTCCCCTGCTTGAAAAGCTTGGGATTGATCTGTCCATCGTCTCTGTATTTCTTTGGAAACCGCTTGTTGTTTTTCCTCTGACTCTTCTCAGTCGGTGGAGGGGAAGCGTCCAGATGGCGCTGGATGCTGGACCGCGTTCGGATATGGTATGGACTTGGATCGAACTCGTCTCGGCCGCGGTCTATCCGGTATGCCTGTTTCCATAACAAGGTTAGGCGAAGCCATCTTGGGCAGGTAGCAGAGGAGACAGCTTTGATCGTACAACAGGGACCTGCTTTGTTGGCGTTGGTACTGGCACTGGCACTGGCACCGGTGTTGGCGCTGGTGCTGGTGCTGGTGCCAAGGGGGTCTCGGACTTCTTCTGTGACCGGTCCGAGAAGCACATGGCTGCTGTTTGGAGGCCAGATGGGGGTGTATCTGCAGGAAGGGAAGGAGACACTGGCTCGAATGGGTGATGAATACATCCAGAAGCTGTGAGAAATCACACTCCCTTTTATGGGCGAGCATCTCCCAACCTATGTAAGTAAGGGCGGTCTCTTTTGGCGCCGCATATACATGACCAATAGATTTGAGTGGTTGAGAGCGATTCCAAGTGAACAGCTTGGGCACTTTTTGATATTGAAGTTCTCAAAATAGAATAGGTAAGACCGTATTCTAGACGACACCTGAAACCTTGCGCAGTCAAGCGACATAGTGCGGGCGCTTCTGGATCGCGGTGTTCAATCCAAACCAGTCATTTTCTCTGACAGGATGAGCGTAGGCGCTGAGCATAAATAGTGACCTCCCAGGCTCGTCCCGGGGGAATGGTTCGCTAATACAGAAGCGAGTCAGCCTCGGCGGAAGCAGCAGCGGCAAGTGCATCCTCCTTCCACTTCTCTATTTCACTTTCTCTATTTCACTTTCTCTATTTCAAGTTCTCTATTTCACTTTCACCCTCATTCAACTTCTCATCCATTGTCAACATGTCTCTAAAGCTCAACATAGACGCTTACCTGGAGGTCCCAGAGACCGCGAAGGAGGAAACCATCGAGCCCCCCAAGCAAAAAGGCGCCCTGGCTTTGTTGAGAGAACTCTTCACAAAGCCAAAGCCAAAGCCAACAAAACCGCCCGGCGATAATCACGCCAGAACAAGCCCATACAGCCAGGAAGCGGTCTTCGCAGTCCTAAACGACTTCCTACAGCCTGAATCAACGAAACCGCTCCACCAAGCAGTCCGAGAAATCCTCGCCCTCCTTCCTGAAAACGCGCCTGAGTCCACCGAGATCTGGTCTGCAGGCGATATCATCATCGAGGTTGCATCGCAGATCCCGTATTCGCATCCGTCGCAGCTGAAGCTCGCGCAATTGGTCGAGCAGCTTATATCGGCGGAGAAGTTTCTTGATAAGAGTCCGTCCGGGGATGTACGTAGCGCCTGTTCAGACCTAACTTACTTTGTCTAATGCATTTGCAGGGAATGAGATACAGGGGCCAGCGCTTCAAAGAGTCCTTACGGGATTCTGTCACTGGTATGCGTAGCTACCTAGTCTCCTCAATTCCGCTTTCCATTAAAGTTCGACCTCTCTGATTTCGAAACACACAGGCCCAAACGACGAATTGTTGAATGAATGGCCAAATCTCAATGCATTCTACGCCCACCTTGATGCGTGCCATATCATTCCTTATACCCCTGCTTGGGCTATATCCGCTATGTGGAGTGCCTTTGAGGCGGAAATTGAGGACCCCTTTCCCGGAGAGAAGGACCAATGCATTCTTGCTGCTGCGCAGTATATCTTTTGGAGCGGGCAGGAATTATTCAAGGCTATTAGCTACGTCAGCGAAGACTACACGCCTGGGGAGCCTGGTCCGTTGTATACAGGGGAGGGCGGGCTTAGTTTGCATCGGTGGCGGTTTTGGAAGGATGGGTTTCGGGCTGCGGGTGGGGATATGGGGATTGGGGAGGAGGCGAGGGGTGTGGCTGGAAAAGCGGCGGTATTGATGGAAGGGCTTGAGAGTGCTTTGGTGTTTGATTTGTGATTTTGTTTTGTTGGGTGATTGAATGGTTCTATGTATGATGTATGAGTAAAGGTTGATATCAATGTACTTAGGGAATGCGCTTGCTAGTGCGAGTCTTGACACTTTGACTCCGTCTGGAATTCTCTATGGGAATGGATTCACTCAATGACTTCTAAGCTACTGACAGCCCTGAACCCCCGACTCACAAAGGTCCAGCTTCCATGAGCTCCAAACAACACATCTCAAACAACATTCTCCCCAATAACCCCATACCCCCCATCAAGATAAAACCACTGCTCATACCGTTCAAGCTTCGGCTGCGCCGGCAACTCATCCGACTGCGCCGGAAGCCCCAGGTGCGCGGTGGCATTGTACCTGGAGACAAAGCTGCCCGGGATATCCGGGCGGGATGTCTGGTTGTAGTTGATTTCGTTGGAGTCGACGGCTCCCTTGACCAGGTCGAGCCAGTAGGTGTGGCTTTGCGCGATGATGGACGTTGCGAAGGTGGCGTTTACGTAGGTGTTGTTGACGATGGGGATTAGGGCGTCGCCGCGTGGGACTTTGTAGTACTGTTTATGGGTTAGGGTTTTGGTGGAGACGGACAATGGAACGGGGGTGTAACTGTACAGTGAACCAGTCGCGGTAGGAATCAATTAGACCGGGGCGGTACTTGTCGACATCGTTGAAGTCTAACATACCCATCAGCATCTCTGCTCCAGGAGACGGAAAAAGGGAAAGAGTAAAAAGCCCACCATCGACCAACGACGCAATCGGATCATCAACGTCAATCCCAAGGACCTTCCAATCCGTCTCCCCGCCATCCCTCAGCGCCAGCGCCCCCAGAACCTTAACCCGCTTCACCTGCCCAACGAACCCAGGATCCTGCCCGATATCAAACAGGTCAACGGGGTCATTGTCCCCCGGCGCATCCGTAAAGCTATGGTTGAAGTTCGGGCTCTCCCAGGTCTGCGGGATGGAGCCGTACACGAAGGGATACGACTTGTGCGGCCAGACGCTCTCGACGTAGCGGGGACGGCCGTCGCGGGCGTCGTGGAAGATCGGGTTCAGGGGCTCGGAGCGCGCGATCTCGATCTTGCCGTCGGTGTGGCGGGGGATCTCGACGATGAAGTTTATTATCTGCTTGTCTTGGGAGGGGTGGAGGGGGATGTCGTGCCAGAAGGAGATGGGCTCGTTGTGGTGTTCGAGCCAGATGCGCCAGTCCTGGGATTTGGTTAGTGTTATGGTGGGATGGACTGGGCGGGGGGCCGCACTAATGTGTTGCGGGCGCCGACGGTTCGGAGGCTGAGGGCGTTGTAGTCGAAGGTTGAGTTGGCGGCTGCGGCGAGGACGGGCAGTATGCCCCAGACGAAGCTCTTGGTGATCATGATGGATGAGGATGAGAGACCGTAACAGGTCTCTAGCCGTGAGGGAATGGAGCAGGCCTAAATTTATATGTCCTCCAAACAACCCCCACGAATGGCGCGGCATCGTGCATGACGCCACACCAGGGGAACAGCAGATCTGGTTGGGAGATTCTAGAAGCCCTCCAGCTCTGGCTGCTCAGCAGCTTTCGGCGCCCCCACGTGCGAGCCATCCCCGGCACTCCCGCTCGGCGTCCGCGCAGGCCAAGCCACTATCTACTCTACGCTGGCAGAGCAATGCAGGCCAGGCTCGAATAGGAACGCTACATCTAGCAACGTGCAAAGGATCATCGTGACTCGCAACTCCTTCGCTGAGTTTTGGATTAGGGCAACTGAGTCAGAGCCCTAATATCACCTACCCTATCAAGCCGGTGTCAGATCATGTGCAGGTGGACTCTCCTGGCGCCGGAAATTTATGGGATGGCCATGGAAAAGAAGTGTGATACTCTTGATTGGCTATTAGGACTGGATTGCTTCATACATTTCTATTATCGCTGGTTATTGTCTCATTCTAGGTGGATTGCGATCTCTTCCGTTGCTTTGGCGTCTCTTGGTTGTTTGTTCTGTTTTGCCATTTGGCATTTCCCTGTCGTTGCTGCAATGTATTGATGATCTACTGGTATTGCCTTAAGCGTGTTCTTCTGTTGTAATGCCGCTTCATCTTCGCGATTATATCTCAGTATGTCCTAGTTGATGAAATAAGAACAATGGGAAGAAAAACAGAATATGGACAGGAAGGAAGACGTCGGATGGAGAGATAGGAAGAAAAGAGAATATGGACAAGAACGAAGACGTGGGATAGAGGAATAGGAGTGAGAGGAAACAGAAGATTGTCTAGGAAAGAACAAGGCGAGGAAAAAAGGAAAGGTATCAGCATAAGAAAGACAGGATGAAAAATTGGGGTTTAAAGAATTGAAACTTTTCATACACATTATCCACACTCCGTATCTCCGAGGTAGCAATGAAAAGGACGGTCCGGCATATAGCGAGAGAAGCGAGCAAGACGGTATATTCGAGCCAAATTACTGCTGGTCCTCCGACTTAACGCAGTTCACCTCCTCATCCTCACTATCGCAGTCTTGGTCATGGTCATACCGCTGAACCCCAACCTGCCCCTGAGGATGCCCCCTCAAACAAGGATTGGACGATGTCTCGAAAAGAACAAGCCTACCCTTCAACGCAAAGTTCTCTTTCCGCAAGTCCTCAATATATCGGAGCGCACTATCTATAATCGACGCTTTCGGTGACGTATACTGCCTTCGTGCGGAAGCAGACGTCGAAAAAGTAGTATTGCCTTTTTTGGAGGCAATCGATGACGGCGAGGACCGCGGTGACGAACAAGGCGAGCACGCGTACGGCTCGGCCCCCTTGTTGACGATGCACTCCAGCATGTGGAATTTCCGGTTTAGATTCTCGCGGTACCGCTTCTCGACGACGTTGTGGGAGGCTCGTCGGTTCTGGTGCTTGAGCTTTTGGCTGCGCTCGCGCTCCATCTCGCGGATGTTGAGGCTGGGGGCTGAGCTTCGGCGGGGGCCGATGGGAGCTCGCGGGGCGAAGATGTTGGGGTTGGGGCCTTCTAGGCTTGGCTTTTCCAGTGAAAGGGGGCCGTATGGATAGGGAAGTGGTGGGCGAGGCTGGCCCATTTGTATGGAGTGGGGATCGAATTTGAGGTCGGGCATGGTGGTGGTTGTGGATTCGGAGTCTTCAATGGGGGACCCAAAGTAGGGACGGTATGGGATGGCGAGAAAGTCATCGTTTTGTATGTTTTGTAATAAGGGCTGGTTTGTTAGCCTGTAGCAGGATCTCGCGCCGGTGGACATACATTGGCATAGAAGCCTTCGTAATTTATGAACTCACAAGGACTCTCAATTTCCCCTGGAGATGTAGTGCTCACGAACGGATACACAGGTATTCCTTGAGAAGACGGTGTCCAGCCGTCAATGCCCCCTGGAAAAGTCGAGATACACGTCTTGGAGATTGGTTGCTGATGGCCTCTGGGGAGGTGCTGTAGCGAGTAGTCGTTTTCGTCAGAGTTGGGCAGCGGGGTCGGAAAGGTCGTAGTTGTAGCCTGGCTCATTGCGGGTCGATAGATTCTTCATGAGGTTTTCGGCAAGACAGAATGTTCATTGACGACGCTTGCCAGTGCGGTCATATCTGTAGAGCTAGGTATAAGTATGCTGTAAAACTTGGATCGATCGGAATGGGGAAAAGAGATGACTGGCTGGATATATCGGAAGTTACCGATCGAGCAGAAAATCTACGTCTTCTCCCGATAATCAGTGTAGCGGTCATACCCTGGACAGAAATAGAGAGTGTGCTCAGCGCTGGCTCTTGCGTAAGCTGCAAAATCCAAAAGCTAGAAAAAGTGGAACTCGACATCAGTGGTAGGAGCAAAAGTCCAGGCCAGAGGGTGTATGGCACGGCATCTGGACCCGTCAGGGCCAGGCTTGGCCAAAGAGCACACAGAGAGAGGCAGCAGAGTTTGGCAATGACAGCCGAAACAACCTTGTGGGTTACTTCCAGGCGGGGAAAGCTTGAGCTCTATGACAGCTGTCACCTCGTATCGAGAGCTTGAACCATGGGACTCACCCAGAGCTAGGTTCTCTCTCGGATGCGAGCTACGGCGAAATCCATTATAAGGCTGGCCCGCTGTTGGTTTCATCCTTCACATGCATAAAACGATCCTTTGCACAATGCTTTTCTCTCAGATGGAGTTGCAGCCGGACGCAGAGCAAGAAAGCCATCTAAGAGAATGCCATTCTTTGCCACGCCCGTCTCGCCGCGATGTCGTTGAGTTGCCAACACTGCCCTCTATAAACGAGCCTCGGGGAGAGGTCTCAAAGCGGTCTTGCAAGTCAGTGCGATTTGCTCTGGGTAGCAAGACTATCCAGTATTTCAACCCGACCGAGAGGCCTTCATTGGTGCAGAAGAGTATGTCTGGTTCTTTTTGGTGTTTCCTGTGTTAATCAGGCAGTGGATCGTCCTATATCAATGAGCCCAGCACGGGCTTGATCGCCGCTTTGGGCAAGCTGCAAGCGATGATTGAATGGAGATTCGAATGGAGTCCGATAAGCAAAGTGTAATAGTGTTAATGCCTAATATTTTTCTCTCGAGAATCAATCCGTCCCTGCATGTGAAGACAGATGACGTCATCAAGCCTCCCCTCTCATCCATGGGAAGGCACCGAGAACATTCCTCTTTCATCTCCCTCATCCCAGGAAATCCTTACAAGATCCAATGATACTGACAACCAGGTCGTCAACTTCTGGTTCGAACCCAAGATTCTCCCCGCTCCCTCCAGCAAAGTCGTTCTGGTACGGCAGCCTCGCCGACGGCGCCCACCTCCGCGAAAACCTCGCCCCCTCGTGCCAGGAAGCCAAAGCCGACGGCCCTCGATGACTGGATCGACATCGCCGAAGGCGAAGGTCCTCTTCGACCAAGTCCCTCGAAGCATCTTTCGTGCAATCCTACGCGACGGATGCGAAGGCCGTCGCCGTCGCGCGGTACGCCGTTGATAAAGCTGGGATCGGGGTCTCCCGGAAGTTCAGAGGCGGCATACTCGTCGCTGCCATCGATAGTGACCAGTATGTACTCGCCGTTCAACCACTCGGAGAACGTGCGTGACCAAGAATTATCCATCAGCTGTTCACCGACTTGGGCGATGAATACCATTTGCGTTGGGTGACGGACTTCTACGAACAGATCAAGCGAAATGGGAGGCTCATACACCAGGATGTGATTGGGGAGGTGATTCCTGGTTATGGGGGTTCGTCCCATGATCCTCTCGTATCGTTTCCGCTTTATCTAACCCACCATGAACCCCGACAAACAATGGACCGAGTGCCACCAGGATAGCGAGTGCCGTTCAGCTCCATCAGAGGCAAGCAAGAGCTCACTACCAGGATTTGGCACCTTGCGGCTGACAGCTCCGAACCCCCTCCCCGCGGTCGACATCTTGGTTGCCCTCGTGGTCTACTCCCCAGGCTCTTTCCCAGGGAACAGCGACCCCGTGGACATCGAGATCCAGAGGTCTACAACGGTCGAAGCCACCGGCCCAAATCACTGTGCTAAATCGACTCGGCTGTAGCAGCCGTCTCCGGCTGGGGTCTAGAACACCAAATGATATATCAGGGATGATACAGTTAGGGAAGCACGTCCTGAGAAGCTGGATTGTACCTGCTCTGGTCCCCGCATTCTCTCCAGTGTAGTGATAATAATGACATGTAGCTCACACGACGCGCTGGTATTCCGCTTGTCATTACTTGTAGACCACTCAAAAACGCCGGAGTCTTTTAATGCGGCTCCGCAAGTTTAGTGGAATAGAGACCCGACCCATGAAGACTGTAGCAACCCGATTTACAGAGTATTGGGTATGTGATTGTAGATTTGGGTAGGCGGGGTTTAGTTTGGGGCAGTTACCGAGATGGAGTCGGGAATATGCCAGTGGCTGACTCAGATTTTTAATGCATGGTTATCCAATGGTTTGGAGAGGTTAGGTATTGGATGCTCGCATTGTTCCCGGAAAGCAAAATGCAAGTCTAGTTTATTTTGGAGTACCTTCTCCCCGGGTGTCGATTGTTTGTCGTCTTTTGACAAAAGAAAGATATTGACAGGCAAGTATGTTCTCCAGGGGAATGACTTTCACTGCATAGTCTGGACAAAGAAGGTGTTGGCTAGCTTCAATGGCAATGCACTAATTCAGCCAGTAAAATAAAACAGAACAAGAACAGAACAATATGCTATACTCCTTTTGCCGAGCAAAAACCCGCTGAGCAATATCAATAGTAACAAACACCACAAATTACCCAGATAGATGTCCCTCCTCCCATCTCTTCCACCTTCTCAACCAACTTTCAACCCCTCTATCTCTCTCAACTCACTGCTGCTTAACCAACCACCACCCCGCAGCAATAATCCCACCCCCCCAAAGCACAGTCAAAATCCAACTCCCCACTCTGTCTCCAGTGGTGATATGCGGCAGCGCATCGGGCGTATCGTCATTATACGTGTCGAGGAACTGCTCCTTGGCATTGGGATTCGAATCGATTGTCTTGGCCGCCGCATCATTCAGCAGCATCAGATTCGCCGTGATCCCGCCCAGCGCCGCCTGCTGCACCTCAAGTCCCTGGATCCCATCCCACGTATCCTGGTACCAGCGCGAGCCGCAGAGGTTGTTCTTTCCATCTGAAGAGCCGTCACAGGACCGTCCAATGGCCGCTGCGGAACCCTGCAACTTGGGCATGACTTTGTCGCGGAGCTCAGGGACCAGTATCGCTGCCATGGCTATCCACATCGAGCTCCACCCCTTGAAGTTGAGCATGTTCCGGTCGCACGTGTGCAAAGGCTCACAGGCTACATCCGAGAACACAACGCCGTTATACCCCTTGCTCGCGTCCGAGGGGAAGAAGTACCCCAGCAGATGATCCAGCAGACCCTCCGTGCGATTCGCCCATTTTGCGTCCCCCGTGGCATTATACATGTACGCTGCGCCGGCGATATATGTACCGTAGTTATAACTCCACTGCATGAGCCCCGCGTCAATGCAATCGTTCGAGCCGGACGTACTATCCGCCACGCGCCAGTCGCTCGTCCGAATCAGGGGCGAGGCCGCAGACCAGTCCCAGATCTTCTCGGCCCAGTCGAAATACGTCTGGTTGTTCGTGAAACGGCCTAGTCGTGCAGCGAGCTGGAATAACCCGCCGTTCGAGATTGAGTTGCGCAGTGTGTACCCGGCTTGCCAGGGGTGGATCTGCCAGGTGATGCCGCCGTCGCAGGCGCGCTCGTCCCACCGGTTCACTTGCATTGTGAAGACGGCGCGCGCGAGAGAGGTCCACGTCGGCTTGTTGCTTACTTCTGGGAACCCCGTTTCTGAGGCGGTTATGGCCGCGAGACCCCAGAACATTTGGTCGTCGTTGCCCTGCGCATATAATTAATATTTACCCTTCTCTTTTCGAAAGTACGGGGGTGGATTGGGACGTACCAGCCACTGACTGTAATTCGAGTCAAAGTAGTCGTAGTTCCGGCCAGCCTGGAACATCAGATCGTGCGAGACCACGGAATTGTGCTCGTTGTACCCGGAGACATGCCAGAACTGGATCATGGTCATGAACATCGCGCCGGCGACATACCAGGTGTCTGTCAGTTTACCGGGGATGCCCTCGGTCTGGTTGGCCAGGTAGAATTCCCACATGGGGCCGGTGATGGTCTTGCCGGCTTCTTTGAGGGATTCTAGGATGCGTCAGTATGCATCCTTATTTACTTTTGCTTTCGATGGACGGCGGTAGCTACCCTTGTTCGTCGCCTCAATAGGGATATCCGCTAAGACGACCCCGAGCTGGCCCAAAAGCAGCAAGGCCCCACCCAGGGACAGGGACAGGGACAGGGACCATGGAGAAGAGCCCCAGCGCATTGTTCCCGGAAAGCAAAATGCAAGTCTAGTTTATCTTGGAGTATAGAGCTGAAGATAACAGGTAGTAGTCAGGAACGGCATTAACGCAGGAGGGCAGAGGTCGGATGAAGAAAAGTCGCAGCTGATCGGGCCAAGGACCCCTAAACATAGCCGCAAATCACGCCCTCTGCCTGGACCCTTGGCCTGCACGCCAAGCCTGGCTCAGCCCCGGGTGGCGGTGTGCAGCCAATGGGATTGCTCGCCAGCGGAGATGCCAAGGCCTGTTTGTCGGATGGGGTTAGTGTGATCCAGGCTGCCGTTAAAGGGGTGCTGACTCAAGCTGTACTCTTCCCGGACAAGGGAACAACTTTATTCCAGCCAGGCTGGCTTAGGCCTGGCCTGAGGCAACAGGTCTTTTGAGCAGAGTCAATGTCGAATGAGAAAGACTTTTTCGACGTGCCATCATTTGCACCTTGAGGCGTGATGTCTAGGCCCTTCATTGCCCGCCTTTGATTTTTACCCCCGAGTCAGGACATCCATCAGGATTGTGGGCGTTCTTGGGGATGATGGCGTTTACGAATGGGACCGGTTGGCGTTCCATTATTGAGGGAGGAGCTTTGACAAAGGATACCGCAGCCCTGGGAGCGGGGCATCCCCAGCAGAATAATCTGGCGACCTTTGATCTTACCGCGAATACTCCTTTGTACCTGAAATGCCCATCTTCATCCCCAGCCTCTTCCCGCCACCTGTCGTGGTTTGGAAAGTCTTCGACTCATGGCCACAGCTTGGACAGACGAGACCGGACATACTCTCGACCAACCCAAGAATGCGAACTCCCGTCTAGCTTTCCGGCAGAAATCAATTCCTGGCGCACGTCCAGAAGCGAGACCTCCTGTGACGTTGTGACGACGACCGCACCATTAACTCCAGACTCCTCGGCAAATAATTGACAGAAAGATGCTCATCCGAAGTCCTGGATGGCGTCCTTCTTTGTTTCAAGGCCAGTGCTACCGTAGAGACATTCTTGATACTCGTGGTTGACCTCATGACGAGAGACCGTGTCTCTGGGCGAATAACAAAGAGGTGATGCTCAAGGATGTGCGGCCCAGATTTTCAATGACTGACCCCTCCTGGTCGTATCGGCCCAAAAGCGAGAATACAAAGGGGGGTCCAGTCCCTCGAGAATGAGACATTCAGTTCAATCGGTTTTCTCCGTTTTATAGGCTCTACTTGCTATATACCTGAGCAGACTCCGAGACTTGCTATGTCGGGTTCAAACGTTGGCTGCTGGCCTGCAGCGCTCACAGCAGAGATGCTGGACAAAGCCGGGGTCCCAAACGTCCTCTGGGGCTGGTGGTCTTTCAGCCTGACGAATGTTTATCATCCTTTTCCCGTAAATACCCCATATAATTCATACGAGAGATTATCAAAGACCGGCTGACTGAACCGTCATAGGAGGTTGAGTTTGTGGTCGTTGACGACAAGCTCGACGCCGCGGTGGCTGCTCTCAAAACATCAAACAGAATGCGCTTTTGCGCGGATCCCAATTGCCCAGAGACGCGTGCGGACAAGTACCCTAACGAGAGACAGCCTCGTTATGTCAACCAGGCCACGAGCCAGCACATGATCAGTCCTGCGATGGCGGCCCAAATCATGGCCACGAATCGGTTCCATATCCTTGCCGACCAGCACTTCCATCTTGACGCCCGCGGGGGGAGGTTTTCCATCCTCCGCTTGTACCGCAAATCTCGGATGCTCTGGTGGCTGCCAGAGATCCCCCTTGGCCCCGTGGGGAATGACGATTTGATACTATCCACCGATCCCAGTATTCCAGCTAGTAGGGAAAACGGGGGCATGGGGACAGGGCCTTGGACAGACCTTTACCCGGTGAAGACACTCAGGGCTGCCAGATTGTACGAGGTACGTAGTCCCCCATGAAAACATGACCTACCGGTAACTGACGCTTCCTCCTGTCTTGAAGTCTGTTATCCTCCTCTTTTGTATCCATTGGGCCGCCGCCGATGAGTCTTACGACGTACTTGACAACATGGTAAGTACCGGTGTCATGGACACGAAAAAAGAGGATAAGTCGAAAAATCCCGTTTATGTCGAAATCAGGGACAACCTGAAGCCCGAGTTCAAGGCAGTCTGGGACTCATTTCATCCACCTGTCCCCCGTACAACACCGCGTACGGAGAATATTAATTTCCCGCTCCTGCGGCTGCGCAAGAAACTGCTGGCAGGGGAACTGTCACAGAGCCTGAATATGCCGCCCCTGCCTCTTATCAATCCCAATGCCTTGGTGAGGCTTCCGGATATTGAGTAGGTGGAATTATGATTCAGCCTCTTCCCGTTGCTGCTCTCTCGCGCTGAGATTCAACATCTCTCTCCTTTTGTATTCGCTTTCATCGACCTCGTTATCGATCGTATGTCTTACTTGTACCTAAGCATTCAACATCCCATGCCCTTCGCCTTCGATGATTTAGTTAAGAATCTACTTTCACAATCCGTCCAACTACCACTCTCGTGGTCTGGTGTCGAACGTAGAGGAAGGGTAAACAGAAAAGGGGCCAACACGAGATCCCTCTCTCAGCAGCCATCCGGAACATCCACAGCGCTCCTACCTATCACGGCGGCCTTCTGGAATCTTCATCGAAGCTTCTTTGTCGTCCGCTTCCCACCGCTTGAAGACGGAATCGCTGGCCCAGATGTGGCTGAAGATACAAGTGTAAATTGTCATCTTCAGCCCGATCTTACTTGCCTACGACTGCGACCGACCCTCGTCAGACCCATCGACACCAACCCGACCATCATTCCTCGCTCGAGGCCCACTTAGCGGCGTTCCGTACTGTATCATTCCTCAAAAATGAGGATTCCCGGACCCGTGGAGGTGCTCGAAGCAGCTTCTGCAGCAATCGCCGAATTGGCGCAGGTCCCAGAGGTCCAAGACATGTCGATGATCATCGTCGGCCAGGCCGCGATGCAAGATTGAGGCTGTTGCACGGGCGCCTCTCGGTTAGGTAGATACGGACGTTTTCCAACCCCTGCCATCCTTTCCGTTATTCTCTTTCTTTGAATGGGGATATGAAACAAAATACTGACGTCAGCCTTTGTACAGAATGTCGAGATCATGATAGAGGCTAAAGAGACAAAGGCAGTACTCCAAACTAAGCTTGGGTGGGAAATTTTGCATGCCCAAAGGATTTGTTCTTCCGACGAGGACCTGGTGGACGTCGTCTCTTCACAGCCACTGGATTGGCTATACAGTTCTGACCAGCGATCATGGGAGGTAAGACCGGGTTATTTACAATAGTACATCCGCTGATTTCTCTGATGGAGTGGGCCTTCACTCCTCGCAACATCCTCTGCATATATACTTCCTGGGGAATGTCACACCTGCCTCCTGTCCGGCGAGGACATTATCATATCCAAGATGTGCGCTGTCGGAGTGCACAACTTCGAATGGAAGCATAAAAGGGAGACGACATGCATTAGCACTCTATCTGCTGAGCTTAAAGATGATACTGCTGCCGCTCAGTAACCGGAACCCCCAATCTCTCCCACCACCCCTCAACGCCCATGTCCGCCTGTCCACTACATACCGTTAGCAAACAGATAATCAAAAGCAGATGGTCAAGGCACATACTCATCCCGCTTAATAACCGTCGGCTCCGTCTGCCCGGCGGCCTCGTCTGGATTCCGGAAGACAACGTTGTATTTCTGCCGGCCTGATCAGCAAACTGCCTCTCCACGATAATACCTAGAAGCAGATACATACCAGTCCGAGCGTTAGGTGAATCCCAGCCGGGGACCTTGGGTACTCCTCCACCGGCTTCTTCCCCTCAATCATCGCCATGATATTCTTCACGACCGTCGCCGCCTGCGTCGCACCAGGCCTTGCAGCCTTGCGCAGCCCCGTGTCCGCGATGTCACCTACAGCATAAAGATGCGGATACTTCTCATCCGCGAACTGCATAGTAGGCCGGATGCGGATAAAGCCATTGGACTGGCTGAGCAGGCCTTCCGGAGAAGATGAAGGGAGGTCCGAGAGCAAGTCGGTATTCGGCGTCTGGCCCGTCGCCAGAATCACAAAGTCGTACTTCGACGGCAGGGTCGTGCCATCCGTAAGCTGGACTTCAAAGGGCGTTGTGCTTGGAAAGCCGGACTGCGGTACCTTGACGCGCGAGCCCGTAACGAATTTGATCCCCAGCTCGTCGAACCGCTTCATGATGAGCTCGTGCAGACCGACGTGGTACTGCGGCATGAGCTTCGGCCGCGACTGCACGACTGTGATCTCCTTTTCCGGATAGAGCTCCTTCAGATCCGTTGCCATTTGCACGCCTACGGCGCCACCGCCGGCAATCAGGATGCTCTTTGAGTTCTTGATGTCTGCTTGGTGCTTTTGCAGGTATGCGACCGAGGAGATTTTGTCGTTGTCTTTCATGCCTGCGGGCTCGGACAGGCGCGTCCCCGTCGCGACGACGAGGTACTCGAATGGAATCTTGGGCGAGCCTTGCCAGTCGCGGTCGATGTTGACATAGTTTGGTTGCACGGAGAGAACGCGCGCTTGGATTACGCTGTGGTTTGTCGCGGTGTTGAAGAGGTGTGTGTAGGGGATGAAAGCCTTGTGTTCGTGGCCGGGGAGGATGGCGAAGCGGGGCTGCTCATTGTCAATGGAAATCTTTAAATAGGAACAGGGGCATTCGTACAAATGCAAAAAGGTGGTGGAAGTGACTATGCGGCTCGATCAGGAGGACGCGGTGGGTGTTGGGGACGACCTTTGCGAGCTCCTGGGCGGTTGATTTCCCGACGTACGAGCCGCCGACGACAATGATGTTCTTGAGTGCGCTGGCCATGTTGTGTGTAGTTTCTGGTGTGTTGGAGAAGCAAGGGGCGTTCTCTGGTTATGTATGGCGGCGGAGTAAGACTTAACCCCCCAGGCCCACCGGGACTTCCGCTTATCTGATCATCTTATCTCCGGCCCGGTCTCGGACCTACTGCTCTCGGTGTTAACGCCGTGTCTACTTGACATGACGTGGAATGCTTCTTGCGATGCACGGAGTCGAGTATCTGGTCTGGTGCCGGAATTCCGGAGGCTGAGAACGACAGCCGCTGCTGCCTGCGTTCCATGTGAGCGGAGCCGGACTCCTTTACAGAGCAGCTTTACCTACACGAGATCTTGTTTAGCTGTACTGGCCACTAATACTTGATGGTCGAATCGGACTGTTGGAATCTCTCCATATTGAGCCCCTCGTCCACCTGCCCGCCTTTCTCTAAACAACCCCATAAACAACCCCCAGCATATCAACCTCATCCCCGGCCCTCCCCCACGCCCCAACAACACCCCATCCCTCCTCAGCCTCAAACGAAACACACTCATCCGTCTCCGTCCCAACCGCAAGCTCATTGCCGTCACTCGTGGTAACTTGCATATAAAAGATCCGCGTGTGATCGTTGTACTTGCCCTGGCACAGCTTCGTCGTCGTCCAGGCCTCGCCCTCACCCAGCGTGAGTTCTTGCGCTGTTCCTCCAGTCCCGCCGTGCGTTATGGATGTCCCGTTGCTGAGGGTCAGGGTTATGCTGTCGAGGCGCTCTGCGCCGGCGATCGAGATTGAGGAGAGCTTTGAGGTGCTGCTGAGGGAGGGGAGGTCGTTGAACCATGTCCTGTTTGGACTTGTTAGTTTGATGCGTGGAGAAGGAATGGGAGAGGCATACCCGTGCGGTCCGCCGTAGAGGTTACTCAGTCTGAACGAGTCGCTCTTCGTCCAGGTGAACTCGCTAGTGATCGGGTTGTGGTCTGAGAGGATGGTCCCGTTGTTTAGGAACTTGGTGTCCTCATAGGCCCATGACGTTGCTTGGAGCGTTAGGGCAGGACTGCCGCGGTAGCTGTGCCCAATCCCATTCAGTCAGCATGCCAGCTCCGATATCCTCAGTGAAGGTTGAGGGAAACATACAAGATCTTATCAACAGTCTCACACGTCTCGCTGGTCGTCGGGTTCTCGCAAACAACCGCGTCCGTCCCCTCCGTCGGCTCGACGCCATCAAGCACGAGCTCAACCCACGGATTCGTCATGCCGTTCTGCGTCTCGAAGATGCGGATGTTCTCGCCGGACGACGTATACCGCGCATTCGTGTCGCCGTACACCAGGACTGCGTTGCCGATCGAGTTGGTGCTGATGTAGTCGGCGACCTGCTGCAGGTTTGCGCTGCGGGCGGTTACGTCTTCATCCTCGGATCTGGCCATATTAGCACCCCACCCACAGCACTTCCACAAGGAAAAGAAGGCATACCCCGCGTCTGCATGCAGATTATACGCGTCAACATAGACCCCATCCTCGAGCTTCACCCGCATCACCGTGAAGCCCTTTGGCGTCCAGCAATCGAACCCGCTTGCGTCGGAGCAGGTGTCCCACTTGACGCGCTCAAAGTCGATCCAGTTGTAGTTGGAGAGGGTATTGAGGCCTGAGCCGAAGGGGACGCCGCCGGATGTTGAGGTGCGGTAGGTGTGGTTGTCGGTGGAGTAGAGGGCGGCGTGGTAGTTGAAGTCCTGCACTTGTCAATAATGGTTTGGGCGAGGGTATGGAATGGGAGAAGAGCACCTCCTGGACGTGGATGATGTCGTAGGCGTACTCGGAGAACCGCTCGCCGATGATCTCGGTGTTTTCGGTTTTGTCGCCGGGGACGTCGTTGTTGTTGAGGAGTTCGGGGAGGCCGGCGACGTTGAAGGAGAGGATGTTGAAGGTGCCGGTTGTTGCGGCCAAAGCTGGGCTGGCCAGGAGAAGGGAAGAGATGGACTTCATCGCGCTCTAGTCTTTGCCTTGATGGCCAAAAGAGAATTTGGCCGGGTTGACAACGACATATTTATACACAACTCCCCAGGAAAAGATACTTGTCTTGTCTACTTCTCCGCAGCTAAAGAAGCTAGTCGACCTCTGAAGAATCACCTTTGATTAATTAATATACGCACTGACACGTTTAGCCCTGACGATCATCAATAGGTTGCGCGCCATATTGACTGATAGCCAGGAACCACTTACATTAGCCAGAAGCAGCACATGCCGTTACTTACTACGCACTAAACTAGGTACACACACATAGTACAATCACATAGGACAAAGCAAAACATACAACAGAGAAAAACAATTACAATGCCGTGATGGAAATCCGCTTCGCACCGCCATTCCCCGTGAGCAGCGCCGACCCGCTCGACTGCCGGAGGTGATTCTCATGCTTGGCCGCCTCCTCCACGTCAAGACTAAACCGTCTTGGCCGCTGCCACATACCCACCGACTCATCGTTCGACGCAGCCTGCAATCGCTCAATCGGGAGTCCGAACTTTGTCGCAATCTGCTGCACGCGCTCCTGTGCGGTCGCGGCATCAATCGCGGCACTCTGGCCCTCCTTGGCTAGACGCATCTGCGCATGCTGCAAGAGCTCGAGATGCTGTGTTACTGCTTCAACGGCACCGTTTTTGCCGTGTTCATCGCTGTTCAGGAGTTCGGCGAGAGCGGTCTCATGCAGTGCTGCTGCGGCGAGATAGTTCCCGGATGCGGTGTATAGCCCAGAGAGCAGCTTGTTCATTTCTAGGGTTACCGGATCAGTATTGCCCCAGACTTGGCGGAGGTTGTAGCAAATGTCTTTGCCGAGCTGCGTTGCGGCGTTGACGTGGCCGCGGCAGAAGCGCGTTTCGACGAGGCGGCGGCCGATCCAGACGACTGCGGATAGGGACCAGGTCTTTTGGATCATACGGGACGTCCAGAGCTCGGTGAGGATGGACTACTTGGTTAGCTTTGGCTGACTGGTTGGCTGGGATGACATACCTCAAGGTCTTCGAACATCTCATGCTCGCCCAGCACAGTGATGAGATCGTTGAGCTCGGTAAAGGGCAGCTCAGTGAACTGCAGCGGCAACTCCTTTGCCGTCTTCATGATCCCCTGTAGGAGCATTTCCGATTCAACGGACATTCTCTTCGCTACGCCCTCGTCCGTGCACTTGTTGACCTGATACCCGCTAAGATACAAGCAAAGCTTGACAGCCGTGAAGATAGTCTCCATCGCCCGCAAGCTGTCAGTCAGATGCGCAAAAGAATGGAACACGCCCGTAACGACAGCCGCATCCTCGAATCTAGAGGCGTTGCACATATCCTTCACCAGACCAGTAAGTTCGGTCACGATGTCGAAAGTGTAGTTTTCGTTGAGGCTCTCGCGGCGACACATGGAGTAGAAGACCTGGACAACTTCTTTCGAACGCATAGGCCGCGCCACGGACAGCGTATTACAGAAGTACTGATAAAGTTGCACCTCGGTATTCTTGGCCGCTTGGGTTTGCTTCTGCTGGTTCTGGAGACGAAGCAGCTTGTCACCAGCTGCCAGCGTGGGCATGAGGTCGTGGCTCGTAAGGCTCTGCTGGAAGTTGTTGTACACCTGCCCTTCGTGAGTCAATTCGTCAAGGATCTCCCGCGCTGACTGCCGCTTGCCAAAAACCTCCTCGAATGCCGCCACAAAAACTGCTGGTCGATGTTCATCCAAGGCCTGACGATGCGTAGCTGGAGTCTCTTCGATAACCTGCTGGCGTAGGCTACTGATCAGTGCATTGCCTTCATCGATGTACCCACACTCCAAGTAGATCTCCGCTAGCTTGCGGCCGCGATCAGCAAGGGTCTGCTGGTTTCCAGTGACACGAATGACCTCCTCAGCATGGCCACCTAGAATCTTTGCACCCTGCTGACGCAACGTGGTAGACTCGGAACTGGAGTACATCCGACAGATCTCTTGCAGCCACTGCAGTGTCGTCGGGGCCGACAAGCCTTGCTGCTGTTTAGCCAGCGCAAGCTCCTCCATGTACAGCTTACGCGCCTCGGGTGTTGCTTGACGGTGACGCAGATAAAGCTGTGCCATGCGGTGCTTGATGTCAATCGAAAGGGGATCCTTCATGTCCTTCAAGGAATGGGTGGCTTCAGACTGCGGAACCCAGTCGTGTGTGTTCAAGACCTGCTGGTACAAATGGATCGCGTCGCCCGAGTGCTGATCGCTTTCTGCGGAAAGCCCCGCAACTGAAAGCGTTGCGTCGCGGGTTCGAGCATGTGTCGGTCCGTACAGCTTGCGGCAAAGCTGCTGATGCTCAGAGGCAACCTGAAGGCGCTCCGTATATCCTGCTTTGATAGCGGGGTGCATCAGGAGCGACATGTAAGCGGAGTATGTCTTGGGCAGTAAGCCCTCAAGAAGAGCGCGGTCATAGCCATCCTTCTCATCAAAGCGCACCAGTGTCGGCCACAGGTGCCGGTACACCTCCAAGGCTGCATCCCAATTTTTGTTCTGCTCGTAGAGTGCCACTAGGGCTACAGCAGCACGTACGCCCGACGCTGCAATCTTGCCATCCTTGATAGACGCCTTGTAAATATGACGGTAACTGCTTTCGGCTTCTATACGGCGGTCCAAGCGGAACGCGAGATCACCCTCATAGTAGCGGCTGTCAAGGGTGTGCTTATCCTTCTCACCGAGCCGCGACGCAAAGAACTCACTGACCTGGCGTAAAAGAACCAGCGCTTTGTCGAACTGGAAGGTGCTCTCGTAGAAGTCCACCACAGTCTTGACAACTGTTGTAACAGACTGCACCTCTACCTGCTCAGCCGTTATGGCGGCCTTGAACGCATTTCCGTAGACAACACTTGCTGCCGGAACATCCAGTCGGCGGAATAGACAGTATGCGTGGTCCTGCGCTAGATCAGCCATCGTGGGAGCCTCGTCGCATGAGAACTTGTCCTTGGACGCCGGGTCCTCAAAACTAGGCCATGTATGTTTTAGAACCGCACAAACGATTTCACTTCCCTGCTGCCATTGACCGTCTTTCATGTGCTGACGTGCCAACTGATGGCATAGTCGAAGCAGCGGCATGCGCCGGCTAGCTTCATCAGTCGCGGCAGACGCAATGCTGTCGATCCATTCAGGAAGCATTTTGTTCTCCTCTACTGAAAGGTTACCCATATCGGCTGCATGTCCTTCCGCAGGGATAGCTCCTTCAGTAAGGCTCCGTGCTAGGGTTATGGCATCATGGTGGTACATTTGGTCTGTGGACCTGTAGTACTTCCACAACTGCATTCCTAGGGCGCGATCCATGTCATAGAGTTGCATCTCGCGAGCCTCCCGCCGTAACTGCTGTGCACGACTGGCCATCGCTGAAGACCGAACACCTCCTTCTGCCTCCAGATCAGTAGACAGCTGGCGGAGGAGAGCGGCGGCATCGTCATGGTTGCCTTGCCGCTTAAGGAACTTGGAATAATAAAATACGACCTTGGTCTTTTGGTCCCATGGCGCCTTGTGTTCTTTATCCGGGCCGTATAGACTCTGCCACAACTTCGTCAAGACCTCCTCGGCTCTAGCCGGTTGCGAATTCTCTTCGTACATCTTGGCCAGCGAGAGCGAGTATTCCACCCGACGCGGATCCGAGGCATCCATCGAGCGAACCATAGTCTCGTATTTTGTCTGGGCAAGCTCCAAAGCAAGATCATCCGGAGGGGCGATTCGGAAGTTGTTGGTGAGATATTCCGCCGCAGCCATTGTTTCCGATGAGTACGGTCCGTATACCTTGACGGTCTTGTGGTAGAACTGTTTCGAGACATCATACGCCTTGTCATGTTTGTTTTCCTTCTCGCAAGCCTTAACAAGCCTGTCAAGATACTGCAATCGCTGAGCGAAGCTAATATCCGATGACTCCCACCCGTCCAAAGCCATACCCCGGAGTGCATCTGTTCTGAGACCAGCTGCACGGTCCGCTTTTCCAGCGCCTTCAGCAGTCGCTACAAGGAGCTGCTCAAGGTCATGTGTGATGGTATCGGTCGGACCCAGCCGCATGCGACTGCGGGTCCATGCATCGTACAGATGGTCGTTAGCCCACGGTGCCTGAGCTCGGTCTGCTGCACGGGCGCTGATAATGAGACTTTGTAGGACGGCTGGCGAGTCCATACCCAGCACATCCCGTCGTACCGTGACAGCTATTTTGTATAAAGTGGTGATACTTGAGCGACTGAATTGAGACTCTTGGTTGGTGAGCTCTAACTGAGCGAATAGTACCGAGTCCGGAAGGGCGCGCTGGAAGGCTTGGGAGTATGAAAGCTCGTCATCAACCGCCATGCTCGACGAGAGCATATGCGACATCCAGTATCGGGCGGTATACTCCAGCAAGATAAACGCATCAAGGTACCGGTCACGCGCGAGAACAGTCATCTTATCCCAAGACACAGGTATCTCATCCGTCAGATTTCGACGTACCCAGGTCAACGAGCGGATCAGAAGATCATGGTGTGCATCTCCTAGAGTGAAAGTGACAACCTTCTTCATCTGTGCCCTTGCTTGGATATGTTCGCGAACGATAGGATGGCGGAAGGTGACGAAGCCGTCTCGAAGCGTGATCAACCGTCTAAGTGGCTCGAATACGTCCCGTTCGACGTTTCCAGACCATGTTGATAGCTTGTGAGTTTGCGTGTTGACCGATAGCAGCTGCTCGACTTCATTAGGCCGGAGGGGACGCTCCGCCACCGTAAGCCAGGCCAGAAGACTATGAGTGCCGGGACGCTGTAAGTTGGTGCTACGCAGATGCAGGTCGATAAGCCCGCCCAGGTTGTTGGGAATTTCATTGACCGCTGTATGCATATCGCTGTATGTGTGTTGAGCTCGCACCGCCTCCACGGCCAGCTGCGCCCATATAAAGCAACCCTGGGAGCGAGCTTCGATTCCACGTATCAAGGGCTGCCGCTGAGATAAACTCAGCCCGGCGAATGCCGGATCGTAAGTCACCAGGTCGCGGATTGAAGCTTTCAGATCGCTTTCCGTAATTGACGCGTCCATTGCAACCTGGTGCGTAGTTTTGGTCTCGCGAATAGGGATCTGTTCCTTGCTCAATGGGCGGGTGAAGATAATCAACTTAGAGGGGGTATCGACAACGGTAGCCTGCAAAAGCTCGAGGAAAGCGCCAACACTGTTCGTGGCGTGCCTTATTTGATCCATCCCGTCGACGACAATCATGAAATGCAGATTCGACTGAGCGGCCGTGCGAATCGCGGTCCACAAGAGGCCCTCAACTTGAGGGTCAGATGCTCCTGTCTCGGCCTCAGTAATGGCTTCGGCGACCACAGCAATTATATCGTCTTGGGTCTTGCGGCTTGTTACGCAGCAGTCAAGCATCTGTATCAAAATACCCTTGAGAATGCTAAGGGTCAACGTGGTTATATGTACATCGGACCGGATTACGATGGGAATGACATTCCAGATGTCGTACTCGGAAGAGACCTGTAGGCGCTCGATTGTCCACTGGGCAAGTGCGCTCTTTCCAGCACCCGGGTTTCCTCGCACAAGCATCAAGCTCCGTGGGCCAACAGTGAAGGTAGTCAAATGGGACTCAAACCACGAAAAAGACCCGTCTGCAAGCGAGTGGGCTTGGCTTTCGAGCAGCATCTGGAGAGGGCGATCCTGAATTTCGAGGAATTGGTACACAGTTTCCAGATCGACATGTTGCATCTTGGACTTCACAGCCGTCCAGCTTGCCTTGCGTATCCGGCGCCAATGGATGGTAAATCGGTTGAAATAGCAGAAGAACCCATGGTTGATAACCTCGTGCATGGACTGCCAGTTCTGTGTCCGCATAACCTGCCGGTACTCCACAGAGATATGAACAACCAGCTGTAGGAGGTGGGCGTAGATCTCGGCAACCTCTTGCTGTAAAGCCCTAGACATCTGGAAATCGTTCTCTTGTTGAAGCAAGTACGAAATGCCCAATGTGACTCGACCAAATCGGCTGAATATGGTATCAATCATTTCGATGTTGTCAATTCCCATCTGACACAGTCAGCAACGCCTGGCATGGGCGAGGCGAACCTACCTCCAACAAAAGCAGCGTAGTTCCCCATATCATCTTGGTCGCGTCTTCCGCGCCATCCATAAAGCTCGTGACCGAATCGCGCAACGACGCAACCGCAAAAGCCAAACGCGACGCTCGGCGGAGAGTACTATCCAGGCGACTGCCGTCCGCGGGCATCCGGCGCAGCCGCTCCCCAGCTATCGCATCGAAAAACTCATCGACAGTCGGTGACTTTGCTTGAAGTTCCTCGGATGTCAATCCCAGACGCGCATGGCACTCATGGGCGACGGTGTCCACCGCGCCTCGCAGGATCGGAAGCGATGTTGGGCCGCTGTCAACGGCACTGGCCTGCGTTGCAGGCATGCTGCTCAACGCGGCACTGAACCCAAACATGCTGTACGGCAATGGTAACTTGACTTTTGGTGCGTCGGTCAGTCTCCGAGTAAAGATGATAGATATAACAATGCGCGACAATGTTGTCATGGACTGCGCCCTGCCCGATGTGCGTGAGATCTGACATCATGAGTCTGTTTACCGCGAGTTCATTATTGGGGGAGCCACTGTACAGGCTGTGCCTGCGGGGAAGGCTGTCTCAGTGAACGGACGCGGAATTGGCATAGTCGTGGTGTCATGGTGAGACTTCGGTTTGTGGTGGTGTTGATGACATCAACCAGGGAATCCGTCTTTGAGATCTCGGGTGGACGCAGAAGGACGACCACTATTGGATGGCAGTAGATCGGAACCTTGATCCATGGATGCTAACCTAGGCGGCACTATCTGTGATGGTTCGATGATGCAGGTCGGTCAACAAGACAAGATTTGAAGATGGAAATGTGTCAGGGATGGAACAATAATCGGCGGGACATCTCCATCCCATTGATGTGCTCCTGAAACCCGTATCATTGATAATGAATTGAGAGGATTCGTGAGCCCAAAGCCCTCCAAGCATCTACTCCATGCCTTGCGTCCTGAAATGAATAGGGCTATATTATCGTCGGTGAAACTCAACCATTATGTACAGATCGAAGGTCATACTTTACCGAACAAATTCGTCAAGACACAAGCAACATCAACCCAGCTGTGTGCTGGATACGAGCCAGTAGATCCAAATTCCTAATCGCTCTTCACATTCACAGCTTAGCCGATTCTCCCTCTAAATCAAACTCCGTGGTACACAGCAAGAACGTGTCCTTCAAGGCCTAACAACAACCCATCAATTAGCAACCATCACACTCTACGTCCCATCCCAAGTAGAGCGGGCAGGACTTACCCCAAGTCTATACTTCCGATTAACCTCCTGATAATCCTCACCAGAAAGCATATCACAGAAATGCCGAATCGACGGATAATGCACGATGGAGATCTCATTCCACCAGTCCTCCTCCGGCCGATCCACACGTCCCCTCGAATCCGAGAACCCCGAGTCCGAGTTCGCAGCTGCCGAACGCCCAGCTGCAGGCCTGATAACATTGCCAACGAGCTTGGCGCTTCCCCCGCGTTTGGCAGCAACGGGGTTGAAGCCCTGTACATACGCTTAGAAACCATCGCAGACGTACAAAAAGGAATAAAAGCGCACCTGTCCATATCTATAATACTCCTCCTTCCCACCGGGAAAATGGAAATGCAGCAAGTTCAGCATAGTCACCGGCTTATCATGCACCTTCGTAAACTCCTCCATGAACGCGAACAGCTCCGGGCTGACTTCGAGGTTCTGCCCGTCATTCTTTGCTTGTTTCTCCTTCAGCCCGTCTAGACTCCCCGTCAAGGGCACATTCTGCGCATTCTTCTCCCGCTTTAGCGCTGCATCACGCTCTGGATATGTATTCAGCAGTCTGCTCGGAATCCCCACGTGGATCTTATATTCCGCCTTGATGTGTGATGCGAGGGTTGGCGGGAAGAGGGGCTCGCGTGGGCTTGGCGGTTGTAAGAGGAGGAGGATGTCCCAATTTTCGGAAAGGAGAGGGGATCTGTCGAGGATCGTAGGGGAGATTATGGTGCGGCGGGGGCGCGAGGCAACGATGACTTTGGTGCTGGCGGCTTTTTTGAGCTCCGAGAGGAATGTGCTCGCGGTTATGGATGGGTCGAGGCGGAGGAGGTGGAGGGATAGGGCGGGCATTTTGCTGTTTAAACCTTGAAGTAGATTGAAAGTATGCTCTGAGTAGAATGTATAAAGATAAGTAGAGCCAGGCAAATGGGTGAATTGAATTGAAATGGAGGTTGGTTTGTGTTGACGCTGCGGTTAGTGATGGATCGCTGATGAGCCGAGGCTCGTCAGTGCGGGGATGGACCTCATAGACGTCACTTTGAGCTGGAGTGGACCGTTGGAACATTGCTGTTATTGAGAGGCACGTTCATTCCTAGAACTCATTGCAGACAGTAGAATACAATATATGTACTCAAAGCTTATCGGACTTGAGTTCCCCCGTTGTATACAAACATTGCAGGTAAGGTCACTGTTAGGGTACGAAGTAACTGTCTGGGGTATATTTTGTATGCAGTTCAGAATGCCAGAAAACCAAAGCGCCATCAAACCCAATTACATAGTACATTTTGTGTGTCATAAACCAGATAATCCCAAGCACATTAAAAATACACATCGCATTAGTTCATTCTTGGCCCTTGACCTCAAGCAATCCTCAACAAGCCCATACGCAGTAGTCCCGTCATGCTAGGCACGAAAGGCCTCAAGAAGATCGAGGTTGAAGGTAGTACTACTAATTTCACGACTCCGCTCATCCTCTCCAGCCAAGAAAAGTCGAGTCATCGCCAGGTCATTTGACTTCTTAGCGGGTGGTGCAACACGGTGGCTTGATGCTTGAGGCCGGACGCATTTGCGTCGTTTGCGCCGTTCTCGGCGACGCAAGGTGAGGCAATCGGCGCGGCTTGGTTGCTGTTGCTGGCGGTGTCCCCGTTGCCTTGTATTCGCGCGCTAGCGGACAGTTAATTTACCAATAGCCGAGGCCGCTTGTTTGTTTTCCCTGTCCAGTCTAGAGTAGAGACTCTAACGACCAGCGGAGTCAGGGTTGCGGAGTGGTGCCGCGACTAACGCAAACCCCTCACCCCAAAGTGGAGATAAATGCCGGTGCTCAATTTCATCACACTCCAGATTCGTTTCCAAGATTCTCGAGTGAGATGAAGGCATTGCGGTAATTGTAGTGGCTCCGGCCGTGGTCTTGATGCAACGGCGCCTGGTAATCCATCAATTCTGGGTCGAGGTTCACGCCCATCGGGTGGCGAGATGGAGAGCGGATCGTGAAGCCGCCTTGGGGGTCAACGGGGAGCCAGTTAGCGGTGAACCGAGTCGACCCGTCCGGCATCTCCAACGGGGTGAGATTTGTTTCCTTGACATCGTGTGATGCGAGGTATACAGGTGCGTTAGCGTTGCTGTTGCCGGCTTCTGGGAGTTGGTACACCTGTGGGACTTCAAAGGCTGGGACGTCGTGCTCGTCTGTATCGCTGGCTATTGATTGATGACTTGAGCTTGCACTGGGTGAGCTGATGCCTTGCTCCGCTATTGGAGAGAGAGGGTTGGCAGTGGTCGCACTGGCTGGGGGGATGTTCATGTAAAGCGCGCGTTCGGTCGCCAGCTGCGACGCGGTTCGGAGAAGGTCATCGAGAGAATACGGACTGTTGTCTGCTTGTGGATTCTCGAATCTGTTTTGACGGTTTAGTTAGCTACCGCTGCTCTTTTCCGTGCTCTGCAGCGGACGCTGTTTTTCTTACCTTGGTGAGAGCTTCTCCGGCCGGCTGGAGAAGGCGCGGCCTGTTTGAATTGGAGAAAGCGACATCTGCTGGTAGGGCGTCTTCGCTGCTGCCGGCGTCGCAAATCCGTATGCCTGGTTCACCTCGACTGGCTGCCATGGATGTACGTCGAAGCTTTGCATGTCGAACTGGCTTCTATACCACAGCTCCTCGTCACCCGCAACCTCAGGCTCAAGGTTGAAGGTCGGCTCTTGAATCATGGGGTCAAATTCCCAGCCCGGGACATTGCACGGCATGCTGGTGTCCGTCATTGTGCTCATTGATAGTACTGTTCTGCTTGGAATATCGCAGGCAGCTTCTCAAGCAATGCGCATGGCAGTTAACAGCTTCAGACTAGGGACTTGGAAATAAGTAGTTGTCGGGGGAGCAGGCGGGATTGGGACGGTCCTTGAAATTTAAATCTGGAGTTAGCTCCATCAGGTCAGGTCATGAAGTGGTCAGGCCGAGAACGGCGGCCAAAAGGAGGAACCATCCCCATAATATTGCAGTCGAGCTAGTCCCCAGACTACAACATGCTTCGGTAAATTGAGAGCTGGCGGTGATTCGGTGTGCGCAGTGCTCACCCCACACAAGGTCCGACTATCCATGTAAATGAAGGAGGCCTGCAGAAGCGTGGCGACGGGAGAATCGACCGTACGTTGATCGCTCGTTAGGAGAGGTGAGAGTGAGAGTGAGACCACTGGGCTCAGGTCCCTACCCCAGGTATTAACCGAGTCTTTCCCCGGATTCTGGGTTCCTGTGGAGGCCAACCATTGATGGTTGCGCAAAGACCTCAATGCAGGTGCAGGCTAAATCTCGGCTGATTGGTGTGGGCTCGGTAAAAGACGAATTAACCGACTCGCTGCCCTGAACCCTGTCTGGGGAAGGGCCTTGCCGGCTGTGGGAAAACCTCCGGTCTGGATTCTTCCCCTTGACCTTGGACACCTGGAAAATGCGGAGACGAATCATGAGACACCAGGAGCTTTCCACATGCAAGGTTCTCGCTTCCAGAACAAGGACAATCATTACATCGTACAGGTATACTCCGACCACCAAAGATCGCGGCCAGCTTCGTGTCAAAGTACGTATGTACATTAATACAGGATTCTTATATATATATGAAGATGAAAAGTCCACGCAATTAAGCATTGGACGGATCCTGCCCGTTTCAACTTCGGGCAGGATCGACTATAAGGGCCAGCCATCACAGTCAGTGCCCGGAGAACTTGGCGATAGATCGGATTAAGATTAGTGCACCCCGCAAAAAGAACAGGGGGTCAACTGTCAGTGCCGGCAGATGAAATGGAAACGGTGGGCCTCAGAGGGCCAACCCGGTTCCCTTCCTTGTCCACCGGTATAGCGCTAGGACGGCCTTGCGCCGGTGGCGTATCTCGCTGTGATTGACTGGCCTCCCCCGCGCTTGGGCGACGGCACTGCGCATGACCTGTCGGAAATTTCTCTGGTACTCGGTGTTTAGAGTGACAACACATGATTCCGTCGCTCGGATCATCACCTCGCATGCATTAAGGATGCCTTCCCCGGCCTCCTTCTGCAGCCGCTCAACGATCAACAGGAGAAGGAAGCTCCCTTGCAGCAATTGGATACCGAAGAAATAAGGCATGAAGCTAATGTCGGGGTCGAATCGGAGAATTTGATCAACTGAGTTGGCTGCATCCAGCGCGTGCGAGATGGTCGATGCGAACGCGGGGGATGACGTCCAGAAATCTTTGTCCTCGATCAGGGACACAGGGTCCCACTTGCCGACTAGCAGAATATGGAGCACGTGGACTAAATATGACGCATACGATATAACCGTCTGCGTGTGCCATGCGTAGGCTTGAGACAGTGATGGCTCGGCTGGTAAATGTTCGGGCTGGGCGTGCGCATAGGCGGAAAGGGGTGCTTCCGGGTCGGATGTGGTCGCGGCGAACGTCGTGAGGCTAGCCTTGTAGATCTCCAGCTGGCGTAGGACTTCGCTTACATGGACATTCCACGCGTCCTTGCCGTTTAGTCGTATGCCAAGCATTGGGTGATTCCTCGCCTGGTTTAGGTCGATGAGCTCGCCAGTAATGGTCATGAGGGGAAGGAAGAAACCGAAGACAGAATGGTCATGGCAGATAAAGTTGGGAAACAATCGGCGTTTGTTCTTGTCGGCAGAAAGTAGACATTGTGGCCCGTCTGGCTTTGGGCTGTTGCTGTGGATAACGCCTGATTGCCATGATGCTTCGTCAAGCGGTAAAAGTAGGTCTTCACTTTCGGCGTCTAGCAGGGCCAGTGGCCGGTTGTAGCACAGCGCGAGATGGCGGTCCATGATGTACAAGAGCCACCAGGTTCGTCGCCGTTCCTCGCGGTGCTCCTCGGTAATGGTGTTGTGCTCTTGACGATCACAAACACAGTTGAGGCTGGACCTGACCGGGTTCGAATAATCGAAGACGGGGCCTGGGTCAGCGCCGTCCCAGCCGGGCAGCGAGTATCCAAAAGGCGGGCTCGACCCTTCGACTTGGTTCTCGCCACTTGGCATCACTTCGATCTCTTGGTTTAGCTTGAGCTCTCGTGCTAGGGTAAAGGCCGCATGCCACCATCGCATACTGGCAGCCTTTTGTTCACTAGACGAAATGATAGACGCGACATGAATGTAAGTAATAACGTCATCAAGGGAGCCTGCTGGGCCTACAAGCCCCCTATCGTCCCCTCCTCCTTCGAACGGGTGGTGCACTGTGGTAGGCGGCAGATCCGGGCCAACACCAGCAAACGCTGGATCACTCGTGGCCGCCGCTGCCGCTGCCGCAACAGCTTCTGCGGCGCCTCCCTGGTCCTTGAAAGAAACATGAATCAATGGCCGTAGCAAGCGGAGCGTCAACGCACAAAGAAACTGGCAAATCCTCTTCCGCTGAGGAGGGGAAATGGGTAATGAAAAAGCCCTGTCGTCCAAGGCAGCTACCCAGAGCATGCTTGATAACAGTGCCGGACTGCTGGACCGCGGCGCATCCTTGCTGAGGAAAGAAGCCTTGCGTAGGACATAACAATGAATATGGTGACATACGGGGTGCATATGAGTGGAGAAGGCACTGGTGAAATAGAGGTCAAGCAGGTCAAATACAAGCTTCCGAGGCAATGTGGCCTCAACGAACGGCATCAATGGTTGTAGGACCGGGTACTTCAATGGTGCCGTAGAGGTTGACGGCGCTGTTCCATTGGTCGCCTTGGAGCCTTGCGAAGTGCCAGCGCTATAGGCCGCCAGATCGACCCCATTCCAAACGTCAAACATCCGAGGGAACGGTCCGTCACCGAAAGCTGGTCCGTTCAAGAACTCATATGAAGCCGGCGATACGTGTGTTCCCGCGAGCCATTCCTCGGTCACATTCCCTCCCGGTTCTGGCCTTCGGATGGGAAGTTGCGGGTCGGCTTGGGACCGTCGACCGTCGATACTCGGAGCGGAGACGGTTGGAGCATTTGTTGGTGGTGACCGATGGTGAAATGTCGATGTGGGGGATGCATGTCTCGGAACCTCGCCGTCCATCCCAGTCAGTCCCGATGTGCCACTCGTAATCTTCGGCGGAGCGGGTGTCGCCTTGCTCTCGGTTTTATTCTTTGCCATTTCGGCCAGCTTGGATCGTGCGATGCGACCTCGCTTGCGACGTTCACGGGTGAATTCGCAGTTGATCTCGCTCCGGAGGCAGCGCGAGCAAGGGAATTGGCGATCGCATCGTACGCGACGGGAATGGCACGAGTCGCAGGCTATGCGGTTGCGTCTCCATCGGCGCTTGGTGGAGGATTCTGGGGGTGGGTCGGCTTGATCGTTAGGGACGGTGCCGTTCCCCTGGTGGGAAGATGCCATTTTAGGACGGCATCGGCGGAAGGACAGACGATGGCTCGATCGAAAACTCGAGGACAAGGGAGACCGTGAGATGGATGGAAAAGTCTGGAAGAAAGCAGGAAAAAGCAAGGGTGTTCCTTCGGCGGGGTGTTGGGGTCTCCGCATGACACTGGCTAGCCCTTTTAGGTTGGGACCCCGTATTTTTGGCCCGACAGGGTCAGCTCTAGATCACCTGGGCACTGGGGCTGACTGTATCTTGGAGATACAGTACTCATTACTTCTACAGTCAGTGGTTGTAATGTATATGCTCTACTCGATAGGTATCTGGTCAGCAATGACTGAAAAGAGGCTTCAAAGCCACGTTCGGCTCTATCTTGGCCAATAGGCGGCCACCTGCTATAGTGGTGGACCGCGATTCCGGCGCTTTGAAGTAGACTTCGCAAAGTGCTCAGAGTCCGGTGTGAATTTGGTTCTCCAGGCTGATCTCGCGGTACTAGTTAGTGGAGTCAATGAGCACAAGAATGGCCCAGAGGCTTCTTCGCGTCAACCCCTAGACGCAGCATCCTTGTATCTTCTCAACGCAACATCCCTTTGAGCCGCATGCTCGACAATGGGCTCAGGATACCCATTCGCCCTCGCAAGATCCCCAGCACCCCTCTCATACGGCGCATGGATAGCTTTCCCCTCGACTCCGCGCAACTCCGGAACCCATCGCCGAATATACTCGCCCTCAGGATCAAACCTCTCACTCTGACGAATAGGGTTGAAGATCCGAAAATATGGCTGCGGGTCTACACCGGTGCTTGAGCCAAAGCCCCATCCGCCGTGATTTGATGCGAAGTCCCCGTCGATAAGGTGTTCCATGAAGTAGCGCTCGCCGCGACGCCAGTCGATAAGGAGGTCCTTGGAGAGGAATGATGAGACGACCATGCGAGAACGGTTATGCATCCAGGCGGACGTGTTGAGTTGTCGCATGGCGGCGTCGACGATGGGGAAACCTGTTCTACCGAGGGTCCAGGCTTCGAAGTGTGTGGCGTCGTAGGACCAGTCGAGGTTTGTGAATTCGGGTTTGAAGCATTTGTTCATGCTGATCATGTTAACTTTCTTCGAGCTCGTACTAGGGTCAGGACAGGTCAGCATACCAAATGAATGGCCAATGGACCAGGACGTGCTTGTAAAAGTCTCGCCAGGCCACTTCGCTGATCCACGATATATACCCAGGTTCGCCGCGGGAGATCCTGTCGCCGTTCGCTTTGCGTGCCTTTGCAACAGCAGTTCTTGCGCTCAATGCCCCCGACGCAAAGTACGGACTAAGCACTGAAGTTGTCTCCCCAGATAGAAAGTTTCTTTCGTCATCATAAGCAGTCGCCTTCTCTTCCAGAAAAGCCTCAAGCCTCCGTAATGCCTCATGTTCACCAGCCGGATAAGCGCGGCGTATGCGGTCCGCCTTCTCCGCGTCGTCATACCTTTTATTATCCGGCGCCTCTGGTACGGGGCAGTCGAATAACTCCTTGAAATACCGCCTCGCATCACCTGGATTTGAGGCCGGATCCTCCGAAACCTCCAGGTACTCGGGATTAGCCTGCAGGAAGACAAGCCACGACTTGAACCATGGACTGTACACTGCGTACTGCTTTCCTTGTTGCGAAGATAGAAGCCCCGGCGGCACAACGCACGTGTCATGAGCTGTCTCAAACCTGACCCCGTTCTCCGCACAGAGGCGGATCAGCTTCGCTTCGCGCCGAAGCTCGTCGACTTCGTATTCGAGATTCGCGAAGAGATGGTTTGCGCCCCACTTGTGGCAAAGATCTATAATGCGTTGCGGGATGTCCTTGCGGTGCGCCTGTGTCTCCATATATAAAGGAACATCAAGCTCGCCCAGGTCTCGCTTCAACTGCTCCAACGTTCGTAGCGTCAAATCCACGCGCGCAGGACTAGATAAGTGCGCCGTCAAGTCCTCGGGCGAAAGGATGTAAAGTGTAATAAGTGGGATCTTATGTTCTCGAGCGGCATTATACGCCATTTGCAGCGCGCGATTATCGTGTAGACGCAAATCGGACTTGAACCAGTGAACCACGGCTGCATTTGCGCTGATCGCATTCCACCACGGCTGCATTTGCGCTGATCGCATTCCGTTGCTCGCTCGTGTCTGTATATGCCTTCTGCCAGGACTCAATTGGCCGCTCGAGTGTTCCGCTGGTGTAGGCTGCGCATCTCGCATTGCTCATTTCCGGCGGATAGAAGTCGCGCAGCACAATCCCGAAGTCTGCCGTTTGTTGGGCATTGGGGTGGTATCGCTCGTCGGCGCCATTTGAGAGTTTGCGCTTTTGGGGCATGTTCCAGGCTTGTGAAGTCTATTCGGACCTTGGCTGTTGAAGTGGGAAGGATTTGGCGAGGCCCTCGTTTATGTACCTGTGTTCCTGCGATCGATCGATCGGGATCGCGGGATCTGACGTCAAGACATGTAAACAATCCTATTGTTCACTACATTTTCAACGACACCTCATAGTCTGCCATCAAGCCTGCTATTTGACGGAAGAGTGACCGTGTGCTCTGGAGCTCTGTTCCGGTAGCTCGCCTATTGAGTTTGAGATCCGCATTTCACAGATCTCTACAAATCACAAGTGCGAGGCGAAACACGGGGAAAGAGACGACATTCGGCCGGATGGACCCTGAAGCTGTTCCTATGGGGTAATCAAAACCCCAGTTCCGCGCACTCTGCCTCTGAGGAATCCTCGTGGTTGGCCTGTGGGACGATCTAGATCCAATAGTGCAGTCACAGTGGCTCAGGGTGCGCCGATCTCTGGGGAGAAGGGGGAAGCCGTCAACATGCCAAAACCCAAGGGGGCACGGCCCACGAGGCCAGGGGCGCAGATAAATAGCAGATCGTTGCCTTTGTCTTTCTTTGTTCACTTCTTCTGCGATTGATCGGAGAATGTCATTGTCCGCCCATGTCGCCCGAACTCGCGCTCCCCGGCGTGGACGGCATTGACCATAACTCGGTCGTCACTGTTGTGCTCGCCTCCTTCGCGACGCTCATCTACTACAATGCGATTGAGCTGATCATTCTCTGTTTGGCGACCTTCAAGCGCCGTGGAAGTCTTTACTTCTGGTGCTTGCTCATCGCATCGACCAGCCTGATCCCGAATACCAGCGGATACATCATCCTCTTCTTCCGCCCCGAGGTCTCACGCTTCGCTGCCATCACTCTCGTCATTATCGGCTGGTGCGGCGCCGTAACCGGTCACTCGCTAGTCCTGTGGTCGCGGCTGAACTTTGTCGTCCATAACACGCGGCTATTGAATGGTCTCCTGGTCCTCATCATTGTCGACGCGATACTCCTCCACATCCCCACCAGCGTCCTGCTCTACGGCACCGTCTCCCCGAACGAAAGCATAGCGCACACCTTCGACATCGGATACGGTATTGCGGAAAGAATACAACTGGTGGGGTTCTGTATCCAGGAAGCGATACTGTCGGGAATATATGTCTGGGAAACGGCCAAGCTGCTTCGCTTGCGACCGGAGCGTCGCCACCACCGGATTCTCGCTCAACTGCTCGCAATGAATGTCGTCGTCCTTATCATCGATGTTGCCGTTGTTATTGTCGAATATGCCGGGTTCTACGCTGTCCAGGTCATGTTTAAACCAGTCGCTTACAGCATCAAGCTCAAACTGGAATACGCGGTGTTGGGGAGGCTGGTGCAGATCGCCCAGGGGGGATCTTCTGCGGCCTCTGGGCCATTCGAAACAGTGCCTTCTTCTTCGGCCTGTGATAGCCGATTGAATGGGATATGTCTGCTTGGGAATGAATTGCACGGGATAGAGAGACAAGCGTCAAAGCGGCCCACGCCAGTTGATGCGGGGTGAAGAATCGTCATGTTCGAGTGAGGAATCCAAGAACAAAATATAATCGATGTGCAGTGTAGGATGTGCGTTTGTCAACCAAAGTCGCAGTATGCCCTACCTCGAGATGTCGTCTCTAGGCCCCATGGATGTCATGACGAGGCGCTCATTTGAGGCATGCGCTCCGGGGTGCTCCGGGGTGCTCAGGGATGTGCCCTTTTACGTTTCGAGCCGCTCCAAATCCTTAACCTCCATAAGGAAGCATAAAAATTCCGATGGCACGGGGCACTGACAGCGGGAGAAATAGGCGATTGTTTGGGTCAGATGGAGCAGATCGTGAGAGGTGTCAGATCTCCGATCCAAGCCCGTCAGTCAGTGGGCGCTCCCGGACTCGGAGACATCACGGAGCCCACATAGTAGCTATTTCCCCACAGTATGGGGTAGATACAGATACAAGTGTATAGACAGTAGATACTTGATAGAATTTCGTTTTCTTAGCATGTCTTATGCATTGATACAATGAAGCACATCAATTGCTTCAACACTCCGAGGCATCGCGATTGTTGCGGCCTGACTCAGCCCTGACAGCATCACTCGTAAGGCCGACTTCGGCGTCCCAAGCTGACTCCATTTTTAATTCTTCCAGCTTTCTTCCTCTCTTTTCTCCTTACCAACCACACTTAGTACTACCAAGCCCGGTACAATGGCATTCCAATCCTTCCCTCCACCTCCAGTCAACACTATCGACTGGAGCAACGTCGGCTTCAAAGTCCGCGAGGGTACTCTACCTACCCCTCCATGCCCCTCACCAAAGCAAACACCCCACCAGCTAACCAACTCCTCACAGTAAACGGCCACGTCGAATCCCACTACACAGCCGCCACAAAAACATGGTCACCCCCGAAGCTCGTGACGTCGCCCTACCTCCCCATCCACGGGATGGCACCGGGCCTGAACTACGGACAACAGGCGTACGAAGGGCTCAAGGCATTCCGGCACCCCAACGACAGCAAGATCACGATTTTCCGACCGGACCGAAACGCCGCGCGCATGCAGCGCTCGGCATCGTTTATTTCGATCCCATCCGTTCCGGAAGACCTGTTCATCGAAGCTGTTGAATTGGCCGTTGGCGCGAACGCGGGCTTCGTTCCTCCCCATGAGACCGGGGCCGCGATGTACATCCGTCCGCTGATCTTTGGATCGAGTGCGCAGCTGGGTCTTTCCCCGCCGGAGGAGTATACGTTTGTCGTTTTTGTTATGCCTACGGGTGTATACCACGGCGTGCATGCTGTTGATGCATTGATACTTGAGGACTTTGACCGTGCGGCGCCAGAGGGGACGGGGAGCGCGAAGGTCGGCGGGAACTATGCGCCTGTCCTGCGGCACAGTGCTAAGGCGCATGCTGAGGGGTTCGGAATCACGCTGCACCTTGATAGCCGGACACGGTCGGAGATTGACGAGTTCTCGACGAGCGCGATGATTGCTGTTAAGAAGGATAAACAGTCTGGGAAGATCACGCTCGTCCAGCCGGATAGCCCCAATGTTATTGACAGTGTGACTGCGGCGTCAGTGTGCGAGATCGGTCAGCGCTGGTTCGGATATGAGGTTGAGAAGCGGCGGATTCCATATGAAGAATTGTGCGAGTTCGAGGAGGTGATGGCTGCGGGTACGGCGGCAGCGCTGGTGCCTATTCGAAGTATCACGAGACGCTCGACGGGTGATAAGTTTAAGTTTGAGTGTGGTGGTGAGGGCGCAGGGGGTGGTGAGGTCTGCGTCAAGCTCTTGACGACGTTGAAGGGGATTCAGCTAGGAAAGATTGAGGAGAACTTGGGATGGAATCGTGTTGTCAAGGCGCCGCCGGCGGAGTGGGTGAGTGCTGCTGGGGAGAAGGAAGAGGCCGGCATTGAAGTCCCTTGAGCTGAAAAAGTTGTATCCAGTTGCATTGGAATTAGTACATTAAAAGTGATTCCATGAACCAGTCATACGACGCTACTTGTTGTCCCATAATACATACAGTGTGGACGCATTCCGAACTTATTCACATCCTCCATTCCAACCTCCAGAAGAAAACAACGAACTTCCATCGACTCCGACAAGACTTAATTCGTTCCGGGTAACTCTCCAATGCCCCGGTAGTCAAGGTTGTCTTCCGCTGGTGCCAGAGGACGTAGATGCCAAAGATAGACCTCATCGGTGAATCAATTACGACTCCCAACACGCGCGGTTCTCAATTTCTGGACCTTCCCAGATGACATGATATCCCCAGCATCCATAACACTAGCGGGACTAGGGCTGCGGTCCTTCGCGTTATCCTCTTTCCAATTCTCCTTGTCACTCTCTTTATCACTATCGCAATCGCTATCGCTCTCTTCCTCGCTCTCACTTTCGCTCTCGCTCTCCGTCTCCTCCGAGTCGCTGTCCGGGGGCGAGAAGACACCCCTTCGTGGATGGGAATTCGCGCCGCGCTTGACAGGCCCGGACTTTGCGGCAGCTACCTCCTGCGCTTGGCTTGCGGCCTTGAGCAAGCCTTTAAGCGAGGGGCGACTGGACGAAGGCTGGCTGGACGAAGGCTGGGAGGGTTTGGGTATAGACCAGTAGTCGGACTGTGACTGAGGCTGTGATTGGGACTGGGATGCTTGTTGGGAAGATAGGACCGCGGGTCTGAGTCGCTGAGCGGAAGGAGGAGAGGCGGCATTGGATTGCTGCGAGGCCTTTGGTGCTGACGATTTGACTGGAGAAGAGGACTTCTTGTTTCTGGTCTCAATTTCCGAAGCGGACTCCGAGTCAGACTCCGATGAGGAGCCCTCGGAAGAAGTTTCGTCTGCGGAATCTTCATCCTCGGATGAATCCTCTGATTCCGACGAAGAGGATACCTCAATCGGCTCTTTAGGAGTGGACTGCTTGTTAGCGTTGGCAGTGGCGCGGGCTTGCACCTTCATCGCAGGCAGTTCATGCTCGTCCGACGTAGAGTTCTGCGACTGCAGAGGAGTGGGTTTGGATGGTTTTGACAACGTTCTAGTTGCCACGGTACGCGCGGTAGGTTCCTTGGGAGGACCCTTGGAAGGGGGCTTGGGGCTAGTACCGTTTGCGATAGGGGTAGCTGATTTTGCATTGGTTGAATGGGCTTTGGCGTTAACTGCGTTCCAGCCCGAGGCATTGGAGACTGGTGGCTTCTTGGTCTCTTTAGCGGCATCTTTCGAGGTTGGAGTATCATTCTTGAGTGCCTGCTGAGACATGGCAGGCTTCGAGGCCTGTGACTTCTTGCCCTTGCCCTGAGACGACTGCTTGTTCATAGACTCTTCCATTTTCTTTAGCTGGGCTTGCAGACCCTCGAGTGGCTTGATGGCCGCCTTGCGAATACTGCTGGCACCGTCGACAGACTTTTGCCAGGTCTTGAATGTGAGTTTGAGTATATTGAGGTACTCCGGGTTCGAATTGTCCTTCTCAGCAGCCTTGATCTTCTCCTCAAACTCCGCTCTCTCCTTCTTTTGGAGCTCTAATTTCGCCTCGGCTTCCCGTTCATACTGAGCTATAAGCTCCATAGAATATCCAGGAGGGAACACCATTGAGCCGCTAGATCGTCTCTTTTCAGAGCTAGGTGTCTGAGAAGCGGGAGTGATAGTAGGGGGGTTAGTCGCACCCATCGGCGTGGATGTTGGCACTGGCTGCGAATTCGAGACAAGAGCATCATCGTCCTCTGCAAAGGAAACAGAACGGCGAGCGGAGTTTGTGAGCACATCCTTTCGCAGTGCTGAGTGCAGATTCTTAACCTTATCGGCCGGGGTTTGTAGTGTTGTCGGCGTGGAGACGTCCTTCGAGAGGGAACCCCGCCGGGCCGTTAGGGCGCTTATTGGTTTCGGTGTGCTCTGGGGGATTGTTTCAGCCGATTTTGTGGAATCCTGCGAGAGATCGACGGCCGCTGGTGGCTTTCTGGTCGGGCTCCCCGTAATACCTAGTCCCAACCCCTGCACAGGCGTCTCTGACGTCCGGTCCGCGAAGCTCAGGCGGCGCGCCACTCCAGTAAACGACGTTGTACCGCCCAATCGTCGCCCCGACGGGCTAAACCTTGGGGTTCCCGGGGACACTTCGCTATTCCGTCTCTTGCCATTAACAGTGGGAGGAGGTGTGGTTCCACGCAGGCGTGGCTCCTTGCTAGGCGGCAGCTCATCGGTACTATTCTTCCGTTTGCGAGATTGAACACCACCAGCCGCCCCAAGGTCAGCTGCATGTACCTCGGCCGGCTTCTTAGTTGCCACTGGAGATTCTGACTTCCGTTTCGGAGTGGGCTCCCGCATTGCAGTATCGCCATCTTTGTCGCGCGCTTCTTCATCTTTGTTGCCCTCATCATCAGATTCTGATTCAGATGGGTTTTCTGTTTCTTCATCCAAGACTGTAGGATCTGGGTTCGTCACCTCTGGGGCAGGCCTCTTCTGTGGAGACACCGAATTGGTGTGTTCGCGCGCCAATTGAAGTGCAGGAGAATCAGCAGTGATGGAACCACCGGCTCCAGACCGATTGGCAGAACCTTGGCTATGTATTGAGTCACGTCTGGGGGTGGACTTCTTTCTCGGTGTCGTCGCGCGAGACGATCGAGGAGAATCACCTAGCTCTTCACTCCCCACACGATGACCTTGAGGGGCACTCGAGTCCTCCGCACCGAGGTCCTGAGTAGTTTGTGGGGTCGGCGACTTGGGAACTGGTTGAGACCGCTGGGATGGTGAGACGGGTATTTCAAGGTCCTTTTCAACAGAGGAGACGGGAATATCTCTGCGGTGGGTGCGATTTGGGGTGTAATCAGCCCAGCCATTCGCATCAACCGGTGACGCTGATTCGAAGCCTCGTCCAGACTCTTCTGTGATGGCCCCGAGCTTATTGACAGCACGCTCCGCTTCCTGTCTCTGCTTCTTCTGGCGTTGGATCTCGTAGTGTTCCGCCGCGGCATCCCAGTCTTGAGCAACAGAGGGATATCGCACAGGCGACTCTCTGCCTCCAATGGGTTTTTGAATGACACGGACGGTCCTCCGCTGATCATGTCCATCGGACCGCGCCTTTCCCTTGTCCACAAACACATCTGCGACGGTCATATCGGTATCGAGGTCGTCGGCTTCATGGTCATCGTCTAGCAGTTTCTTGATCGCAAGAGGTCTATATATGCCACTAGTTAGCACATCAAATACATTTACGTACACAAGCCAGACCGCAAACATGGGACGCAACACTCACGCAACACCAGGCCTTAACTTCCTCCATTTCTCCCGTATCATCCCCGCCAGTCCACCCAGCGTAACATCCTCGGGGGTTTCCAAGACGATCAAGAAGCTTGCCGGCTTCCCGGCTGTGGAGCCGGACGAAGTGCGACTCGCATCGTCACGTTCGCGATCACCCAGCAACGAGCGAAACGAGAAGGAGTTGGAGGGCTGAGCTTGGTCTGGGGGAAAGACCTTGACGGTGAGGCGTAGGAAAACCATGTTCAGAAACAGAGGGCTGGAAACTTGGTAATTCGTCGCTTCGCGTGAATCAGTGCGTAAAGAACATAATCAATTTGTGGAGAGTTGGTAAAAAGGTTGGTTGTGTTGAAGCGGGGAGTAATTGCGGAGGAAAGAGAAAAAGTGGTGAGGAGCAACGCTGGAGTAACACTGCGCGGAAGACACGATGATAAGCAACGAGAAGATTGCCGGAAGATGATCGCCCGCTGCAGCTTTCTGTTGCTGCCGCCCCAAAACTGAGCCCGACAATGTCAGTCAGTGGAGTTGATAGATCGCAAGAATCACGACGCGGAACTGGGCCGATTTCAGAAGACGCGCTCGTTTGCTTTCACCGCCGACGCGATTGCTTTTTCTCTGCTACGAATCAGACCAACTGGAATGATATGTCAATAACTTCAATTAAACTCCGCTACATGATCAATGTCTGTCATTCTAATCACGGACGGTCAAATGATGGTATATGTTGAAGCAGAATCCCTCGCGACAACTCTAGATAGCTGCCACCAGCCTAAACGCTCAAGCACCAAACCAAGAGGAAAAAGCAAAGAAAAGAAAAGAAAGGGGCCAAACCCATGAAATCACCGTCTATACATTAGCACCAGACTCCGCGGCAAAACAACTTCGGATGCACTCATTCGGGTCAATCAACCAGATAAGTCCCGCCATCCACAAGGCAACGAACAGAACAGTCGCAATTACAGCACCAACACGGTCACCAGTCGTGACAGGACGCGGCTTGAACGGTAGCGCGTCCTCTTTCCTACCAGCTTCGGGGTTGCTCTTGCTGGTAGCCCCAGTGGCAAGGGTCAATGGCTTCGCGTCCGTTTTGAAGACTGCCATGGCCGACGAAAAGACGCTTAGGGCGCTCATGTCGGACTGCATCGTTGCGCTGCCATCCCACTCTTCTTGATGCCACCGGCGTCCGCAGCTTTGGCCATTAAGGCACTGTTGCGCCGCTCCTAGTGCAGACCGTTGGATTCGGGGGACAATTTCGCTAGCGGTATAGGGGGCAATGATGGCCGTAGACGTCAGCCAGGATGAGAGGAAGCCCTTGAACATATCTTCGTTGCGATCACAGGTCATGGTCTGCTCGCACCAAATCTCGGACATGGCCTCTTTGGCAAAAAATGTCTTCCACGTCGTTGCGAGCAAACCGTCGATTCCGGCTTTCCATTTCTGGCCGCCGTTGGTCTTTCAAAGTCAGTCATTTCACTCGCAAGGAAAAGTCGAACGGCCTTACCACATTGTACATGTATGCAGCGCCTCCAATATAGGCGCCATAATTATACGTCCACTGCTGGTCACCATGGTCCTTACAGTCATGCTCCATAGTTGTCGAATCAGCAATCGTCCAATCATCCGACTTAAGCAGCGGCGTGGTGATGCTCCAGTCCCAGAGCTTCTCCGCCCATGAGGCATAAGTTTCATTGTCGGTATACCTACCCAACCGCGCAGCAAGCTGGAACAAGCCACCATTCGAAATGGCATTCTTCATAGTATACCCGCCCTCGAACGGCCAAATCTGCCAGCGCATCCCACCCCCACAAGCCGTCTCATCCCACCTCGGAATCTGGGTGTTGAAAACCCCTTGTGCGAGAGAAACCCACGACGGTTGACCCTCTTCTTCAGGAAAGTTCAGCTCCGCAGCAGTCATGGCGGCAAGACCCCAGAACATCTGGTCGTCGTTGCCGAGAAAATGGCTGTAGTTGTTAGGGAAGAAGTCGTTTTGGCCCTGCTGGTGGAGCATGCCCTCCCTCGTGATGTCGTTGTATGTTGTATCTCCCGTCCAGTACCAGTATTGGATGAGAGTCATGAACATAACGCCGCCTTCCCACCACGAGTCGGGGATCAGTCCTGGGACTTGGCCCGGTTCGTTGCCGTGGTATTCGCTCATCATCTTGCGTGCCACTGTGCTAGCGGCATTTTTAATGGAGGCTTAAATACGATTAGTCTCAGTCAGACGTTATGCATGGTGATAATGGCCTACCTTCATCTTCGATATCAAGATCCAGAGCGGACACCCTTCCCTTGCCGACGAGGGAGGCTGCCAACACGGCTGATAACCACTTGCGAAGCTGCATGTAGAACGGAGACGACCTTGCGCGGGAAGAGGAAAGCCGTGACAGCGCGTTACGAAAATGATGAGTCGACAAGACTCGGCTGCGTTTCGGATGTCTCCTAGAGGATATCACAGACGCAACGTTCAGCCGGTTACCTTTCTTCTGTCTGCCTGATGAACGATCGTTATGAGTTCTCGGGAGAGTTGATATTTGAAAGAAGACAACAAGAGAAGAACAGTGAGTCACTTGGCCCAAGACTTCAGAGTCCATACTCGGACGGAAAGGCCTTGCGAAAGCTAAAATAAACTGGCGACTGGCACGTTGGCCCATGCTGCTGTCTTTACGGTCCGGAATTGTTGTCTCCAGGTAGGTGGCTCAGGCTGGCCCAGTCAGTCTGGGGATTCGGAAGTCAACTCCGCTGCAGTCACGGTAGGTAAAGGGCACACGGTGTGGACGATATGAGCTTTGTCAAATTGCAAGCACGTTTGACTGATTGCACTCTAGACTAGCTGATCGATTATATCAATTCAAAGGCAAGGAGCAATAGTAGGTAATGGTTGACTACGCATGGTGGATGACATGGGTTATACCTCCTAGTTCTGAATCACTACGTATCTGTCGCGCTATACAGATTACTGTAGTCTGCTCCGGGACGGACCACTCTATGTAGCCATTAGAGATGTTAGGGCTATACGCCGATCCACTGAGCGAGGACGAATCGTTGAATAGCTTCGAACAAAACCTGACTTCTCAAACTAAAGTCCCACTCTACTTTCTTGCTCATATCAAATCCTCTCTGATAGGTATTTGCTAGAAAGCGAGAGAACAAAAAAGTCAACTCTCTCATCAGTAAGCACCACGCCCTATGACTGACAAGCCCCACCACCCGCAGATGATAAAGGCCGGTTCGCCCATCTGCCATCATCACTCTGTCTCAAGCCTATTTCCACCTGAGATACACAGCAATGGCCAGCCAAATTCAAACATCGGCCACATCCGTGGAGATGTCCTCGACGACTGGAGCAGGCGAGCGCCTGCACCGCGTAGGCCCTTCCGAGCTCTCCGGCTCTGATGTCCAGGACATGATGCAGGCATCTCGCGAGGCAGACTCGCAAGTCCCAGACGGTGGCTACGGGTGGGTTGCGGTGGGCGGCTGCGCTGTTCTAACCTGGTGGTTTGTGGGGACGTCGTATAGCTGGGGGATTCTGCAGGCTGCGCTCGTCAAAGAGGGTGTGTCGTCTGCGTCTACGCTTGCGTTCGTGGGCTCGCTCGCCGTCGCCTGTATCTCTTTCCTGGGAATCCTCAATGCAACGCTGATTCGGAAGTTCGGGACTCGCGTATGCGGCGTGCTGGGTGTTGTGTTTCTTGGATTGGGCGAAATCCTGAGCGGGTTTGCGCTGAGGAGTATCGGAGGCTTGTTTGTGACTGCTGGGGCCGTTATGGGGGTTGGTATTAGGTATGGTTTCTCTTGCTGTTGAGAGCTCAGTGCTGACTTGGTGGTACTTGCAGTTTATGTTTCATGGTGAGATGTCCTGGAAGTTCTAGTTGTCTTTGTGTCTCTAACCAGCGTGCGCCCTGATATAGGTCGTCTCAGTCGTCCCAGCCCAGTACTTTAGAACTAAGCGCGGAATCGCCAATGGGATAGTTTACGCCGCTGGCGGACTGGGCGGAGCAGTCATCAGTTTCATCATAGACGCCCTCATTCAGAGCACCGGCCTTGCCTGGACCTTCAGGACGATCGGACTAATAACCCTAGCCACCGGGATACCAGCGGCCCTTCTAATCAAAGAGCGGGTATCAATTCCTCGATCGGCTTATGTTGAATGGTATTCCTTCGATGCCCTGCTCAGTCGTTGTTGGATACTAAGACGATGGACAGGCACCTCTTTCGTGACATCCGTTTCACGCTGCTCTTCCTCGCCGGCGCAATTGCCACATTCCCACTGTTCGTGCCTCCCTTCTTCCTTCCCCTCTACACCTCGTCATTGGGAATGAAGTCCTCCCTTGGCGCCGGCGTAGTCGCAGCCTTCAACTTCTCTTCCGCACTGGGACGTCTCATGTGCGGCTTCTTCAGCGATACGTTGGGGCCGCTGAATACGCTCTTCTTGTCTCTCCTCCTCAGTGCTGTGAGCATGCTTGTCCTCTGGCCTGTCTCGAACTCGATAGGTCCGCTCGTGGCATTTGTCATCATCAATGGAATGGCGAACGGCGGGTTCTTCTCGACTATGCCGACGGTAGTAGGGAATGTATTCGGCTCTGCTAGAGTGAGCGTGGCTATGGGAATGATTGTTACCGGATGGGCTGGAGGATATTTACTTGTTAGTGCCCACTGTGTTGGCTGCTTACCCCATACGCAAGTATATGTTTACTGACTGGCTTCTCAGGGTGCTCCGATCGCAGGATACATCCTCGATGCCTCTGGTGGCGAAGAAGGTGGGATCAAAGCGTACAGGCCTGCGATCTTCTACGCCGGATCTTTGGCGTTTGCGGCGGCCGGTTTGGCTGGTGCGATACGGTTAAAGGCGGATATTAACTTGAAGAAGAGGTTATAGTGAAGGAGTAATGCACAAGGGAAAGAGCGGTTTCTATAAGTTTATACAAGGAAGGAGCAACCGGTCCATCGCACCTGCCCTCTCGGCGCTTGAGCAATCCACAAACAAGGAAGGTACGATCACTGTCCAGGGGTGAGGAAGGTGCGACCGGTCTTCTCACCTAGGCAACCAGTCGCTCCTTCCTATCCCGGCAAGGTAGGATGCATGTATAGCGAGGAAGGAGCGACCTACTTCCGCGGCCATCGTACCTTCCTTGCTCGTGTTGTAGCGTGTATTCAACCTGCCTGTATATACTTTGGACCAGGAACATACTAGGATTGTTGCTTTTATTTCGTGATGTCGGATCTATAATATGGTGATTACGCTGGGACAGCCTGCTATTCACATCCAGAATGCTGTTCATCTCGTTCAATTAAATATTCTTTCTATTTCCACCCCATCTCATTTACATCCGGGTGCGTTGACGAGGAGCGGCGCGAATGATATTGTCCACACGGAGGAGAAGCTGGTGATCGTTAGTCTGGAGCTCGAATAATGAATGGAGAAAAAGTTACCTCTGCAGCTTCCGAAGCAGACGACACAACAGCCTTCTTCAACTTGTAGCTCTCTACGACACCCAACTCACGCATATCGGCAATACCGCCACCAGGTGTGAGCAGATCCAGCCCAGAGTTAGTCAGGCCGTTGTTAATGGCCTGTCGCAGCCGAGTAACAAGGTCACTTGAGTCGAGACCGGCGTTATCGGCGAGAATTGTGGGGAGTTGCTTGAGAGCGTGTGCGAATGAGTCGACAGCGAGCTGCTTCTTGCCCGTGGTGTTCTGGGCGGCCTGCTCAACGGCCTTAGACATGACCATCTCGGCGCATCCACCACCAAGAGTCACACGAGGTTCCTTGACGGTTTGAGACAGCACGGCCAGAGCATCGTGGAGCGAACGCTCAGCTTCGTCGAGAAGCTGCTCCGTAGCACCGCGGAGAACAATTGTGCAGGCCTGGCCAGCGGCCACACCGGAGAACTTGATGAGGGTATCTTCACCAATGATGACCTCCTCGATGAGATCACATGAACCAAGCTTGACCTGGTCTGGGTGGTCGAAGGTCGAGGCAATCTCACCGCCCGTAACCAGCGCCAGGCGCTCAATGCCGTCGAAGTCGGCGTGCTCAATGGACATGATGCCGGCCTCGGTGAACAGCTGCTCGGGCCAGTTGTAGATGAGTTGTCGGTTAACGAAGCAGTTGATGCCGTGTGACTTGATCTTCTCGACCTTGGCCTTCATCTTCTCACGCTCTGCCTTCTCCAGCTCCGCCAACTTCCCTGTCGACTCGACCTTTACTCGAGCACCAAAGATCTTCACCTTGTCTGTGTCCATGGCTGTGTTTGCAACAAGAATCTTAGCGTTCTCAAGGCGCTTCGGTTGGTTGACACCGATCTTCTTATCGAGGATGAAACCTTCATCGAGGTAAGAGTCGCTGAGCTTTCCACCAGCCTTCTTGATGATCTGGATGTGGCTCAAGTCGGTTGATCCCCGAAGTCGGAGAACGGCATCGCAGGCAAGAGTAGCGAACTGGTCGCGGTCCTGAGCCAGGACCTTGGAGCTAAGGGTGGTTCGGGCAATCGAGTGGAGGTCTTTGCGGAACTTCTCCATGTCATCGCTGCGGTCAACGGCAACCTTCTCAAGAGCGTCTAGAGCAGCACGGCTGGCGATGCGGTATCCTTCGATGATAGTCTGGGGGTGAATCTTGCGGTTTACCAGCTTCTCGGCTTCCCGCAACAGCTCCGCGGCCAATACCGTCACGGAGGTTGTGCCATCACCGACCTCGTCGTCCTGGACCTTGGAGATGTTGACTAGAACTTTTGCGGCGGCATTATCGAGGGCAATCGCTTTCAGGATGGTGGCTCCGTCATTTGTAACGAGGATTTCTCCGGTAGACCTGCACACAGTCAGTGGTCTCCTAACCCCGCAGTCCGCATATCTCCACTGACGCTGATTGTAAGATCTTGTCCATTCCTTTGGGACCTAATGTGCTCTTGACAAGGTCTCCGACGGCGATAGCACCGACGAAGGCCGAGAGACGGGCGTTCTCTCCTTTCTCCTCGATAACATCGTCCGCAAAGATCTGCGTGGGGTTGGCGAAGGATGCCTGAAATTGTCAGATCCCATATCAACTAAATCACCTTCACAGAACGTACCATGGTGATATGTAACAGAAAAAGAACTACCGGAGAGGTAAAAGTGGTAGCTCAGGGATGCTGAAGAGGCGGAGAGACTGCCACAATTATTGGAGCGATGCGGGACACCCAGAAAAGTTCGCGATGTGGCCCGAGCTCCAGACCGCCCTGAGCCTCCGTCTTTCTCTCGCTCTTGCTTGTGGTTTTCATCCCAATTCCTCTATTTTCAAGGTTTCTAGTAGAAGTACCTCTTGACAATGGCGACGGAAGAGGAGCAGGTCAAATTGGCGCAGAACAAGCGACCCCATTCCGAAGTGGAAGCCGACGAGGACGGTGCGTCCTGCTCTCCATGAGCTGCTTCATACAGCAACTAACTGAAGAACAGGAAGCGAATCATCGGACGATGACTTCGGTCCGGCCCTGCCCTCCGCTGATGCGCCCAAGAAGAAGCGCCGGAAGCTTCCCTTCGAAAAGGTCTACGTCAATGCGCTCCCAGCGTCGCCCCGTTACTCCAAATCGCTCATGCACAAGGATCAACTGTCCTTTGCGACAGTGACGCCGCATACCGACTTCCTGATTACATCGTCAATCGATGGAGTAGTGAAGTTTTGGAAGAAGATGGCTGTCGGGGTTGAGTTTGTCAAGGAGTTCCGCGCCCATGCCACCGAGATCAAGAGCGTGAGTGTGAGCGCCGACGGCCGAAGCTTTGCGACAACCGGAGCAGACAAGACGGTCAAGATCTTCGATGTGATCACTTTCGGTACGTAACGCAATATTTACAGGTCGAGGTACGGTGCTGACAATGGCAGATTTACTTGCTATGCTAACTCTCGACTTCGAACCCCGGTGCATCTGCTGGGTACACCCCCGCGGCGCATCTCTACCACTCCTCGCCGTTACCGACGATGGCAGCAGCACAATCCAGATATACGATGGCCGCGGCGAGAACCCATCTCCCCTCCACACCCTCAAGGCTATGCACCGCAATCCGGTCTCCGCCATCGCCTTCAATGATGCCTACAACTGCGTGATATCCGCCGACTCGTCCGGCATGATCGAATACTGGCGCGCCTCAGACAGCACCTTCGAGAAACCCGACAACGTCTTCGAGCTCAAATCCTCCACGAACCTATTCGAATTCAAAAAAGCCAAATCTACCCCATCCTCTATAACAATCTCCCCCTCCGGTAAACAGTTCGCAACAATCTCCTTCCCCGACCGCCAAATCCGCGTCTTCGACTTCGCCTCCGGCAAGCTCTACCGCAAATACGATGAATCTCTCTCCACAATCACAGACATGCAGCAAGCCGGAACAGCCCTACATACCCTGGACGCCGTCGAGTTCGGCCGCCGCCTCGCGGTAGAGCGCGAGCTCGAGAACCCCGTCACAGCGCCAAAGGCAAACGTCATCTTTGACGAGTCCAACCATTTCATCCTCTACGGCTCGCTCTACGGCGTTAAATGCATCAACACCTACACGAACCGCGTCGTCCGCGTTTACGCGAAAGACGAACCCTTCCGCCCCCTGAACCTCGCAATGTACCAAGGCCAGCCCTCAAAGAAGGGCGTCGTGACAGTGTCAATGGCCGCGAGCGCAAACCCACTCCTAGCAGAGGCCGAAGAGCGTGATCCAATCTTGGTAACAACCGGCTTCGCAAAACTCCGCTTCTACCTCTTCACAAACGACACCGAAATCTCCAAGTCCACACGCGACGTCCACAACGAGAAACCCCGCGACGCAGCATCAGCAGCCGCAACAGCCGCAACCCAGAAATCTGCTGAACTCGGAACATCAGCCATCCTCCACACCACAATGGGCGACATCCACCTGCGCCTCTTCCCCAGTGCAGCCCCCAAAGCCGTCGAGAACTTCACGACACACGCCAAGAACGGCTACTATAACAACACGATCTTCCACCGCGTGATTCGCAAGTTCATGATTCAGGGTGGTGACCCGCTGGGCGACGGAACAGGCGGCGAGTCGATCTGGGGCGGGGAGTTCGAGGATGAATTCTCGTCTCTCAAGCACGACAAGGCTTATACATTGTCCATGGCGAATGCGGGACCGAATACGAACGGCTCCCAATTCTTCATTACGACGGAGAAGACGCCGTGGTTGGATGGGAAACATACGGTTTTTGGCAGGGCCGTGCAGGGACTCGATGTTGTGCATAAGATTGAGAACGTTAAGACGGTCAAGGAGAAGCCGGAGGTTGACGTGAAGATTGTTAGTATTTCTGTCTCATGATTTCTCTTGTCTTCAATGTTTTTTGCGAGCGAGTTAGAGGCATATTGTGAGATATACAAATACCATTTCATAGCTATTACAAAACTATTTACTTGACTTCGCGAATAGTTTCCAGTTTTTTCATCCTAGCTCATGAAATCATCCATTGAGAAAATGGTGGAGAAATTGAAAAAGTTGCTGTACGGGCCAAGAAGAGCTATAAACAAGGCAGCCAAAGACGATCATATGGACAAACACCCGGAGGATGGAAGGATAGGTCCGACTCAATGCGAGTAAGCGGCATGTATACCTCGGGAAAATCCGACAAAAGAACGGTAAGGACGCGGAACGCCAGGTATATGCAATAAACGGCAGCACTATCAAAACAAGCGCATCGTAAAGGTTGGGATAAGAACAGCGGTATCAACCTGTCAGGATATATTGGATGATGTAAAATGATCCTTAAATGGCTATCGCGGTGCTTCCCTAACCTCAACATCGTGGTCTACCCCCTGCGCGTTCTGCAGCGGCGACGGTGTAGGAACTTGTCGATTCGGCGGACCAACATTTGTGCGAGAGCTGCTAGCGAAGGAAACTGTGTTGACAGAGCGAGCGCGGGGTACGAGATCCGGTCCGAGGGAGTCCTGGTTGAATACACGGCTGCCGCTTGCGCCTTGGGTGGCATGGTATGGCGGATGTTTCCTGTCGTGTCGCTTTTTGAGCCAGATGCCGAGGATGGCTATAGCGGTGAATCCGACCGCAAGGACAATGACCATGATCACCCATTGGTAATGGCCATCCCACCTGGACATCGTTAGTTATCGTATGACAGAAAAAGAGTTCCTCGATGGCACTGACCATGACTGCGGAGCTCTGCGATTCGCCGCGGAGGAACTGGAAGTGTCTGCCGCAGAGTCTGCGCTCGAGGTACCATTGTTGTTGTTATTGCTGCTGTTATTGTTGTTGCCCGAGTTGCTGTTACTCGTCGAGTCCTCCGTCGTACCGGAAGTGCTGTCCGTGTCGCCTCCACTGTTGCAGAAGTCGACGTACCACTGCTGCAGGAGCTGTTGATCGTCGGAACTCGTGCAGGTGTCGTCACATGTGCCTGCCGCAGTAGTCTGGAGGTTCTTGAGTAAATCTGACTGGCAGAAGCATGAAACGTATGTCTGTCGATTGGTCGTTTGAGCGGTGGGAGGTGTGCACGAGTCGTCGGCTTGTGAGAGGGCAGAGCAGGTCAACCCGCAGGCTGGAAACGTGCTGGAAGCGGCGGTAGGTCGGAGTTGGACATCTTGAGCGAGGATCGACGTGGTAAGAGCGAGTGACAGGTAGAAAAATGTCGACAGCGAGAGTGAGGGAGCGAAGGGCCAGGACCCTGAAGTCCCTGAAGACCCTGAAAGCATAACTAACGGCGGTGGGACCCGTCGGAGAATGTGAGATGCGCGCGGTCTTCAGTAGCCCGACATTCTTCGGAAAGCGAAGGTGAAGAGAAGAATGGGAAGCGAGAGGGATTGGATAAATTAACGAGAGGTCGGTCGGAGGGACGAAGGTTGAGACTGCGATGGATCGGGCGATAGCGCGGACGAAGAGATTAAGGACGACTCAGTCCCCGGTTGCGGCAGAAAACAGTCAACGCTCGCCTTAACTTGCCCACGGCCCAGAATAAATAAATTGGGCAACGTAAGGATAAACAATTCTATTTATATCGGGGCAAAGATTGGCCCAGAACCACAAGAAAGCCCGCCCAGCTTTCTGTGTCTTGCAGTCTTTTCCCCTCTTTATCCCAACTCTCCCTCTTGTCCCTCGCTTCGTCCGCACAAGAACCAACAGGGCTACGCTTCGTGTTCCCCCAGCAAGATTTATCCAGAATCTACCAAGGTACTACTACTCCGGGGTGCTGTCACGGTGGGCTCAGGTACCTGGTCAGCTCAGGGTCCAGTCCAGTTCCAGCCACAATCTCCGCTTGCGTCGTGCCGGATGTGGTTTTTCCATTATTCTCACTAGCCTAGGTGTCCCGCTCAACCTCCAGGAGTCCAGCGAGGGACCACGCGATGCAACGGTGCAGAACCGCAACGGCCAGAATGGAGATGTTTCAAGAGGACTGAAGCTTGGCTTCGCCTGGTGCTTAATTACGTCGTTACTCGTGCTAAACCTGGCCGATCTTCTTGTCCTCGGAAATCGGATCCACGGATCGGCTTCGATCTTCCAATCGATTATCTCAGTCGAAAAACTTGATATTCCTGCGATGATGTCTTGGCTTCGAAAATCGAAACAGATCCTTCGCTCTCGCTGCCTACAAGAAAAAGAAAATCCGTCGACTTCCCGCCTTAGATACGCCATCATTGAAGGTAGTCGGCGATGGGAAAGCTGAATGGCGCACCGGTTTCCGACCGCAAGACCAGAGCACTAATGCCGACGCCCTTTTCTCCCAAGAACTGCTCATCTGCTTCAGTCGCCGCCGGTCGGATGTGAAGAGATCCAGAGAAGCTTTGGACACCCGGCGCAGATAGCTTGAATTCGGCCCTACTCTCGGTCTCCTGCGGGGAGGCTCCCACAATGGAGGTGTAGAGATCCGTGTAAGCGCGGAATCTGTCCTTCGGCACAAGGACCTCAATGCGGTCTATCCCTGTAGTCCCCGACGGATGTTGCGTTACGGAGGGTTGGTCAAACGTGACACGATGCTTGCGCGGGGTGAGGTCATGGCAGAAGAAGGGTGCATCTGTACGTCCTCTCGGGTAGAATTCGTCTGGCGGGGTGGATTCTGCCTGGGTATATCGTGCTTTGACAATTTTCCACTGGATGTCTACACCTTCGGCGTTCTTGCGCCCTCCTTCCCGGGGTGGGAGATAGGTCACTCCAATGTTGCCGTCCCCGGGTTCGCTTTTCAGTGCCTTGACGATTCGCTCCCTGCTGGCTTCGGCGGAGATGGGGTCTAACGCTGTCAACGCGAAATCCCCAGGCAGCCGGTTTCTCCAGTCGTCGGGCTTTGTAATCCAACTATATAGCTCAAGGTAGGTTCCGTCCTTGAAGACTATAAGCTTGTTTCGGCTCAGGCCACCTAGTGCTGTTAGCAATGGTCATTGCAAATATCATGGGACCGACCGGTATGGACCCCGCCGTCTACCACGGTAAAGTTATCTAAGATCCATGATGGGAGGGGATCAAACTGCTCTTGGCTGAATTGAAGAAGGAGGTGGTCAATGTAGACTTGCTGAGAAGACATTTGTCTGGTGAGATGGTTGGGTTGCGGTATTGATGTTGATGCGGGGTTCCTAAAATATAGCCTTGTCCCCCCTCATTTGGCCAAATCTCGCGTCAATGCCTCCAACAAGTATTTACTCTGTACTATTCGGAGTACGCAGCAATTTCTTCCAAGCCGATTGTCAATCCTTCGGGTAGAGATGTCTATTATCTACCAAGTCCCCTAGCCGAACGAGCAAATGTGATAATTGGGCATGCAGTCCGTGATGTGTTTGGTTAAGCGTCTCGGGCAATGCCTATATTACTGAACTGCGCCAGAACAGGTACCTCATCACATCATTCTTAACGAGCCGGCTCTGGAATCCGTTATGTCAGGGCCAAAACCCAAACCCCGTACAATCCTTGGTCTAATGAACATCGGCCCCGACACCAGCACGGGTGCCCGATTGACATCTCTAGCCGAATTCAAACAGCTCCTATCCACATTCCAAACCCACGGATACACCGAACTCGACACAGCACGCATTTACAGCGGTAGGGCTCAAGAATCCTTCACGGCACAAGCAGGCTGGAAGGAGCGCGGGTTGAGTATCGCTACGAAATGGTACCCTCTGCAGCCGGGCGACCACAAACCAGAAACCATCAGACGAGAACTCGATAGGTCGCTAGCAGAGCTGGGTACAGAATGCGTGGATACCTTTTATCTCCATGCACCTGACCGAGCGGTGCCGTTTGAAGTGACGCTGCAGGAGGTGGATAAACTGTACCGGGAAGGGAAATTCAAGAACCTTGGTCTGAGCAACTATACGGCTTTTGAGGTCGCGGAGATCGTGATGGTTTGTCGGGAGAGGGGTTGGGTGAGGCCGAGCGTTTACCAGGCGATGTATAATGGTCTCAGTATAGCCTCAACCCTATGTTTTCATCTGTGCTTTGGCTAATATGCTGCGCGCAGTTCGCACCATCGAAGCGGAACTCATACCCGTCTGCCGACGCTACGGGCTGGACATAGTCGTCTACAACCCCATCGCTGCAGGCGTGCTAGCGGGCTCATACAAGTCGCCGTCCATTCCAGACAAAGGCCGATTCAGCGCGCAAAACCCGACTGGCCACACATATCGAAACCGGTATTTCAAGGACACGACCTTTGCTGCGGTGGCACTTATCGAGGCTGCGGCGTGCAAACACGGATTGACCATGGCGGAATGTGCGTTCCGGTGGTTGAGGCACCATTCGGCACTGCGGTTTGCCGTGGACGGGAATGGGAATGACGGCGTTGTTATAGGGGTAAGTAGTCTGGCGCAGTTGGAAGGAAATCTGAGGGACCTCGAGAAGGGGCCGTTGCCGGAGGGTGTGGTGGAGGCTTTCGAGGAGGCTTGGGCTTTGACGAAAGGGACCGCGGTCAAATATTGGCATGGCGAGCTGGAGTATGCGTATGATTTGAAGGAGGTTCTGTTTGGCAGGTAGTTGGGTTACCTGTCTTCACCGGCCTGCAGTGGCGTCTATAATCTAGTCAGCGATAGCAAAGGTGCAAGGCCTTGTCAAGCGGCTGATTGACCAGGACACATCGCATCCCTCGCAGCTAATACTTGCATAAAGACAGAGAACTGAAACGGTTGACGAGGGCTCGGTCTAAAGATGGAGACGAGTTGTATGGCGCAATTTATGACGACCCATGATTGCCAAACTAGGCAGTCACGCTTTGGCGCGGGGATAAGTAAAGCACGATACGGAAAAAGGCTCTCATCTTAGCGAGGGATAGGTAGTGCCTTCTCTTCTCTGTCTCGAGAATTTCAAGTATGCATTAGCAATGGCGAGTTATATGTGGACGGCAACGCATAACAAAGCATGATGTAGGCGACCATCAAGTATACTTTTTGATCTAATTTAACCTGCCCAGATGACAGTCCTCCGGTGAGGAAACCCGGTCTCCAGAATGGCTTATAAAGCATGTGCTAGACATTAGGTACGGAGTTGGATGTGGGCTTGTCCTACTGCTTTATCAGCAGGAACTAGAGCATTGTACCTTAAGCCCTGGAAAGTTGCGTAGGCCACAAAGCAAATGAACAGCCAGTAGTGCTACCTTGTAGGAGCTAAGTTCTCTACAATAGGCTACATTGCCGAAAAACATTAGGCAAGGACTTAATGGCACATACTGGTTGTGCCCGAGGACCTGTCTCTAAGATTGGTCCATTAATTGGGTTACAAAGCTTTACTGAGTAGTAAGGAGAAGGTCGCTTAGACCCTTCCCACACGAGTCCCGCAAGGGGGATGAGTTTGGTTGCTGGAAGAGGGCGGAACCAGCAGGAAGCGAAGGTGCGAGAATGATGACGGAATACTGGAGGGGGGCGGAACCAGCATGATAGGGGTTGATAGAGGAAATAAGAGAATGCTAGAGGATGGCGGAACCAGCAGATAGGCGAGAAAGTGGTGAGACCCATGCCCGTCCCTACCACCCTCCAGGGCATGCGAATTTGTAGATAGTGGAGCGGAGAAAAGATTTAATAGAAAGGGAGATGAAAAGAAAGCAGCAAAGATAGGGAGATGAAAGAAGATAGTAAAGACAGGGAGATAAAAGAAGATAGCAAAGATAGGGATATGAAAGGAAGATATAAAAGATATTAAAAAGGAGAGGAGGAATGAGATGAGGAAGAAGAGGAGGAAGGAGAGGAGGAAGAAGGAAGGAGAGGAGGAAGGAGAGGAGGAAGAAGGAAGGAGAGGAGGAAGAAGAGAGAGGGAAAGGAAGAGAAGTAAGGAGAGAGAAGAGAAAAAAAAAAAAAAAGAAAAGGAAAAGAGGTAGATGTAAGAAAGAAGAAAAAAATCAAGACAAGAAGAGGGAAAGGCGCCTTAAATCCTTCGTTCTAAACGGAGCTCATGTCAGCGATATTTGTCAGCCCTAACCGGGGAGCTGATCCTGTGCACTCGGCTTGGGGCTCCGGAAGCTAGTTATCAATTAGCAGAAGCCCCTGGAAGCACTATGGGAAAGATGTCCAGCCTATAGGTGGCACACATGGATTCAACAGGCAGCTGGTTAGGAACTTAGGGCTACACTCCCGACCAGAGCTGGACCAAGCGGCCCGCCCCGCCAGTTCTCGGCGGAGCCAAGACTCCACTGGTCCCTGGCTCTCCACCGGAGCTCCAACCTTTTTCCATCTTCACCTTCGATCCCTCACTGCAAACCCCCAATCTAATAATCCCACAATGCCACAACCGCCACTCTCTTCAGCCGAGCCCACAATGCCGCCCCGCCCCCTCCTCCAAACAATCTTCTCCTCGCTAACCCGCGCCCCTTCACCCTCCACAACACCCTCAACCTCAACCTCAACCCCACCAAGCTGGACGCTCCTCCGCACCCTCAAAAGCGAAAACCCAAACGATATCCAAGGCGATCTACACGGAACCGCAACATTCACACCGCTACCGCCCCACAGACCCCAAGCCCCAAAGGCCGAAAATGAAGAAGAGGGCGGGGCAGAAGAACACACAGACCTGCTGTACAGCGAATCCGGCTCGCTGCCGACCTCCTTCGGACCAGGTCTGCGCTGGACAAAGAAATATATATGGAGGCTTAGCGCGAACGGCCGGATAAGCGTTTGGTTCGTGAAGATGGATAAGAAACCCTCTGGGCAAAGCAGCGACGCCGAAGAAGCGGATTATCTGTTCCACGAATTTGATTTCGCGGCTACGGCTTCTTCGGAAATGAATTCGGCGGAGTTTGTTGCGCCGCCGATGCCGCCGGAAGTACCGGGTCTACCCAGGGGGGCGACGACGAAGGTTATAGCCGCGCGGGGGAATCATCTTTGCATTGATGATATGTATCGCACGGCGTATGCGTTCAGGGTGGATGAGGGGAGCGGCGAGGTGCTTAGTTGGGCGAGTCGGCATGTTGTGAGGGGGCCGAAGAAGGGGCAGGATATTGTTAATTTGTACTCAAGGGCGGCATAGGCTTTGGTTTGGGACTTGGGACTTTCGGTCTGGTCTATATCTCTATATGTATTGGGTTCACATAGACGGTATCTCCAGCACATATGCGTGGATAGAGGGCTTCATAATATGCTAAATATCCAATATATAACATGCCACAAGGGTTCCACCTCAGACTACTAAGCCATATCCACATCAAAGCGTATAAATAAAATCCGGCCTCTTATCGCCCAAGGCGCGGATCTCCACCTGATTCATCCCTTCAACCCAATGGTCCCTCTCGCCGCGTCTGCGCTTCGCATTTTCCCTTCGCAGCAGGATATACTGCAGCAGCGAACCTCCAAACTGGAAGAGAACAAGGTATGCCAAGACCGTTCCATGACCCGGATAAAACTCCGGCGCATCATCGCCGCGGTAGATGTTCGACGAGACGATCCCGTTCAGGTTTCCCCATCCGATTACGAAGCCGAGAGTGACGCCGCGCTTGTACACACCTATCACGCAAACGTTAGCTTATCTCTATCTAGCGAAGAAGGGTGAAGTTTAGAAGAGCTGCACGCACCTTCGACATTGTTGCTTGTCCACGAAATCGTGTTTGAGATGGCGGGGTATATGCCCATCGCGCCTAGGAATGTCCCCGCGTATTTAGCGCCGGGGGTCTTTGCGCCGAGCAGCATCGCGAAGCCGGTTATGCCGAGGAGCGAGACGAGCATATTGCATATTCCGCGCTGGCGGGTGCGGTCGGCGATAAATCCGACAGCGACTGTGAGGACTGCGGCGGCCGCGTAAGGTGGCACGCTGAGGAGCTGTGAGCGAATACCGGAGTAGCCTGTATTTGGCGAGTTAGTGTTTGTTTCTCTGAAATAGTTAGAAGATTGACATACCCTACATATGTTAAGTTAGCCCTAGTTCAACATCAACGCACGCGAAGGTAGGGCAGGGGTCTTACCATTTGGTTGATGATAGTCGGCACGAACAGCGAGAAGGCATAGAGACAGCCATCGGCACCCATATAGATCATCATCCCGGTATAAGTCTTCCAGTCCTTGAGACTGTTCCAGAAATACGTCATCTTGAACTCCTCATGCTCAGCACTCGCCTGCTGATCCTCTGCCAACCGTCTTAGCACTCGCTTCCGATCATCTTCCGACAAGAACTTCGCCTCGTCGGGGAAGTCATAGACCATCCAGAACGATGCAACACCGATAACGATTGTCGCAAGGCCTTCCAGGATAAATATCCAGGCCCATCCTTCTTTGCCGCCTACACCATCCATCTGCACGATTGCAGTTGCGAGAAGGCCACCGAACGAGCCGGCCAAGGCAGCGGCAGAGAAGAAGATTGCCATGCGCACGCCGAACTCCGAGCGCTTGTACCAACATGACAGGAAATAGCCGACGCCGGGGAAGAGGCCGGCTTCTGTGAGGCCGAGGAACCAGCGCGCCTGGTGATGTTAGTGCCTGCAATCTGAGACGAGGACGAGGGACGAACAGCCATTAGACCAGACCAGTTGTGAACGAAACCCATACTCATCATGCAAATGCCCTATGCCATTGTGTAAGTAGATATTACGACAGCGAATGGAGGGGGGCGTACCCATAAGACCATAATGATGGGAATGAACACGCTAGGTCGCAGCCGCTTAAGCAGGATATTGGTCAGAGGCTCAAAGACCGCATACGAGACGAAGAAAATGGTGAGCGAGGAGTTGTATTGGTTATCGGACATTGAAAGGTCCTCCTGTAGATTGTCGAGCTTCGCATTGCCGATGTTGGTTCTGAACGGGTTAGGCTGGACGAACTCAATTGCGCGACATAGGTGCCCTTACCGGTCCAGGAAGGAAACAAGATAGAGCAGACTCAGCCAGGGGACTAACCGCAAGTCGAGCTTCCAGAGAAGGGCGCGGTCCTAAGCAAGCAATCAAGTCAGCGATCCGTTACTGAAAGGATCCGGTCCGACGAGCACTCTTACAATCTTCGCCCTCTCTTCCTCGCTGAGCCCTTCATCTGGATCCGGGAACTGGTCTAGCCGCGACTTGTGGTGATCCCGCGACGACGCGATCTTTTCGAGGTCAGAGGTCTTTGGAGAATTTTCCTGTATCGATTTCTCTGCCATGGTAACTGTGGACGGACTCCGATCGTACAAGAGGCTGAGGGGCTGCGGTTGAGGCGGAACCAGGGAGGGCCAAAATCACAGGGGCGTCCAGGTTTTAAGGGAGGGGGAGCAGCTGCAGCCCACGAGCCGGCCGGGATGCAGGATCTCTTCCATGGTCTTCGATAGTGGCTGATCCCGGGGATTTTCGAGCCAGACGCAGCGTAGTGTCGGGGCTCGGGCTTTCTGGCGACGAGACGGAGGTGCTCCGCAGCCCAGAGCCAGGCTGGAATATCCCTCGTGATTCATGATGCTGGAGAAAAGCGGGGATCGTCATAGTTGAAGGGAGATAAGAATCGTGGAGACGGAAGCTTGCGAACACAGAGGAGCCGTGGTTGGGGCATTGCCGCATTCTGGGCGCGTCGATCCCACCCCCGCAGACGAGGAGGGCCTCGGGTGATAGGTCAGGCCAGCCATGCAATTGGTCGAGGGGCATTATTAATGACAGCATCGCACGGAGCAAGACCGAGAATTGATTGACGAACAATGATAACATCGAGGGAAAGTTGCATCCTATCTACTGGAACAACAGATCTATGCAGAGTGCTAGCATGCCAGCGCAGAACAAAACAAAGATAGCTAATACTCCCTCTCGACCGTGGTCTCTTCATACATTCGCGGACTGTACTGTGCAAACTTGCTCCTCTGGCGAAGACTCTACCCGTAGTACCGGAAGACATACCTACAGCACCGGGCAGAAGATTATAGCGCCAGCCGCGAGGATAGACAACGCAATGTTTGTTCCTAAAACTCTGGCTGCCCGAAGCCCATCGACTCGCTGACTGAGGCAGGGATTCGGTAAACAGACACAGTAACGCAACGCTGTAGCCGCTTATTAGAGAGCAGGCAAAAACAATGGGCTGGGTGAAGAATAGCCTGAACGGTCGAAGGAGTCCTTCGCGCACGAAAATGCGAAGTTTGGTGACTTTGTCAGTGTGAACTGCTTGAAGGCTCATGCCCCTGTCACATGACGCAGCTTTTCAACGTCCCACGTCAGCAGCAACGCCGGACGACTCTCGGATCCCCAGCAGCAGAACCGAGAAGCACCCGTTACGATGCCGGATATATGAAACACCCATCTCTGATTTACCACCCCAAACGCGCCGTGATGAATCCGCTCATCACCGGTCCCATTGCAACCGCAAAGTTGGCGACCACCATGTACGCAAACACCAGCCAGATACGGTCAAGCGTGTTGAACATATCCTCGATACTGGCCGTGATGATAGCTGTTCGGACGGCTGAAACCAACCCTGTCAAGACTCGTCCTGCAACCGTTGCTCCCAATGAAGGTATAGCGGCAATCAAAAAACTGAAACCACTGAACAACCCGGTGCTGATAATATATAGCTTCTTGCGACTAAACGGATCGGAGTACGGTGGGAACACGACATTTCCGAAAGCTTGCGCCAAGGCGTATCTAAGCACCATAAGCATTCATCTTGTTGCTTCCCGAACAGCATAGTTGAGCCGACTTTGGCTCCGCCGCTCGCTGTCCGCGGACCTCTGTGCTTCAAAAGAGAAACGGCGAGAGGTAAGGGTTGACGAGACGCTAAAAGAGCGTCTGCTTCTCATTCAGCGGGCCAGTCTTTGAATGGGCCCATTGTTCAGCCCCCAAAGGACTTTTCTCTACCGAATAGCCTAGTGCGAACTTGGAATTGGAACAACATCGGAGTGCATTCCAGAGGGTAACCAGCAAGACACTCCGGCGATTGGAGTCGACGCGGCCTTCCTGCTTCAATCAAGATTATAACTGGGAGGGTTGGTCATGATTTTCAGCGATATGCATTCTGTTGCGGTTACAAGTCTCTAACATGTCCTCAGCGGTGCGCGGCGTCTCAAAGGAAGCAAGAAATCAAGCTCTGCGCAAACTTTCAAGCGGCGGCGTGAAAGCTTGACTAGTGTATTGGCAAATCCTTCGTTTACGTCGCCAAGTCAGGCCGTGGGCTTGCGGTGGGTCCGTTGAATTGCGTACATATTGATGTGTAAATATGTTCATATTCTTCTGGACTATAACTACAGTTTTTATGTAGTGTGCATGGCACTGAATGCAAACACTGCTGCTAGAAGGCAGGCCAAAGGCCAGCATACAAGAAGACAGCCTCTTCTCCAGATTGAAGAACAGGGTCCGACAATCTGATTTGATTATCAGATAATCAATCAGATAACGCCTGTCAGGCTCCACTCAGCGCTGGGCTCTATGGTTTTGGCCCGGACCACACGCCTGCTTGGGCAAGCTTGTGCGCCGCTAGCAAGCCGGCATCGCTTGTGTCAGTCGGCCGCCCAATTGCACTCCTGCGTGTTGCTCGTGAGGAAAACTCTTCATGCGCAGGTGCAGCCATCGGGAGTCGGCCGACGATACGTATACGCCGAGATACATCCTATGAGAACTCCTGAATGGAAGCCTTCCCTTCTCGAATCGTGCCACCGGTCTGAGATTGAGACGGCCCCACGGCTTCATTTACCTGCTTTCGCGTGGTAGAAAGTGGAGGATTCCGGCCCTTGTGTCCAGCGTCTCCATCGCATCGAGCTCTATGCGACTCTGCGCGCCGTTTTTCCGTCTGCGAGTCATACTGAGCGTGGCAATTGCCCCGTTGTCACAAACCTATATTTTCCTGCTTCCTCTGCTTGCTTCCTTTTTCAATTGCTCTTCACCTACTGCTCACTCAGCCTAATAGCCTCTCAAGTACGAAGTCTTCACGATGAGGTTCAGGCTTCCCCACAAGCGCGACGAACTGCCGGTCGACGCGGACAGCCAAAGACCGACAGATAATGAAGCCATTACAGAGAAAGAGGCCGGAGCCCTACCAACAGAGATCAACGCCAAGGAAGAAATCCAAGGTGACATCGTCAACGCGGACTTTCAGCATGGTGTCCAGGCCGCTCAGGCCATGACCCAGGTGTGGTCGTTCAGCCATATTGTCGCCGCTTATATTCTGTAAGTCCTCTGTATTCGAGTGCATCTCAACTTGGTGTACAGCCGAATGAAACTAACCATTCTAGGATTTGGATCATTCATTTCATCATGGCGTTCGCTTCAGGAATGATTTCGAACCTTACTCCCTTCGTCACGAGTTCTTTCGCAGAGCATTCTCTGACGGCTACAACCTCTATCATCTCGTCCTTGGCGGCCGGCTTGGTCAAGCTTCCATATGCGAAGTTGATGGATATTTGGGGCCGCCCTCAAAGTTTTGCAGTCATGGTAGGCAGCATGACTTTGGGCATGATCATGATGGCCGCGTGCAACAATGTGGAGACATACTGCGCCGCTCAGGTCTTCTACCAGATCGGATACACGGGGCTTGACTTCACAATGACCATCTTCATCGCGGATACTTCGAAACTCAAGAACAGAGCCTTCTGGATCGCATTCGTCGCTTCTCCCTACATCGCTACCGTCTGGGCCTATGGTCCTGCATCACAGAGCGCGCTCAACACAATCGGTTTCCGCTGGGGCTTTGGTGTTTGGGCCATAGTCATCCCGGTGGTTTCAGCGCCATTGTTCTTCCTGTTCTACTACAACCAACTCAAAGCCGAGAAGATGGGCCTAGTACCCAAGCATGAGTCCAACCGCACCACTCTCCAGTCTATCGTCCACTACGTGAACGAGTTCGACCTAATTGGTATCTTCATCTTCGCTCTTGGCATGGCGCTCTTCCTGCTCGCCTTCAACCTCTACACCAAGCAAGCCGATGAATGGCGCTCACCACTAATCATCTGCTTCCTGATCTTCGGCGGCCTTCTCATCATTGCCTTCATCCTCTACGAGAAGTACCTCGCCCCTGTAACCTTCATTCCATGGGAGCTGCTCAAGGACCGCACTGTCATCTTCACCTTCACCATGGCCGGCAGCCTCTACATCGCCTGGTACATCTGGGACAACTACTTCTACTCCATGCTGCTCGTCGTCTACAACCAAGACGTCACCAAAGCCTCCTACATCAGCAACATCTACACCGTCGGCTCCTCCTTCTGGTCAATAGTCATGGGCATCGTCATCCGCTACAACGGCCGTCTAAAGTGGCAAGCCCTCTACTTCGGTGTCCCCGTGACAATCCTCGGCGTCGCGCTGATGATCCACTTCCGCCACGCCGGCGTCGACATCGGCTACATCGTCATGTGCCAGATCTTCATCGCCTTTGGCGGCGGCACGCTCGTCATCTGCGAGCAAATGACCGTCATGGCCGTCTCGCGCCAGCAGGACATCCCCGCCATCCTCGCGGCAGAAAGCATGTTCATCAACATCGGCTCTGCTGTTGGTTCGTCCATTGCCGCCGCCATGTGGACCGGTATCTTCCCGGCCAAGTTGAAGGAGAACCTTCCTGCCGATGCCCAGTCTAACCTCGCCACGATCTACGGAGACGTCACGGCGCAGTACGGGTACCCGGTTGGAAGTCCCGAGCGCGTTGCCATCAACCTGTCGTACAGTCAGACGCAGCGGCTCATGCTGATTACAGCGACTTGTCTGTACTCCATCACGCTCGTCTCGGTGATGCTGTGGAAGGACGTTAACGTCAAGAACATCCACCAGGTAAAGGGCCGCGTTTTCTAAGAGGATCTTTGACTCGGCATGGATTATAAATATGGGAAAATACCCTGCAGTTCAATAGAAGCTGCTCGAACTTGGTAGCTTTCTGCGGATTTATATTTCAATGTGCCGTCCATCTACCCGGCGGTACGATATAGCCATAGTAAAATAATAATATCCGTTGCGAATTATAACATAGAGCCGGAACCTTGTTTCTGTAGACCTGGTCCTGCTCTCCGTAATATACGACTGCAATCAAGCTAGATTATCATATACTGCTTACATTTACAGCTGTGCAGCTGCTTACTGCTCCTTGTTCCAAAGCGAGCGTCTGTCCGAAGGACTGCAGATAGACCTCCCTGGGTCCACTTAATCTATTGAGACGGCAAATTCCTTACGCAGCTACGCTTGTCTCGCCTGTTTTTGTTTGAGATGTCATCTGATTTGCCAAATATCGTTTCACTGAATATCAAAATACAAACATGCGTTTCGTCATGAGACGTTCTGGGGATTAGGATAAGCTCGGGCTTCATTAACCACGAAAAGGCACTTTTGGAACGCTGCGACTGGGTACAGGCATAGGACTTGCTGCGCTCGAGATGTGGGTGTCAATAGCTGGAAGGTAGGGTTGCAAAAGTTCGATTCTGAAAAGCGTCCTCCGGTTCAAGAGACAAAAACGCAGGAAATTGGAAACGGAAGTAGAATCAATTGATATCCCTGATCACCAGTTTGCATCCTCAGATCCATTACCACTCTCAGGGTCCACAGAAGGTGTGCCATCTTGCTTCAGGAATCGAAACTGACATTTGCCGAGAGTAGGATGGTTCATCAACCATTCGAACACCACTGCGGCTGCCTTGACTGAAAGCATCTTTATCGAGACTTCGCCAACTCCAGGACCATCAACAATACTTTCGAGCTGTAGGGCATGCCTCTGGTACGGACTGGTCATGGCACGAGTGATCTCCATTTTGAGTGTAGGTCTGGGATGGAACATGCCTAGGATACGGGTATACCCTCCATGCATGATCGACTTCTGAATATCGGCGGGCATCGGGTAGGTTGGGGTGTGAACGGGAACGACCCTTCCAAATGGTAGAGTAACGGTTCTGTTGGCAGCGCCAGCCACGAAACGGGCAGCATCGTTCTCTGAAATGAAGGTGATCATGGCAGTGTTGTGGCCGGTGATGTTGCATGTATCCGCGAGGCGAGCACTATAAATCTCACCTACGACGAGCGGGAGGATGTTATTGAGAGTCTTATCCAACGGTATATCATCGATGCGTATGGTACGATAGACATTTTCGTCGGGCGCGGAGGGCATGTAGCGAAGGCCGTACTGGAAAATCCAGAGCTCGTCGTAGGGCTTGCGGTGGTCGAGCATGTTGATGCGATTGTTGAATGCGTCGAGCTCTTGTTCAGCGTCATCGAAAACACTGGTTCCTTTCAGAGACCAAGATATCTCTCCATACCACTTGACAGGCTTGATGGGTGCGTCCTTGGGCTTTGTGCTAGGAGGTAACGCATCGAGAGTGCGGCGCTGGGGTAGAGTACGCGGATTATGCTGGAGCGAGAGAGTAAAAGCGTCAGTAACTAGTGTTATTGTTTTAAGCTATGTGCCAGGACATACTTTGGGAGCCAATGCAGTAATTTTCAGGTTATCCACAAGACTGCCGAGCAAATCCTCCGGGCCATCAATGAGCATGTGGTGGTTCTCATTTTGGGAAGCCTTCTGATAGAGCGGCGATAATGGTTGAATTTGGATATCTTCTAGCCTGCTATCGAGGAGGTCCGCGGAGTACACTAGCGAGTTGAGTGCCATTTCGTCCTTCTCTGACTTCTCTTCAGCGCAACTGCGCCGGTCGCGGTCGTCTTGTCCAGTCTCTTGTCCAGGAAGTGAAGTGGTAGTGAGCGATAGAATACGTATGTGGATAAATACAGAGAATGCGCTGAGCATCAAAAAGATTGGGGTGATTATGGAGAGGAGGAAGATGGCGTAAGCGTTAAACTCTCCCTGAGGGGGATCTGAGACATGGCAAACTTCCCAATTGGGAAAGAGTGAGGACGCCCCGCAGGCCACAGCCGTGGCCATTGCAGCGGTTGCCTACGGCAATAGTAGAGAGCGATAATGAAGGATACGGAGTAAGAGGGAACGGTAGTAAGAGGGAACGGTAGTAAGAGGGAACGGTAGTAAGAGGGAACGGTAGTAAGAGGGAACGGTAGTAAGAGGGAACGGNGAGGGAACGGTAGTAAGAGGGAACGGTAGTAAGAGGGAACGGTAGTAAGAGGGAACGGTAGTAAGAGGGAACGGTAGTAAGAGGGAACGGTAGTAGAGAGCGATAGTGGAGGAAGATGGGAGAGGGAGATGGGAGAGGGAGATGGGAGAGGAAGATGGGAGAGGAAGATGGGAGAGGGAAAGGAAACTAGGAGTAAAGACAAGGTTGAATAGGCGAGGCTAAGAAGGCGAGGCTTAGATAGTTCTCAAGTTATGAACGTACATTGTCACAACTGTGAGTATACTGCACTCTGCAGTCAAGGGTGGAGGCTAGTAGGTTGAGACTTGTTTGAAGATGCAAAGGGAAAACCAGGTCAACTCAACGCAAGGCACAGGGCTATCAAACATGGAAGTGAAGTAAGTTTGATGAGAAGATTCTAATGAAGTGAGAGATGTCTTTCAGAGGTTGCAAACAGAGGCTCCGCAAAGCGTCCTAAAAATAAACGTCATGCATTGGTCAATCAAAATGCCATAGGTAAGTACAATAGAGCAGTCTCCCAAATCCAACACGCCTATACCAAATATTCGGTGTTGAAACACGAATTTAAAACAGTCTGACAATCTACCCAATGAACTCTCCCTGCGCAAGAGCGATCCACGGCAACTTCGTATCCCAAGATGTCTGCATCAACGTACGGGCATTGTGAATCTAGCGCTCGTATTAGCCGGTAATAGTAGTAGGTATAGGGGCAGCGTAACTCACCTGCTTCATTCCAGTCCCCTCCAGAACCTCTAACCGCTCCTTGATCTCAATCCTTTGCTCGGTATCTTGAGTTTCGCATCCTGCCGTGAATATCGGAAATAACACGCCTGCTTCCACGGTTGAGCCAGAACGAATTGCGGCTACCGACTGCATCAAGCCATTCAAGGCTTCGGTAACCGCCGGAGAGTCAGACGAACTGCCTAAGACCCTACGGTGAAGATGTAGCAAGCCAGCATATCGGAACGCATGATCGACGGCAATCATATCGGAAGACTCTGAGTCTCGATAGTGCCTTTCATAAGCGTAGGCGTGAGCATCAAGGGTCTCCCAGTCCAACAGCAACTCCTCAGCTTGCTGGACTAAATTTGTCGAGGGTTGCCATTCGGGTAAGAAGGCACCCATTTCGCCAAATCGCTCATTGTCACAGTGATTAACCAAGCCCCCAAGCTTCATCAAGAACAGACCAGTCCGAGGTGTAAATCCAGTAAAACAGTCCACCGCAAATTCGTCCCAGTCTTCAGCCGCCGTGCAAGTATTCAAGACAGAATAGTACGCCAGGAGGGGCGGTTGGTGGTGCCGGCACGAAAGCGCGCCTATTATGTCCAGATATCCAAGCCAGCGTGTGAGGAATGCTCCGGCGCGGTTGCCAGGGTAAGCGATCTCTGCTTGACGAGCTAGAAACAGGTCGCGGGCTAGTTTGAGGTGGCTTTGCCATGGTATTGGTACCTCGAAAGTGCTCGGAGAGACTATCTTCAGCGAGAGCAGCATGATTGCAGTTGCAAGATGACTGTCGGTGATTTTCTCGTTCTCCTCGAGGGCTACGCGCAGAGACGGGAAAACATTGCTCACCCAGTGCGCAATTCGATTTGCCGGCTCCGGATGGCCTAGAAACCTTGCCCGGTGGCTTGCCGAGTAGGCAAGCATCAAGTTAAGAAGATTTTCATCGCAGATTGCCACTTTTAAGTTAGTCTATGATAGAAAGCAGGAAGGGATGACATCTTACTGGAAGGCAGAACTGAGCTAAAAGGATTATCTTCACAGTCATGAGGCACCAGAACCTTTGCAGTGTGGTTGAGGAAATGGTGAAAGTACATCATGTTGATGGGATTCTTCAATAAAGAGTTCGGAAGCGGCGATAGATATCGAGGTATGTTGATGGCCACAGGTGACCCATAGTAGTTGTACTTGCGGTCACACTGCTCACGCTCTTGTCCCGTCATCAACGTTCCCGGGCTGGACACATTGCTCGCATTTCGTAACTGAATGGTCTCCAGGGCATCGCTAATATCAATTGCCGAGTGATCATCATTGTTTCCTAGATCCGCGTCCGGACGACCGCAATCCATACCGTAGTGGTCCATTACACTGGTGAGATAAGCCTGCCACTTCTCGGAACTTGTGAGGCTGCCAAGCTCGTCATATGTACGTCGACCGTTGCGAGCAAAGAAAGAATTCGACCTGCTATGTTTCATCTTGCTATAGCTAACGCCAGGAGAGCCATCCAGTATACCAGCCAAAGAGCCGTCTGGAGTGTCCTCCAAGTTTTGGGGTGTCCCAGATGCGAACAAACTCGTATCAAGTGAGTAAGGCGATAGGGCTCCGAATGAATCTGACGGGCTAGCGGTGGGGCATTCATCAACGCCCGCGACTCCCACATCAACTGGAGACGATCCGGAGCAGCTCTCGCCATCCGCCTGCTTAAATTCGTAATCCGGAACATCTAGCGCAGGTCGAACGAAGGATGTAGGTTGGGAGACTGGCCCCGAATGGAAGTTAAAGCTCAGCATTTCTGAGATGTTCATACCATTTTCTTCGGACGGTAGGTAAGGAGAAGCAAGTGAGGTCGGCATTAGGTTATCGGGGCTGTCCACTTTTGGAAGAGGGTCAGTCTCCTCTGCGGGAAGACTTGGCCAGGTAGTCATGTCCTGTCCTTGCGACAGGCCCATCTCTACTGGAGCTCTATCGGCTGTACGGCTGGGCGGATTAAGAGACTGGTCAGGGACGGTAGGAGAATCTTGGATATCATGTAACCTGCTAGGGTACGTTCTTCCTATGGTCATCTCCCCTGCATGCCCAATATCCCAGAACAGCATTTCCGCAGGTTGGGCCTGCGCAGCATTCTCCTTCATGTTATCAGACTCGAATTGTTGAGTTGGTTCGCTTGGTTGTGGATGAGGTAGGTCCGGAGGTGATAAAGGAAAGGAGAACGAGATGCTACTAGAGGGGCTTGAGGAGTCCACAGATGGTCTTTTTCTGGTCCTCCCGCCCCAGTTCAAGCGGAGGCTGTAATCGCATGGTTCGTTTTGGCGGCGGCAATTCAAGCACGCCGGCTTTTCCTCCCCACTACATCTGGGAGATCAGCTGAGCGACATGTAAGAAGCAGGGCATACAAACCATTTAATCTTCCGTGCCTTGCATGGCCTACTTGCTGTTATTGGCATACAGGAGCGTGAGGGGGGCAGCGAGGGTGTAAGCTTCACTCACCAGCAACCTTTGCGAGATCTCCGTTTAGGCTCGGGAGCTCCGGGCCTTCGAGGACGCGGCATTTGATGCTCAAATCAAAGGCGCCGGAGAATAGCGATGATTATTTGACGAACTAATGGTCCGGGGTGAGAGATAGTGCCAACTTAATCTGCGGAGTAAGATCGCCATGCAGCGCGGATATCTAGAGGCAATCTTCACAGGGCTGAATGGCGGAGTTCTTTTTCGTCTGCGAGTTGGGCGCTTGACCCAGGAAGACAGAAAACGATAGTCGATATCAATATAGTCACGTCTGTTATTCGTACTCATCGAGGTGCGGAATCTGGCAGCGCCAGCCAAGCAGTTGAGAGGATTATGGGTTATTCGATGGGTGATGGATGCTAAGATAGGATGACGATGATAAACGCTGTTTTACGTTTCTTGGGGCGAAGCGGAGAGAACGAGTCACGAGAAGCAGGTAATATTCCTATAGTAATCGATCCAGGCACAAGACTCAGCCGCCACCGTACTACTTGGTAGCTACAGCAGAGGCTCCTGTCCGTCAAGTTTCTGAAGGTGGAGGCCGGATGGAGCAGAGAACAGAGAGAGACAGCGGAAGCGGTGCAAGCAAGGAAGAAGCCGAAGAAAAGAAAGCAAAAAGAAGCAAAGTTGGGGGAAGCACTGCGATGCATCTGCATTGTTATCGCATCGGAACGCCTAGAGCAATCACAGCCCGCCATCCGAGGTGGAGACGGCTCGACCTGCCTCTTCGAGAGAGCTGACACCTCAGGCTGCTCCTGATAAGCCTGGGGGCCCGGGAATACTCAAACTCCGGACTCCGAAGCACCTGACATCAGACAAGGGTTCCTTGCTTTCTGCGCTTTCCGTGGGATCCTAAGAATTGGTTGCTGTTAATGGCATTTTGTAAGATAATTCTGATCTGCTTCTTCTATCTTGACTTATCTGCTGCTTGCGACAGTAGGCGTACCTAGGCGTTTAGACAGCCACTTATTCTTATTACTTTGTCTTATTGTTACACTGTTATCGCTACATATCTGCTTATCCTAGGCCTCTACTCCAATAACATCATGTCATCAATCACCAAAGTCCACCCATTGCAGCGGCTACCTAGCCCGTCGAGAGGCTTCTCAGCTTTGATACATGTATGTTTCTCTTGGGTTTTACACTGGGCCTCGATTTGACCGCTTCCGCAGGCATCCGGGCTAGCCAGCTTCATATGGTCTTTCAAGTAGTAAGTATATATTTTTGTACTACGGTCTGTAGCACAGCTTCAGGATTGTCCGACTAACATCCCTCTAGTATGAATGACAACCCTAATCACGCGTAAGCTTTTTCGAGTTCATGAGACCCAAGGTTCCCGTCAATTGACTTTCGGCTAGCAACGAAGCATATGGATGGCATTTCCAGTACCTGACCGTCCTCGGTCTCTCTTTGGCAACACTCACTTTCGCCGTCGGCCTACTAGCGGACATCACCTTGTCCGCGCGGCTGTTCTTGGTGAAGAACCTGCTGTCTGTCTGCAGCGCCCCTATGGAAGTTCTCATCAGCATCCTCTACTGGGGCCTTCGCTTGGTAAGCCCGTTCTCTCTTTCTGGCCACTTTTTACTGATCAGTTTATATAGATCGATGAGCGCCTGGTTGTTCCGGAGTGGGCTGTGATTCCCATGCATGCCGGTACGCCGTCTCTCTTCTATCTTTACCCTGCCAGTCCCTGTGGCTAAAGCCCTCATCAGATATCAGCTTTCATGCAATCCCCTCTATCGTCTTCCTAATCGATCTGCTCTTCCTCTCCCCGCCATGGACCATTACGATCGGCCCAGCCCTCGGCCTTTCCAGTGCAATCGCTGTCAGCTACTGGTTCTGGATTGAGCGCTGCTTCCAGTACAATGGATGGTACGCCTGTAACTCCTCCCGACAAGTGGACCAGTCTAATCAGTCAATCAGGTACCCCTACCCAATCTTCGAGCAGCTCCCCTTCGAAGGTCGTGTTGGGCTCTTTGCTCTAAGCGCCACGGTCATGGCTCTCAGCACGGCGACTCTCAAATGGCTCCACGGTCGTGTGAACGGCTTCGGAACACCCGTGAGCGCCAAGGCCCGACCTGGCTCTGTGAAGGCGAACGGTAACCTCTAAAGGGAGCGTCTTCTGTTACACGTTTGACTGAGATACAACGTTAGAGATATATTTGCTTAGATGATTACACTCTTGCTTCCGTTGCATCATATAGTCTGGCTAGTATGATGGCATTTTCAGAGTTGGTATACCATACAAGGTATCCACGCTTGTTGTTAATGGAATAGATAGACACTCAATTCAGTATGTATATTGCGATATGTCTTCAATATTTCAGAAACCGTCAAGCAGCATCCCTGGGCGCTGGCAGTATAAATCATCGAATAAGATGTAAGGATGTTGCGCAATTAGGGCTTATCTTTCCGCCAAAATCTTTTGCCGTTGACCTCGCTGCAATCCCAAGATTCTACATTAGTGTACCGTGTGCAGCGGTTCTGCCACGGTTACGTAGAGACGCCATGGTCACTTCAATCATCGATCATTCAACCAGCTCGCAACAATGAATTCGATCCCAGATGTATGCTTATGGCATATGATACCATGTTGTTTAGATTTTATGCCTAACAATATATAAGACGGCCCTAGGTTCCATGAAAATCCTCTTAAGTTATATGAACAAGTCCATTATAAGCGCTCAAAATCTTGCGTAGCAGTACAAAAGGTTAGAACCCTGGGATAGGAAATCCAAACGAGAGATGACCGGACGATGGTGAGGTAAAAGAGCCGGCCTTAAATTTTGATGTACATAGAAATCAATTATTTAATGAAGTTGCGCCTCTTGCGGTTGTACGCCCGCTGGTCCTTAAGCCATTGTCGGTAGCCCTGGACACTGCCAATCTTCTCGCCATAGTAGTCGGGTACGGGGTTCGTCATCGAGTTCGACGAAGGATCGACGCGGTACCGCTTGATTCGGTCGAAGAACTCTTTCTCTTTCTGCACAGGGTCAGGTCAGTCCTCATATTCCCATATTGTATTGGCCAAGTTAGGGCAGAGTCAAGAAAAAAAAACTTACCAGCAAGAAAGCCTTCTTGTAAGTCCGGTTGACAAGTCCCCAGATAGCATTGCCCAAGAATGGACCGATAAGCCATCCGACAGCGCCGCAGGCCGCCGTGGCCATTCCCATAACAACGAACGGATCCAAGCCCATGACTTGCGCACCTAGGTTCTCGATGTTCTGGCTGGAGAGAATCTGCACACCAACCACGGTGGTGGCTGCGGAGCTGACAATGGAGGAAGCAAGCGTGTACCGTCGGCGGGAAGCCCGGAGCTTGAAGTATGAGTTCCAGTCGAGTTTGGCGGCTTCCTCACGGGCGGAAGCGGAGGTAGTTGAGTTGGTGCGGACGGAGACTGTGCTGCTGGCATTGATGCATGGTGTTACAATCTGTGTTTGGCGACGAGCGGACGCGATCTGGAGTGTGGGAGAAGCTTTGGGAAGTCGGATTGTGGATGTGCTGGAAGGGCGTGCTTGGGTCTTGAGGGAGATGGTCTGATAGAACGAGGAGGTTTGGAACGCAATTGGGTTCAAGCTTGTGGATGGCACGCGAGCGCAAACAGCGGCGCTGCGCATCGAGTTGCCGAGGAGACTGGTATGCATTTTGGAGATTTCGGGGGATATCGAGGTAAAGTATTGAGTGTGTCAAGAGTCGCGGACTGAGCTGCAGGTGTTGTGAGCCTTTCGTCAGTTCCGGAGACTGGCTTGGCACATTATGTAAGCCAACATACCAAGGCACACAGTGACCTCATTCGCACCCTCATGTTTCTCATCTTTCTCTACCGCATCGAAGACAAGTCATCCTTTGCCATGTTGTTGAGTGCGCACTGATATTCATGAATGTGTCTCCTTTATTCTAAATGTGAACACCCTACTTCTAGTATAAGGCAACATCTATAACTTGGCTCTTCTCGTTAAGCTTCTTGCTTGGTCCCTCAAGACTCTCCTGAGGATTTTCCCTGATGCGCTTTTCGGTATCTCGTTTATGAACAGAACTCCGCCCCGGAGCTGCTTGTGGCGTGCAAGGTTTGACTTGACGTATTCCTGTAACTCTGCCTCGGAAACGCGTTTGCTGGCCTTGAGCACAACATATGCTCGCGGTAGCTCATTGCCCGGTGCCTCCGGGTCGGGTGCACCTACCACTGCGACATCTGCGACGCTGGGATGCGTGAGAAGGAATCCCTCTACTTCTACTGGCGAGACCTGCAGTCCTTTGTACTTTATGAGCTCCTAGGCGAGGGTTAGCTTGCCGATCTCATGGCTCGGCTGAAATGCTTGCCTTTTTCCGATCAACCATGATGATTTTCCCGTCTTTATACACCCCGATGTCTCCGGTCTTATACCAGCCATCGGGCGTGAAAGCGTCAGCGGTCGCCTCTGAGTTGTCAAAATATCCTTTCGTGATCATTGGGCCTTTGAGCAGGATCTCGCCCTCCACCCCGCCAGTAACGTCTCTCATACGTTCATCAACAAGCCGCAACCTCATATTTGGTAGTAACGGACTGATACTCCCCGTATTGTCCGACTGGCCCCAGGGCATGGTAGTCACGCTTCCAGTTGACTCGGTCATTCCCCAGCGCTGACTGATGGTGCATCCCAGCTTCTTTTCCGCTTGCGCTTGGAGCTCCAGGCTTAGAGGTGCTGCGCCTGACTCCGCCCGGATAAGCGTCTTGAAATGGTCTGTCGCGCGGCCACTCCGCACTATAGCGTGGTATACCGGTGGCGCCGTCGACAAGAAAGTCATCTGGTACTTCTTACAGTAGTCGATGAACTCATCGATATTGAACCTGGGCATCCAGTACACTGTTCCTCCAGCAACAGCTGGCGTGATGAAATACCCCAAGCACCCAGCAATATGAGCCGTCGGAAGATGACCGACCGTCCGATAGTGCACGTTCAAATGCGGCTTTCCTCGTTTAGAGTCCCGCAGTACCAATTGAGTGAACAGGGCCTCAGAGACGAGATTCATATGAGATAGCATGACCCCCTTGGGTGCTCCGGTCGTTCCAGACGAGTATAGCAGGCAAACGGTGGTATTCTCCAGCGACTCGATATTCGTGACCCGATCCCACTCCATCTCCACCGTTCCCTGTAAGTAGTTCCGTCCAGGATTATCTGCGGCGCATAAAGATCGCCGATGCCCCATACTATCCAGCACCAACACCCTCTCCGGCGGAATCCCGCAAGCTCGCGCAGCATTAAGGGCTTTGCTTCTGTTCTCCGAACACGTAACAACGACTTTGCTTTTCGACTGCCTCAGCTGGTTCGTAAGTTCTGGTACCGTCAACGCCGTCGATGCCGCCGCATAGACACCTCCAGCACCAATGATAGCACAGAAAACAGCCGGCAAGAGGACCTGATTCGAGGAGATGCACAAAACAGCATCCTTCCCGGGCCCATTTACGCCAATTCCGAATTGAGAACGGAATACGTGGGCAAGTCGCCTGATGATTGTTCGTGCCTGTGCTTTCGTAATGTGATTTGTGGCGTCTGCTGCTTCGGCATGGAGGATTGTTGATTCGGTTGTTAGGGAAAGGGGAGACTCTACGGATATCAGGGTCATGCCATTGGGAGCTCTGGGATCAGACATACCGAAGAGTAGGGTGAGTAAGTCGAGCCTGGGAAGGTCGTAGTCTTTTTCAGGTAGGTATTGCATTGTTGGATACTGCTTCGATCACTTTTTCGCGTACACCGTAGTCCGATTAGCCACTGTCGAATATAAACCTATTGAAGCCTCCTGGACGCGCTCAAATAAAGATTAGATCTCGGCTACCCCAACTTGCGGGGGATCCCGAGGTTCTTAGCTTTTGCGGGGTGGTCTCCGTCCTCCACTCCCAAAGATAGAAACTTAGTCCCACGATCTAGTCGATTTATGCTAAATATACTGGCTACGCGATGCGGTATGAAGTATATGTAACTCAATGGACAGCATAGCCATTATTCTGCATTATACAACCCACCTCAAGACCACACTATAGAGCTAGGTATAGGCCCGTAGTATATAGCCTTAAAACTCCATCCAACCCGACAGTCTACAATTTCGACTTCTTGACCCCACTCGGAGGATCAATGTTCACATCCGCCCACCAAGGGTAGCTCGCCGGCAGACTCTTATCCACATCCCCCACAAAATTAGGCTTCCTCTTCTCAAAGAACGCCGTGACGCCCTCCTTCTGGTCCCTATCGTTACAAGATCAGCATTGCAAATTGCCAATTCACAGAGGATCAACATACGGCGACGTAAACCGATGATAAATAACCTCACTCTCCAGCAAATGCGCCTCCTCCGCACTCTCCGGCCCACGCCACATAAGCTCACGGTTTAGCGCCGCCGCCTGCGGACTCACATTCTCCGCAATCTCAGACGCTAGAGCTAATGCACGCGGGAGAACCTGGCTTTGCTCAGGCATCGTCTCGGCGAAGAGACCTCCGAAATGCGGTGATGTGGATGGAAACACAGCGCCTGTGGAGACGAGGTAGTTGGCGCGCGAGTGCCCGATTAGTCGGGGGAGGAAGTACGACGAGCAAGACTCCATCGTTATGCCGCGTCGTGCGAAGACGAAGCCGTATTTGCTTGTTTCGTGGGCAATCCTGGTACCTGATCAGAAACAGCTGGCCGTGAAGGAAAGAGGTGGGTGTACCTAATCGCAGCAGGCAGAACCATCGTCATCCCAACTCCGACTGCTGAGCCTTGCATAGCGGCGATAGTGGGCTTGCGGCATCTGTGGATTGCGAGAGCTACACGGCCGCCACTATACCAAACAGTCAGCCAGACCCTAATCACTCCCGTCGCCACAGATCAAGCCCTAAGTGTTTTAGAGGACAAACCTATCTCGATGTTCCCTCGACCTCGGCTCGAGCGCCTTAAACCCAATTTCCAGATCCGCCCCAGCGCAGAAGGCCTTCCCGGCGCCCGTTAGAACCACAACCCTGACACGTTCGTCGCGGTCAAATAAGCCGAAGACCTTCTCTAGGTCCTCGGACATGGCCATCGTGAAGGCATTGCGCTTCTCCGGCCTGTTCAGCGTCACGATTACGATGGGGGTTGCGGTTGCAGAGCCCACGGGGTAATGCGAGACTTTGATGTGTTGGGTTGCGAGGGACTCGTAGGATGAGGGGATCTCGATGGCGGGTGGGGTGAAATACATGGTGGGTGGTTGTGATGTTGTTCTGTCAACGGGTTGGGTTTGCGATGATGAGGGTTATTCGAGAAAAGATTGACGGTCCCTCTGTCTCGGCTTCATGCTGGACGGTTGTCGGCTGAGTACAGCTGGTGGATTACTGATCTTGGTTGCGAGGCACAGTGAAGGGACCTCGGTATAACCGGCTAGATTTCCGCAGCTTACCCCGCAAATAATAATGCGGAGAGATCAGGCACTACTTGTTATCTAGATGCCACAGCGGCAGCCTGGCTAAAAAAGTAACCGACAAATTCAATTTGTACCTTATATATTCAATGAGCGAACGTAGTTGGGAAAGCGATAAAATCACACGATTCAAAGTCTGGCGGAAGGCCTGGGTTAGCCTTGAGACCGCGCTGTCGGCTTTCATTAAAGCTCAATAGTCGTCTCCGCGACTGATAACTTCCTTGTTCGACTCTCGCAACAAGACGGTCTATTAGGGTTAGCTGGTGTTGTGACAGCAGTCGGGGTTAGTGACGATCAGAAACATACATGTTCAAATTGCGCAGAGTACGAGCCCTTGACATCAACGAGAGGGGCATAAACATCGACAACTCCGTGCTGCACGAGAGTATTCATCTGGAGCCCTGTTAGCGACAGTAGTCATTGTAGGAGAACCGACATACGCCCGCTAAGTACCGCTGCAGACCCAGGCGGTCCAGCTGGCGGCGACAGAAGACGATGGTATCAAAGTTCTCGTTGATAGTCTTGTACAGGGACCTTGCGGAGGCCAGAGGCAACGACACCTGACTTGGCGCATCATACGACTTTCCATAGCCGTAGACGCCGACCTAGAAACAGTCAGATTAGAGTCCATTGACCGGTTGTTTCCACGTACGTCATCATGTATATAGCCTCGGCCAGTGCTTCCAAAGGTTTCGATGGCAAAGATTTCTCCTTCTTCCATCTTAGTCTGGTCCGAGTTCTTAACGAAGGGGATCGACTTTCCGCCATGGATGCGGTAATGCTGGATATTGTGGCCAGTGATGTTCCGAACTGCCTTGACGGGGAATGTCTTCCCTCCGATTTCGACTTCGTAGCTTTCCATAGCCTCTTGGATAGCTGCACTAACATCACTGATGCGAACATCAATTCCAGCGGTCTGTACAGTCAGTAATGCCTTGATTGACTTGTTCGGAGGCGTACCTTCAAGCCAGTATTAGTGGCGTCTTTGACCGCGGCTAGCAGATTGTCATAAACCGGATCAAAGCTCATCGTGAACGCACTGTCCACAATCCATCCATTGATGTGGACGCCAAAGTCGACTTTCATCACATCGCTCGACTTCAGGATAATATCCTTCTGTCCAGGATTAGGCGTGTAGTGCGCGACAACGTTGTTCAAAGACAGGCCAGTTGGGAAACCCAGTCCGGCCTTGAGGCTGTCGCCCGGTTCAAGACCAGCATGGCCCAGCAGCGCACGCACGCCATCGTCGATATCCTCGGCGATTTCCATCAGGCCCTGACCGGGCTTGACGTGCTCCTGCGTCCATTTCCTGACCTGGCGGTGGACCTCCGCAGCCTTTCGATAGTCGTTCAAGAACGCGTCGTCCTCGAGATGACGGCGGGACAAATAGCGCAATTCCTCGCCGGTAGTCCGTGAGGCGTTATCCACAATAGACTGATATTCCTGGACTTCGCCGACAGGGTATTTTCCCTGCGGGAAGAGCTGAGAGAGCGGGACTCGAGGAGGAGAAGATTGCTTGACGGCCTTCTTCTTGCTCTTCTTCTTCGACTTTCTTTTCTTTTTCTGGTTGCCAGTCGGGGTCGCGTTCGTTAGCGCGGTTTGATGCGCTTCGCCGTCCTCATCATCGTCGCTGTCGCCGATCGCACCGTCTCCATCCGTTGCGAGATGCACACCTCGTGGCATTCCACCAGAAGGGGACTCGATGGGAGCGGTTGTGTTTTCTGATCAAGTTAGCTTGAGATAAGGAACGGTTCTAAGGTAAATTACCTCGGCCATTGGGGCCATCTTTTTCGGGAGTCTTTGAGCCCATGGTGCCATGCGTAGACTGCTAATTGATCCTGGAGTCTAGGTGCTGAGATGATGAAAAGTGTGAGATACCAATGCTTGGCTTCTCCTCACCAGCACGTGACATGCCACAGGTACAAGCCCGGAGGCATCCCGAGAGCTTCACAAATTCGGCATACTTTTTATAGTAACAACCTCGTGATCATTATGTCAACTTTAATAAGGGTCCAAATGTGGCAAATGTCGCGGATTGATTCACTACCAAAGTCAAATCGGTCTACCGTACTCTGTATGCCTACGCTGGGGCACGGAAACCAATGCTTATTGGAGTAACGTTTATGTTCTTACAGCTCTACATGACAGCTCTGTATATAGAGTAGTCGGCAATGACCCATTGTAGTGACATACCCCATCTTGACGATTCCATCGGACCTACTCCGTAGTTTGGCGTTGTATCCCCAGAAGGCCTTGGCTTTGTGGACCATCCGGTGGCCTGACAACTGGAATCAAGGCTTGGCTTTGAAACAGCAAGGCTGAGCCTCAGACCGGGTCTTCGCAGTGGGGCAGGGTCAAGACCTTCGGATTTCCAAGAACTTGGCTGCTGTCCAAGAAGAACCATTGGACGAAAGTGCGATTATCGAAATTGTCTTAGCTGCTTCAGGGGTATTTGGGATACAAGGCGAGTTCGGATTGAGAGGAGTGAGGACAAAGCCGAAGCTCAAAGAGAAAGAAAGCATTGTCCAGGTCTTCAAGATCGCGATAACCCCACAGTCCACTCACACTGGGCCATTGTCCCTGATAAAACCGCCCGCCATCGGCCAATCACGGGTGGGACATGTCGGATCGCACCGACTTCGCTTCTGACACGCCTTTGGGGGCCTTTTTGGGCCAAGGGATTCAAGACCTTTGCCAGATGGGCGACCTTGACGACAGGTCTCAGATCATCGTCTTATAACCCCCAACCGACCCCTGTCATGCTCTCCAAGATGTTCACGCCGCAATGATTTTCTTTACCAGGAAGCAGAGGCTCTTCCTCGTCGGCTTTGCCGTCTTCTACCTCTTCCTCCTTATCGTCTACCGATTTCGTTCAGCTCGCGATCCGGGCTCCTTTTTCTTCCAGCCAGAGGAAGGCTACCGACCGGAGTACAGCATCAAAAGAATCGACGAGTCGTTGGAGTATCTCCGCCCGTACAATCAGTCGTTCAATGACCCCGCGCATCCTGCGAGAAACTTCACCACGTCCTCCGACAATGCCACGATCTGCGTCGGGATCGTGACGGTCAAGCGACCGCTCGAGCAGAAAATTTCCACCACCGTCGCTTCCATCCTCGATAACCTCTCCGAAAAGGAACGCGACACCCTCACCGTCCACGTCCTCTTCGCATTGACCTCCCCGGCCGACCACCCAGACTATAGCCAGCCGTGGCTGCCCAATGTCGTCGATCGCGTCCTCACGTACGATCAGTTCGATACCAAAATCTCGACCCTTCAGCGCCTCGAAGAGAAAAAGGATGTCAAGCGCAAGTCTATCATTGACTACCACCTGTCGCTGAAATCCTGCTATGAAGATACCCAAGCGCCATGGATAATGATGTTAGAGGACGACGTGGTTGCACAGCGTGGTTGGTACAACCATACCATGCAGAGTCTAAGCACTATCCAGTCATGGCGCGAACGCGGCTCCATTAAGAACTGGCTGTACGTGCGTCTCTTCTACACCGAGAAATTCCTCGGGTGGAACGACGAGAATTGGCTCTTCTACACTGCTTGGAGCGTCGGCATTGTCGCCATGGTTGCGGTCGTAAGCATCCAGGCTCGTCGCTCAATACGGTCGTTGCAGGGTACCTTGAACAACTCATTCATCGCCATTCTTTGTTTCGGTTGCGTTCCCCTGCTCATTATCCTATACTTCCTCGCGGGTCGCGTCACCATGTTACCCATGAGACCGGGCGTCCATCTCATGAATACCCATGGATGCTGCTCGCAGGCACTTATGTTCCCTCGAGAAAATGTCCCCGCGCTTCTTGAGTACTTGGAGAAAGCGCGGTATGCACGGCCTCTCGCAGTGGATAGCTTGATCGAGCGCATGGCGAACGCAAATGACCTCGATCGGTTGGCGATTGTACCATCTCAGATGCAGCACATCGGCGCTGCTTCGTTCAAGGAGAATAGGAAACAGTATCATCTGAAGGGGCCGCACCCGGTACAGGGCGCTCATGGGGTATGGAGTATGGAGTTTGAGAAGGCTTTTGAGCCATAATGTCCGCGTTACGTTATCTACAAAGCATGTCTGTACATATCGAGGCATAGATAAATCATGAAGTATATATTTCCGCTATGACCTGCTAATCCGAGTTGTGTAACCGACGGGTGCCTGATGGCTTGCTAGGATGGGCCCCATGGCCTCGTACCGACGTACCGTAGGTATTGCACTACCTGATCTACACGCTACAGCTCCAAGCTCCAAGCCTTGAGGGTGCGGTTGCGATTGGGGTTGAAGTTAGACTTGGCGGGAAGAATTAGGGCTTAGTTACAGGTTGCGGATTATAGAGATAACTCAACAAACTGGTTCATACCACAATTTCCCACGCTGTAGCGGAGCGAATAAGAGCAGACTAATCACCAATTAGTCCACCCCATCTGAACAGCCCGTGAATGAGCAGCCTGAGGGTTATCATCGAAGAGATCTGCCCTTTCGTCCAGCCATGCGCCTAGTGATGGTGGACGCTGGCTCAACTCAAACTGGGGAGATGTCACATGTGTGCCGGAATCCTTCGAGATTTCAGGCCTGATAAAATTTTTGGCTTGCTCTATGCTTTTGGAATGATTGCCCTCGTTGTCCGCGTCACTGACGATCTCATTGTCGTTCAGTTCGGGGAAAGCTTGCCACTAAAGCTCGATATCAAAAAAGACGCAAGAGATCCTTTTCTCATTGTCAAACCAGTTCGGAGCCTGGTCGGAACATACGAACAGAATACTTCGGCAGGGACGAATGAAGTTATCAGGAGTACACCATTTCAGGAAACTGTGTTGGCGGGTGTGTAAAGTCGCTATTCCTAACTTTCTGTTCAAATCCCTGCAGAAACTTAGAACCAGGCCGCACATCCCAAGCAGCGAGATAATGGGCTATGCAACCGTCTTTGCTTTCCCAAAGGACGAAGTAAACTTCAAGTCGGAATCCAAACCCGACATTCTCCATGGAGTCGCGAATGACTTTGTATAGCCCAGTGAATCCCCTTCTTTCAGGACCGGATATTGCATTTGGGTCGGTAAAGTATACCACCAAGGGGAAGGGAGCGGTGTACGGTAAGCTGGGAGGATGGGCGAATATGTTCTGAAAGACCATGAATGCATTGTTCCCTGCATGGTCAGTAAAGGGACCTGTGTGGAATTTAGCTTCGACACGATTTAATGTTTTTGTTTCAGAACCTGTTGATAGAGGTTCCAGGCTTCCAGCAAGCAGTTACGTCGTCTCTATCTGTCGAGGCGGGTACTCCATGTCTTGCGCCATAGGCATAGGCAGCGATGGAAACAGCAGTCCGAGGGTATACCCCGATCACCACTTTTACAGCCAACAGAGACATACAGCTGTGTTCTTCTGTTGCATATTTCCCAGAGGCCTGGATATGGTTTGAAACTTTTGCTTCTCGAGACTTCGTAATCATGCGTCTCCTAATCACGCGTCTCCACTGCATACTTGATCGAATTGTATAACGCCTAGCTGAATAATCATTCAAGATGAGTTCAGCGGATGGACTCGCGCCTCCAACACGGCTTGTGCCTCAGTGATCGTGAAGTTGAGGAAATTTGGACACCAAAAACCAATGTGGAGCACTAGAGTCTCAAGATTCTGGGGTAAGGTATCTTTCAATCGGAATGGTGCTAGCTCTTTAGTCTTCCCACCAAGAAGAATCTCTAGTTGGGTGTCAAGGCGTTTAAGACGCCGAATGGATTTGAGTAAGCCGTCTCGAAACGGCTTAGAACAGTCTCATTTTCGTAGGGAACCCTAGTAAGAACGGCCGTAAGGCTGAACAGTAAGGTTATTGTCTCGATCTGCCCCGCGGCACCCGAGGCCCGAGCTGTTCACGAAGGGGCGGGCACCCTGAGAACGGTGAGATCAGGCAGATTCTGCAGAAGCAAGGCCAGTAAAGCCAGCGCAGCTGCGCAAGAGGACAAGAATCTTGGATGAGGTGATTCAGTGTTACTGTTGGCGTTGGGCTGATGGAGCAGAGCATTCTTGGCTGCCGAGTCATTCATGGTTCAGAATTTTCTGTGGTCGCCACTGCCATTTGAGCACGGGCTCTCCCATCGCATCATCATAGAATAATGAAAGCGGCCGGCCCCTCCCAAGCAAGCCCAGTCTCAATACCACCTCCGGCTCTTTGTTCACATCTTCTCGCATATATTGCCTCGTTGCCGCCCCTCAGCTGAGCGAAAACTCTGCATCGCATAGCGATTTGCGACTCATCGTCTCATTCAAACGCTCCTCCGCGCTCCCGAACACGAACAACCCGCGTCGCATACCCCACCAAGTCATAATGGCTCGAAACATTTCCCACGGCCGCGGCGGCGCTGGTGAGTCTCCCATTTACCGAGAAATCCTCTTGTCTCTTTGATCCCTGTATACTCTGAGCAAAGCGTCTGACATCCGCACCCAGGAAACATCTTCTCCGGCGAAGCCCGCAAGACGACCCCGCAGGACCTCGTCACACCCACCATCAAGCAAGAAGTCTACACAACCGGCCGCGGCGGCTCAGGAAACATGGTGCACAACGACCCCGACCGTCCCGAGCTCGCGCGCGAAAGCCAGGACGTCGAGGCGCCACCAATGCGCGTCCAGGAAGCGCCGCACCATACCGGTCGTGGTACGTCTGCCCCAACAATGTTCATAGAGGTCGCCGTTGCTAACGTGCTCCGTTCCAAACAGGCGGAATTGCCAACCAGTACATTCCCAGTGCGGAAGAGGAGAGGAAGGCGCGCGAGGACGAGGAGCAGTTGCGTCGGGTGGTTACGTCGAAGTCGGTGCGTGAACCGCGGGATATCGAGGAGGGAAACGCGAAGGCCGAGGGCTCGCCGTCGAACTGATTGGGTGATTTGTTTCTTGGTTTATTTTCTGGGATTGATACCACTGCTGTCTTCGGTTTGGCTTAGTTTTGTGTTGTTTCTGGTGGGTTGGGTTTATCTTTCTTTGCTGGGATATACTGCCCTGCCCATATCTTGTTTACCTTGCTCCGCTCCCCTTATGCTGGGCACGCATGCACTATTAATATTGCTTTTCTCATTGCTCTGGGAGAATCCCAGGCCGTTTGATCGAAGTATTTTGGTGGGCTGTCGAAGTTATGGCTGTCTCTTATCCCTCCGCTTGAGTCGGTCGTTGTCGATAGACACACACTGTTATAATCTTCGCCAAAATATCTCAACATTCGCTGTCTCAGCTTTTAATGCCTTTGAAAATATCACTGCAGTGGCGATTGAGGGGATTCCTCCAATATATTTGAGTTGCCCTCCAATAGCACTATCGTGATGCCTCCAATGAAAGCCCGCGGCCTTATCAGAGTAGCATAATTACTTCTTCCAAGGACCCCCCTCGTACCGGTGACGAATGCTTATGCTCTCAAGGATTTTTCTTGATTATTCCTAATTCTTCAGACTAGTCTATTTACAGTGAAGTTACCAGGAAGCTTTAAAATTCAGCTGAAGAGATGTGGAGATGTTAGAGTACGTTTGATTCGTGTACTTCGTGTCTCAGTCGCTTGTTTGCCTGCAAGTCTATGTATGCAGTCCGCCAGATAGAGGCAATGCACTGGATTCTTCAGGCGAAGTTCTACCTACTGCTGCATATGCAGGTAGATAGCAAATAATTCTGGTCGTGTCGAGGAATCGGATGAGGGGAGGCCTGAAGACCTGAGACAGAAAATTGAGAACTCAAGAACCAGCCATCCCATTGCACTTGCAGTTTTTGAGGTTTTGAGCCCGACTCGAATGACTCGAACAACGAAGTAGATAAGCAGCTGACAGATCCATGTCGGGACTCCAAAGCTCATTTACTGTTTTGGTGCGTTTTCCCCTGATCGAGGTACTTGTTTCGAGCTTCGGGCATGACTGGCTGCCGATGTTTGCTTTGGTGGATCGTTGTGAAGAATCGCCGACGCCGCTCGCTTCATCGGGTGCAGAATCCCGTTACTCATTTCGTTGGTCTGCGTCTGGGACGGAGTACACAGCTGACGTGAGTTGATTCGCCGCGTTGCAGAGGTCACGTAGTGTGGTGCGTGGGCTCAGACTAAAAGTTCAGGGCCTCTAAGTGTACCGCGGCATAGAAGGTCCGGGATTGGGTACCCATGAAGGGCTTCCTTTTGAGTGTCATTGATGAACGGCTATTCGGCGCTCTCACGCCGGAGGGATATAGTAGCCAGTGGCATCAAGCACCCAGGTGATGGAGTTTCTCCAGTTGGCATCCAAATGTTGGCCGATTTCCTGAATCAGTCGGAGGCCCCATTCGCCCATCCACCAGTGCCGCCGTAGGAAATGGAGGATCACGGCATAATGGGCGAGAATCACAAGAGCGAAGGGTTCGCGCTGTTGGTAGAGCTCGATGTACTTCTCTGGCACTTGAAAGATCCACTGGAAGGCAACAATCATGGTTTCGCCGCCCCTTGACACCTTGTCCAGCGAGCAACTCAAATGCTTGATAGTAGCGTCGTAGAGATCCTTGTCGTGATGAGGGCTCTGGCGCGCTAGGTTTACGTTCAGTTGGTTCAGAGACATTATCGCCAGCCGAGAGGTATCAGGCATCTTTGGCTGCGCCTTGTCGTACTGGAGCAATGGCTTGAGCTCGCCGTTCCCTACCCAGTCGGTGATATCAGATAGAATGCCCCTCGACTTTCTTGTTGATACGAAGACGCCGTAAAGCTCGTCCACGGGATTCTGTCCTAGAGTCTGTCCTCTGATCTCTGGAAGGGCGAATGAAAATATCATCATAATGTTCGACAGTGTAAAGACGGCACTCGAGTGGTGCTGCTTCAGCTTTCCTGTTATCTTCGTCAGGCCGAGAATGGCCTGTTTTTGATGCGCTTTTGATGTTCGAATGTATTGCTCTTTTAAGTCGCCATCGCAGGTAACCGCGAGGTGGAGTGCGGAAAGCGCCAGAATCCCATGCATCAGGAACGGATGGCGCATTGCCTCCCGGGGAACGACGGCCTGCCAAATACTTTCGACGGAGCTGTTTCGAGAGACGGATCGATATGTTGTAGTACACCATTGCATCATCAATTCGAGGTCTTCGATATTGAGCTCCTTGTCTGGAAGCGCGGAAACGGAAGGCTCCATAAGATCTTGGTATTGGACTATGAACGCGGGATCAACAGCGGAGGGCGAGGTTTTGACTGAACGAGAGAGGGACGCCGTGGAGGAACGGGATTTGGTCTTAGGCCATGGCAGCGAGGAGGCGCGAGTCAGATACTCGCACCCTTGGTTGCGACTGAGGCAGGAGGCGCATTGAGAGTGTTCTTTTCCACACTGGGCCAAACATCGTTAGCACATACGCCGAATCATTAACGAACGGTAATTTTTGCTGCAAGTGGGCCAAGGAAATCGCATATGCAGGCAGTAAAAAACAGTGGGATGCCTTTTCGCGCCGTGGCAAGGACCCGAACCTGGGTAGGAGAGGAGACCAACCTTGATTCGCCGACCTCTGCACTCCAAGCATCCATGCCGAGCGCTGGCCCTGTAGCTCCGCTGAGATGGCATGCTTGCGGATTGTTCAACCGAGTACTCCGTACAAACAACGCGATTGAGGTCTTATGCAATAGCGGTTCTCATTGACACGGTCATGACCTCCAGCAATGACATTGTCCAGACCTTGGCAAGAAAACGGTGATTGTCGGATAAATGCAAAGCGCCTGCGACTGACAGGCCTTTAATCTATTTAACTTCCCCCCAACTTTTAACCCTCGCCGGAGTGGACACCAGCTAAAACAGAGAGATCGGTGCTGCTGTGGGGCGCGAGCTCATAACTGCGACTCCGAGTTCGTGTCTCAATCCAGAAACTGTTAGGGTATGAAGGAGACCAGGCGACGAACGTCATAACAAAACCAGTAAATGCTTTGCGCTCGCGGGCCCCGAGACGCCCGTGCTCCGTTGCTTATTGTATATGTTGGTCCACTGGGCTCGGCGCCTGCAGTTTGACTCTGGGTGATTGGCATGATAATTTGGCGATGGTCCGCGGGCCTCCAGACACTGTCCGGACTAGGAAAATGGTTGACACTGGACATCCCGTGACGAATTCCGGCTGCTGTCATCTCGAGCACAGATCAACATGGTTCAACAGAGGGCAAAAAAACATAGACCATCCAATGATCAAATAGTGTTAGCGAGGTCCACAGAAACCCGGCGCTTGGAGGCGATCAACACCCCTGAGGGAAGATCAGATTCAGAGTTGGGTGCATTATTGTCGACATTCCCTGTTGGGAAGAGGGCCCACTCCCAGTCTCCATAAATTCTCCTTACCGCCCGGGGCAAACCTAAATGCCCGTCCGCTAAGCCTCTCCCAGACTAGCTGTGTGCCTCCTTTTACCGTTTTGGGAAGTACGGCCTTCGCCGAGGCTTCCAGACGCTGGGCCCGCGCACCGTTGTCAACTTGTCCTTCGCATTAAAAGCGCCTAGGACTCTCTCCGCGCCGCCGCCGCCTCATCTCGGGTCAACTGTTCAGATCGTGCTGCTTGCGGTGTATTCATACAATTTGGCCCATTGTTGTTTGATTGCAGTTTTAGAAACTCACATAAAACATTTTGAAGCAGTGATTGACTGGCCACATATTGCATTGTCAGCAGTGCAGCAGTTGCTAGCACAAGCTGCATATGGGCGCTTTGGGGACTGGTGTGGCACTGACCTTCTACAGCTCATCCATCGAATCAAATGCTCGGACTCGCTGAGTCCCATCTTCCTTATCTACTTACCACACATACAACTGGCTTGCATCAACCTTGAATTCTCGCATGGCTGAAACCCATTCGACTACCAGTAATTCCAAGGAGGGGGATTCACCCCGAAAGACATACGCGTTCCGTCATCCAGGAATTCATATTTTTGTTTGGCAAAATATCTCCAACATGGCTCTCGTGCTTGCCCAGCCATTGGTGCTTGTACTGACGAATTTCGGAATATTTGACTGCCAATACCATTTGCAGTACACACCATGAGTGCTACCAAATCTTTACTACAAAACCCTCTTATCCGTGCTCAGTGAAACCCGGAATTCAGTCACCGTGTCACCAAGCATGCCCTCAGCTAAGAGCCTAAGACATGGGACTTGTGTGAGGAAACGGGATGCAGACCGTCCAATACTTTCCACATCAGTGACAAACTCTCAAGCTATGGACACCTCTACTATTACCCCAATTGGGGAATTCAGGTCTTTCCGGTTTGCAAAGTAGCACTATAAACAGCATTTCGTCGATTCCCACGACTTACCGGTACCGTGTCGACTAGGTCTTGATATGCTTGAGGTATGCAGTGCAGGATCGACCAGCGCATGAGCAGACCGCGATCATTAACTCCAGGCAGCCTGATGAACAAGACCAAAGGAATATTCGGGATTCATGCTCACGCTGACCTGTGTCGCCGACGCTGTCAGATATCTGAGTTAAGATCCTCACATGCACGCCGCGCAGGGATCTATGTACCAGACCAAATCCAATGATCTACAGCGCATACGGCGATAATCTGTCAACTAAGTTAGTCGACAGATCGTCAGCGAGACGGCGACGCCGAAGAGATCCTCTTCATCCCCTCGTACCTTCTAACCCAATGGAGTAGCTGGTGATGCCCTAAATGCGACGCTGTGCCGAAACCACAAGGTGATCGCCGTGACTAGTTTCCGCGCAGGTTGTTCGTGGGCCATAGCCCGCTCGTAGCGACTTCCAAGTCAGGTAAACGGAGTGTCGGTACATTTATATCAAGTAGTCAAGKACAAAAGATGCAACAGCGTTTCACTAGTGTAGATCATCCGGATGGCTTCGAAGTTTGACTCTAATGTTGAACCTTCTGACGAACTGTAGTTCGTGCCACTTGTGCTGATCGGCAGGGTGCTTTGGAGCCTGAGGACTGAATATAGGGTTAAGTTAAAGTTTATACTCTATACAAGAGCTATTGTTGAACTATTCCTGCTGAGGATGGAGGTAAGTTGCAATATTCGGTAGTGAGCTCGTCGCATCTTCCCAGTTAGCAGCGATCTTCAGTAGGCAAGTGTAAACACACATTCCTCTACCAGCTACTCAGGCTCTGCGGGACAGCTGAACCCTGGCACTCTTTTCACCAATCGTCGATCATGTCTGTGTCTGTCGGGTTAGACCGTGCTCGATCGCCTTATTCGGTAGGTAGTACTCCTCTCGGGCTACACATACCTAGGTAGTAGTATACCGAAGGACTGTACGGACTCTACGGAGTAGGGTAACTATACATACCCATCCTTCTTTTTCCGATAGAGGATATGGAAGATGTATCTGCGTAGCATATTTACTTACTCGTGCTTGGTCGTCAAAAGCATACTACATTTGACTTTCCCCAGGCCGGTTCATCAAGCTCTATTGACTCATAGTCGCTGCCTAGGATATGTCTGCGTCGGTGAATTAGATATATAGCACGAGGGCTTGTTAGCACTCAGATTAGTTTCTCAGATAAGAGCTCTGACCTAGCTTGAAGAAATAAATACTTATATATATTTTTTAGTATGGTAGCTCGGCAATATTAGCTAGTAACAGGAACACCTCAACACTTAAACCCATAACATAGACAAAATAGAATAAATATTTCTCAATTCATCTTTGAGGTTGATAACTGGATAAGAAAGTACTAAGTCCTCCGTAAGACTCGCAGTAGCGGCAGTATGCTCATAGATGATCGGTCCTACAGTATACCCTGGGTTACATCGGGCTAGGGCTAAGCCCGAAGAAATGATGTCACCATGACTGGCTGGAATTATCCCGGACAAGACTCGGAAGCACGAGCCAAACCACAGCTTGACTTCATGGAGACCGTTTCCGGAAGAAAGGCGATGTCACTCTAAACCGAAGATGGCAGGTGTGAGGAGTCTCCCATCCAGCTACTACTGTTGCGCCCGCCGTCTGTTCTGCAGCTGGTGCCCGGCTGCACGGTCGTTCCGTTCTCGGCGGGCCCCATCCCGACAGTCTGGTTCCGGCGCAGGAACCAGAATGCTGTGAAATGGGAGAAAGATTGAAGGACCCGTTTGACGTTGAAGAGAATCAGCTGATTCAATGATGAGGATATAAATCAGTCAGAATAGACAGGATCTTTTGAATTTGACGAACTGTGGTTGCATAATGCAAACCAAGGAGACCGCCAAATTTCCCTTGGAGCCAAGCTTGGCTTGACCTAGCAGTGGACGGAACAAAGAAATAAAGATACCAAAAGCAATAATGGGGCAGGGGACATGGACAAAAGCAGAACTGCAGAAGACTCTGGTGGGCTCACCGAAGTGACGACTAAGTAGATTTGCGAGATCGATGTCGAGGCCAGAAGTAGATGAGCTCATCCAAAGAGCATGCCCGTGACTTTGTCGTCTCCGCCCCAGTCTTTAGTCCCCTCCCTAGGTAATTCTCCAACTCCATCCACCCCTCTCGCCTTCGCGCCTCGCCTGCTTCAACACTTCGTGACCCCCTCGGCTCGTCCTGGTCCTCGCTGGCCGTGTCACCGACGCGCAGCTTCCTTTTGTCTCGACCCTGCATGTGGCATCCTCGTGTCACCCTGAATTCCACCTAGTTCGGACGTTGTGAACCTTTGGGCTGGATCCGTGGATTGAGCAAATCTCCCGCACTTGACAGCTCCCGCGGCTCGCCTTGGAGACGATCCTCGGTTGCTATCTAAGAGCTTGTATTGCTTATTTCGACTATTTAATCTGTGAGCACGCAAAATACATATTTGTTCAGCGCGTTTCGAGTCTAATTTAGATGGATCATTAGCCTTCTGTCGCGCCTCCAGGACCGTCGCCTCGGGTCGACACCCCTCCTTCGCCACCCCGTCACCTCAAAATTTTCGCTTCCGAGTCACAGTCAAATCGCAGCACACGCTCTCGAGTACTGTAACGCATCAGCCATTCAAGCACGCTTTCGATACAGTTTACGTTCGCAATTGGTTTACTCCGGAATCTTGGCACCGACAATTTGCGAAACTAAGCGCTCCTAACGTCGGCGCGAGAGACTTCACCTTGACGGCCGAGATCTGCTTACTACCGCATCGCCCACTCGTCCTGCTCGTATCGCGCTACTAGCAAGGACAACCCACGGCCCCAAACGCTTTATCCGTGAGTAAGTTCTAGCCGCAATCGCTCGCGGCTATGTACGCTGTTGAGGACAGGGCGCATTCAGGGCATCATCCACCACCGCCGCTTTCCATGGACAGGATTCCTCCTCCATCTACAATGTATTCGGGCTCTGCAGCTCCTAGCAGTATGGTTTCTCCGGCCGGTCAGCCGGGACCGGAACCTCTTGCGACAGTACACGATGGTCGTATCTGGTCGTTGCAAGTGGCGCAACAGCCTATTCGCGCTCGGATGTGCGGTTTTGGCGACAAGGTTGGCTTAATATTGTGCTTGACAGTCGAACTCTAATATAGCTGACTTTATCTAGGATCGAAGACCTATTACACCTCCGCCGTGCATACGCCTTGTCGTAAAAGATGCGCAGACTCAGAAGGAAGTCGACATCAAGTAATTTGCCCGCATCGGATAACAGAGATAGTTATGGACGCTGACCTGCATGCAGTTCGCTGGACAGCTCGTTCTACGTCATCATGGCAGATTTATGGAACGCGGATGGTACACATGAAGTAAACCTCGTGAAGCATTCGGCTACATCTCCTTCCATATCCACAGCAATGTCTTCATCATATCCGCCACCGCCCCATCCTACGTCCCCGGATTATCCAGCAACCTACCAAACAACAAATCCTTACGGGCAACCTGTCAGTCAGTCTGTATACCCAGGAGTCAGCAACTATTATGGCGGGAACACACAAGTCCAATATCAGAACCCTTATCCCAATCCGCAAGCCCAGTACTACCAGCAGCCAATGTATGGAGGTGGCATGGCGCAACCCCCAATGCCTGCCGCTCAGCCCGTTGCCCAAGGACCTGGAGGCATGTTCACCCGTAACCTTATTGGATGTCTGAGTGCCAGCGCATCCCGCCTGAACGATACGGAGGACAAGATTGGGGTGTGGTTCATCTTACAAGATCTCAGTGTGCGAACAGAAGGAATCTTCCGGTGAGACCGATTCGTTGCGCCGTGCAGAGCGGCTATAGACTAACATTGGATTAGTTTGAAATTCAGTTTCGTCAACGTGGGCAAAGCCCTCAACCCTGACGACCCTCTCCACGAGTCCGAAATCGCGGAGGTGATAAATAAAGGAACTGTGCCGATTCTGGCTAGTACCTTCTCAGAGCCCTTCCAGGTGTTCTCTGCGAAGAAGTTCCCTGGTGTAATCGAAAGCACACCACTCAGCAAAGTTTTCGCGATGCAGGGAGTCAAGATCCCCATTCGTAAGGATGGCGTGAAAGGCCAAGGTTCCCGTGGGCGCCATAGCGACGAGGACGACGGCCTGGATAACGAATATTAGGAGATGATGATTGCTCAAAAAGGGTTATGAATCATGAGCGAGGGAAAAAGCGGGGTTTATTCAACTGGGGAGGCACATTTTTATGTCTCACTTTACAAGACTGGTTTCGGCGTTTCGCTTATGGTTTTGATGTTAAACCAGGCGTTCGGGCTCAGCGAAGTGACGAGTTTCGGGTCTGGCGGCTGTATTGCTAAAGGATTGGTGTCATGGCTTCATTGTTTTCGCTTGTTATACTCTGGAGTATTACTGTTTTAAAAATGGTTGTTTACTTTACCCATCTCTTAGCTGGTTGCTAGTTGAGTAGCAAAAGTAGTTCACTAGGCCTGATGGAAGAGTTGAATGACCTGCTTAGCGATTGTTGGTAATGCAGCCGTAGTTCAGTTGCGATTCTAAGAATATCTCGGCGAACCCCGTTGCCACCGGAGAATGCCCAAGTTCCGAGAGCGAAATTATGAGGTTCGTGATCTACAGACAGTCAACCGACTCAACCCTGGCAACCATGCTTGCTGTTGACCCTGTGGCGCAGTTTAGTGTTGTTACGGGGTCGATCCGATGGAGACATCCTCGGTTACAGAGACCTGACCGGCTTGGTTGACCAACGGCGTGCCTTGTTTATTCTTGTCCGCTCAAGCTAGTTTCTGAAGATTACCCACCCCAGCAAACTGGAGAGAAGAGCGTTGTCTCAGACAAGTCCCCGCAACTGAGACATTTGCTTAGTTCCCCTCCGCTCGACGTCATACTCGCCTATCCAAGACATCAAAGCTCCTATCATGCGATTCGGAAGACTTCATGGTGGGGAGCGACGTTGCATTATCGTCCATGCAGATGGGTACTCCCGGCACGCGATACGCTCTGCCCTGACTGTGTAGCTTGCATGCGATCAGGCTACGATGAACTATTCTGTCATAGACGTATACGGTGCTGATCGGCTGGATCGTCAGGTCCGTCTATAAATTCTCCGATGTTTCCTCTGGGCATGGCTATCCATCAACAAAACGGTTTACATCTCAAGCTCCAGCTCAATCCTCTTCCTCCTAAACACCAACAAAAACAAATCCACCATGAAATTCGCTCTCGCCTCTCTCCTCCCTCTCCTGGCCGCCGCCGCGCCCACCTCCAACAATGCCTCTTCTGATCTCCCCAACGGCGCCGAGCAACCCGCCGCCTTCACCGTCATGGCCGCCCGCTCGGCATCCCCAATCCACTTCCTCCCCCTGACAGCCTCCGGCCAATCCTTCTACCTTGGCGGAAACACCACAACCTACTGCCCCCTACCTGCATCCCAATGCCCTCCCGGCAACACGACCGTCCTCGCCGGCAACGGCGGCTCCCTTGTACGTCCCTAACCCCCGCAACGCTTCATCCCAGTTGAATGCAGACTAACAAGCGCACAGAGCGTCGTCGTCCCCGGCGGCCAGCAAATCTACGTCGCGCCCAGCGGCGCCCTCAAGTTCACCCAGGCGCACTCGGCCTCCACCCCGCCTGGCTCCTCCTACGGCCCCTTCGAGTACGTCCCTGGCCCCGAGGGCTCGGTCTTCGGCCACTACATGTACAGCGGCTGGGGCGCCAGCGGCTTCATGGCCTGCCCCACTGAGAACAACCGCTGGCAGGTGTTTGCTGCCCTGGGCAACGCTACTGTCCCCACGGGCAATGCCGATGACTGCTTGGGTTTCTCGGCGATTGCGGTGCCCAGTGAAGCTGTGGGGCAGACGTGGCAGTACATTTAAGCTCTTTTCCTAACATCTGATTTGGGAGTGAGCAGCTGTGTGGAAGACGGGGCTTAGGGGGTGTATATACGCGGGATGTGGATTGGAAGTATATGTAGGTCCCGTTATTTCTAGGGCGCAGGCTTTAATGCCGGGAGTAATACGCGAGGCTAGAACAAAGTTTATTCTACTTAAAATATTAAAAATATTACTATTAATAGCTTGTTTAATATTTAACACTTTTATTAACAGCCCGTCTTAAATAGCAACACTTTTTTTAATAACTATAATAATAGTAAATTTAATAAATATATTTAAAAAATAATAAAAAAATAAATTATATAAGTAATATATAGCTTGCTTATATAAACCTATAATTTATAAACCCTTAATTTTTTAAATTTTTTTTATTATAATAGCTAATACTAAAGGTAATAATAGTATTACTTTTTTTACTTACTTACTTATTTTTTTATTAACCTAGCCGCTGGCAGCCTATATTATTAATATAATAAA